ATAATAGTAAGTTACTATAAAAATCGCACGTTATTTGAAATATATTAAAACCTTTTTTAATACGGTATTAGATATTGCGGAGACGCTATAACTATAAAACACATAACCGTTTACAGCTTTTTAAAATACTAAATAATAACTTAATCTTTAATTAAAACGATATACAATTTATTACAGAATACGTATATTATAATCAATTATTATATAAAAAAGTTATGAGGTTAAAACTTATTACATTATAAAAATAATCAGTAACGATATTAAAAAGAAAACCTTTCTAATAAAATAAAATAAAATAAAATAATAAAAAAACTTGATAGGGTTTTAAAAAATAACCTTACTACGATTTTTTAATTAAATCGTTAACGCTTGATGAAAGAAAATAACACGTAAAGATAACATAAAATTATACGCCTTGAAAATTAAACCCGAATATCATAAAAAGAAATTCTTAATTAATAAAAGTCTAATAAATAAGCTTATAGAATTATTTGAACGAGTAATATCAAAAAGTTTATCCATTTATTCAAAATAAAGCTTTTAATTATTATTACGGCGAATAATATTATAAAACTTAATATTCATACTTAACGTTATAAAAGCGTATACAATAGAAATGCTATATAAATATAAATATAATTATAAAATAATTAATTAAAAAAGGTTTAAAGTATGAATACGGTAGCTTTTAAAGTAATACACAAAGCTTTTTAATTAATATATAAATACAGAAGCAAATTTTCATACTTTAATATACATTTAATACCAAACTAAATCCGGTAACTTAATAAATAATTACGTGATCAATTCACTTTAAGTTTAACCTCATATTGAACCATGAATTATAACACTTTTTAATAAGCTTTATCATGGTAACAAGATTATTGATAAGTTTTTTTAACCTTATAAATATTATATAATTTAAATTTAGTATTTCGTTAATTATATAAGTATGATTATTAAAACAAGAGGTTATTTCGGTATAACGTTTATCCGAGTGTAATTTTGAAGTTATTTAATGTATTTTTATTATTTAAGCTTTATAACGATAGCGGGGATAGCCTTTTAGGTGTTTATTACACAACTATTTTTATAAATTTATTATTTTATTATTTTATTATTTTAACGAGCGTTACGAAAGAAACGAATTTAAGCGACAAAAAGATTAGATAATAAAAGATCGGGTATTTTATAAAGCCTAACGTTTTAATTAATAACGCGGTATTATATAATACGACGTTTTAGAATTGATTAAATAGTTTATAAAAGCCTTTTATTCTTATGATTATATTATAAGTTATTATTTACCATAACGGTGCTTTTAATGATTATATAGGCTTTAAATTATTTTAGCTTGATATTTATAATAATACGAAGTAATTTTAAAGGTAACAAGGTTATATAATACTTCGTTATTTAGTCCTCGTTAAATTTCTTTTTACAACGAATAATAAACTTTGAAGCCCTAATAGTATTAGTATTTTACGCGGTAGATTTACGCAACGCGTAGCTTTTCTTGATATTTTAATATTACATATTTTATAAAGCTTATTACTTTATTGATTTATGATATTAATATTAAGTTGTTTATACCTTATTACTTATAATTTTTAAAAGTATTTTAATTTCTTATTACTATTTATTATTAAAAAAGTTTAAAACCGGGTTTATTTTTATTTTTTAATAAAAATAAAAGGCAAGTTGTTTAATCAGGTATTAATCAAAGTAGCGATGTTTAAAATATGCGCTATATTTAAGTTTATTATATTTGTTTGTTTCATTTTTACTTATCACGTATATTAAGGTTTTTATCAATGGGGTTTTTTTAATCTTTAAACATTTTTCAAGTAATTTAGTTTAAAAAAGGTTTTATACTTCGATTCTAAAAGCGGTTATATGAACCTAATAATATACAGTTATTGAAAAGAAAAGATTTCGCGGTTTTTAAGGTATAATTAACCAATTTATAATTAAACTCTATATATTTTATGTAGTTATCGATTTAACTCTACGTATATACGTTGTTAAAAGTATCAATACTACGATTTATAAGTTTGGTACGCTTTTAATCGTAAATATTATAAAATACGTTTTAATATAACTATTTGAAAGTTACGCTTCAAGGTTACGGCGCGCTATTAAAGCCTTATTTTTTTTTTTTTGTTTTTTTTATACAGCTTTTACATACTTACAGCGAGTTACATTATAACATAATGAAAATTTTTAAAAAAAAATTCGTTAAAAAGTTTGAAGGTTTTTTCGATTTTTACCGTAAAAGTTACTACGGTTGTTATAACAAATGCTTTTGTTTACTGGTAATAAGGCGCTGCTTAGTTTTAACCTTGTATTTAAAGACTTTTTATATAAACAAAAGTAATTTACTTTTATCTGCTAAGTTGTTATAGAAGGCTATGATATAAAGATTATATCAAAACTTCGACTATAAAACTTTTCTTTGCTTTAATTTAAAATATACGCGCTCGTTGTATTTTTAACCGCTTTTTAAACGCTTATAATAAGTCTTTCTTATAGCTTTAACAACTTACGAGTTAAAATTTACGTTTATAATGAAAAACATAGCGTTATCATTATTTAAATAAGTTGCTTAAAAATAATATTATAACGACCGTAAATAGTAATAAAGATTAACGATATTACTTATAAACTAAGGTTTAAAAACAAGTAATTTTGGTAATCAATTTTAATATTAACGTATAAAAAACGTTAATTATAGTAGTATAACTTATTAATACCGGTAATTTCCTGCTTTTAATAAAAATAAATCACGGTTAGATCGTTAACTAATCGTTAATATTATATAATATAACGCGGTATTATAATTATACTAAGCTACCGATCAATACGTATTAATTAAGTAAAAGCTGGCATTATTATAATACTACCTATAATATCGCTATACTTATAGTTAAGCGGTATTTGAAAGGGCATAATGCTATATAGTATTAACCACTATTATATTAACTGCTTTTAAGGTCTTATTTAAGTAAGTTGGGCTGGCTGGTTGGGGTTAGGAATCGGTAGGTTAGTAGCAGCTAGCTGCAGTACGAGTTATACATAAATATACAGGTACAGACTTATGAAATTTCCACACCCACTACCTACACTAGGTCGGATTGGTTACGACCTGGCAGCACTTAATACCTATATAACCCCTCTATATACCCGGAATTTTCTATATTCCGTTTCGATATGCGTATAGTAATAAAAATGCCTGTATTATATAGGCATAATACGTATTATATATTATTCTCATTTTAAAAATCGAAGGTTTAAATAATACACCTTTAAATTTTAAATTAAAAATAAGCGGTCTTTACGCTTTTATCATTCTTATCGTTAGAAAGTAAAATTTCGGCTCCCGTTTATAAAGGTTTAAACAATACGATTCGTATCTGTACTTAATATTGTATTATATTGTATCGTATCGTATAAAATTTTAATATTATATAGTATCTTATACAATATTATATATTTTATAAAAAAAATTAAAATCTTTTATTCAAGCTTGAGAGCTACTTTTAATTAGTTTTATTTAATTATTATCACTCTATAAAAATATAAAAATATTAAATAATTTCATTTTTGATAGTATTCTTAATTATTAGATATTATATAAATATAATATTTATACACGATGTATGAATTTTATATAAAAATAATATATATTATCAGATTTAAGGGATCTCCAGAGATGTATGCCATATGGAGTGCTGGCTAGTCAGGTGGCTAGTCAAGGAGGCTGCCATGACTAGCACCCTGAGTCATACGTTGACTCGGGAAAAGGTGGGCCGGAGGATCGTCTCCGGCATCTCCGGAGCTATACAAATAGGTGTAGATACTACTCAATTGAGATAGCTGAGAAATGATAACAACGATTGCAGCTACCGCTCAAGACCACAGGCTTGTCAACCCTTTGAAATCTGACATATATATATAATAAATATCTGTGAGATTCTAGAAGGGTCACAAGCCTTGTGGGTGTGAGTGGTCGCTGCAAATGTTGTTGTCATTCTCAAGTATGCTCGGCAGGGCTAATCTATAGCTAAATACCATACTGCACCATGCCAGGGTGTATCCACTGTTCCTTTGACAGCCCCCTAGTGGGTACTGCACCGAAGGGCACTATATCTGGGATCCAACATCTGACAATATCACAATATTTAAAGTTAAATAGTTATTAAATTAAAAATCATATTAAAACGTTTAAATACGTTTTTAATTATTATTTTTTCTCTTTTAAATTTATATAAGTTATATTAAATAGTCCCACTTTTACCCCCTGTTTAATACTATCGTATACGAATCGTATACGATTGTATGGCTCCGTATCGTATCGTATGACCTAAATACGATACTAAGTATCGTATTTTGAGACCCTGCCCGCTCAAAGCGCGACCGATAGTTCCACTGTCGACATCTATCCAACTAAATACCTAAAGGTATTACTCAATCTACCTAAGGTAGGCAATCAATGTGGGATGCCTAGCAGATGTAATGGTCACAAGTATCCGTCACGTCTATTAAAGAGGACCGGTACCTTTCACCTTTGGCTTCTGCGTGCCCGATGATGCGCCCGCAGCAAAAGCTCCGGTGATAGGATCATCGGGTCGCCATCACCGATTCATCGCAGATATCCCCAGATATCGCATGTGTCAGTATCCACGGGTCCGACCACCACCGCGGCGGTCCACTTGGTAAGGCAAATGCGATGAACGAACTCTGGAGGTTGCTTGCCGTGGCAGCCTTATGATGTCACATATGGACCCCGACGAAGTCTTCCGTCACTCTTAAGTCAGGGGTTCGTCACACTCTGAGCTCAAGCTTTCTGTCTTCCGACAATACAGACCATCTTACCATCCTGCCACAACTCCATCACAGCCAGCATACCAAGCACACCCAGCACACAGAAACAACATCAGCAACACGCAAGTACATCGTGCCCGACGCCAAGCACATCAGACTACAACAACCCAATCATCATGTCTGCAAGCCGCAACCCCGACTCCGTGGCCCAACAGGGCGAATTCCACAGCCGTGTCCCGCCATCTGAGCCCCTCACCACCAAGGGCCACAAGCCGGGAGTCCTGGTTGGCAACGACGCCGTCCCAGAGTTTCATGCCGAGACACACACGTCGGGCACAGCTCCGCCCAAGGATTCATACCGACCTAATCCCGTGGGCGAGGTGCCCGGCCAGGCCCTCAACGACCAGACCGCGACGAGGACGGACCCTGCAGACACCCTTGGCGGAGCCACCTCGGCAAGCGTGCACACCGGACTCGGCAAGCCGATGCAGGGTCAGACGTCGACGGAGCTGCACGGCGACCACAAGAACCGCTCCGGTCTGGAGGGCAGGGGGGCCAGCGTTGGGATGAAAGACGTCGTACGCGAGAAGGGAGCCGACCTGCCCGAGGGCGTATACAAGGGTATGAAGGGAGGAAAGGCCAGCCCTGATTACCCTGCTGCCGAGGACCGCCCTCCCGTGAGCGCAGAGAGCGTCGCCAGTGAGAGGAAGTGAGCTATGCAAGCATGGAGGGATGGACTAGTCATGCATTGCTAGAGGTGTACCGGGGTTCATCATGAATTGACTGTTACTCACACCGTATTGTCGTCTCTCCACGTGATATTGCAGTGCACCACTCCCTTTGATTGACAACCATATATACACTTTGGGCCGCTGCCACATATCCCTCGTTGGATTGTCCGCTGCACCGGACAGTCCAACACACTTGAGGCGAGCTTGGAAAGCATCGACCTACTTGTGAGCTTCGTTGATCATATGGGTTGTTTTCTGCAACTGGAAATCCGGCGCTGTGCGGCTGTGATCCATGATGAAGACGGTTCATGAGCTGACGAACAAGTCTACTAATTCAAAGTTGGCTCGGACGGCCAAGAGCTTGAGCACACCATGGCCTACTCGGCGAGAGGGAACGACTGTACTCTGCTGGTGCTCCGGATCTACCCGGTCAATGAGTTTGAGATCCAGGGTGTGGACAATGGGAGACTGGGGAAGGGGATGTGTCGCGTAGGCAGCCACAAGACCCGCTGAGCGTCTGGCATGGTCTCCGGGCTGTCTTCAACTTCGTGGAAGCAGTCGTCAACCCAAACATACGGTTCATTTCTCATTATCATCTGCAGCCTATGGAGGCCGTCCCACGAAAGGATAGAGTCTGGAAAAGTTCTGGGAAGGCCTCGAGGGAGGCTTCTGAGTTTCTGGCCTGATTCTATGCGCTGGGCTCAACTTGGTCGCTGCATGTAGGACGCAATGGTCCACTCAGAGCTCAACGAGAAGAGCCTCGAGTCATATACAAGCTACTTAAGGGGGTCTGTCGAGCGAGTAAAGGGGCACGCCAAAGGCATGGTACCGGGAAGGAGCTAGCAAATCCACCATGACTTGGATAGTTTTATGACTTTGGGATGGAAACGGACTATGCATGGATGGGAATGTATTCGCAGCAACTGTCCGGCCGCTTGGTTTCCACCTTGCCGCTCCGAAAATTCGAACGCATTCTCCAGCCAACCTATCGTTTCCATACTATACGGGTAGCCAGTTTTTCCCCTAATTCCGGGTACGCGGCTGTGTATTAAGCTCCTCTTCCTAGATGCCACCATTTGCCTCAGTCCGCTAACTGTCGAGATCGCTGAGCTGATGTGCATCATCATGGGCTGTTGCAGTCTCGGCTTCACCACAGTAAGAGCGCGCTTTTTCCCCCTCCCATTTCTCTCCATTAGCTGGATGTTGAGGAACCACATGCGCCCTCGTACGTCCACCTGCAAGCACCTCCTGCGACATGATATTTCTCATAAAATAGTCCTCAGACAATATATCTGATTACAACAAATTCTTGTTAGAGACTCTGTAGAGGTGAAGATGCGTATGAAAGCTCGAAACTCCCTGGGAAAATGCGTGCCTGGGGAGAAATGCTTGGCGCTAGTACAAAAGCGAGTATCTGTTGCAACCGACAACCAGGCACGATAGACGCAGCATTCACCGTGCATCTCTGAGGCGACGCGAGCTGAATGCCACCCAGTTTTGATACCCCCATTGTGTGGATGTTTATATAAAGCTGGCCCTCAGTTTCTCCCAACGAATCCTGCACCTTCCATCCACCACACTGCAACACGTTCCATCTCCCATCAACCAACTCACACCATCTGCTCTCATAACAGATATACCTCAATCCACAACCAAGTCACATCTTCCATCAAGGCGATCAACATGTCTACCCCCAAGAAGGACAAGGAACCCGGCGAGCTCACCGAGAAGGAGCTCCTCGTTCTCGGAATGGCACATAGTTGCTTCAAGGGCAATCCCGAGGTAAGCTTGCCCTCCACAATCATCCACTGTCCTCCTCCTCGTAGGTGGCGACCGAGTTTTCAAGGCGGCTCACCCGTTCCTCCTGACTGCGCACCCTTACCTCGCCGCATCCTCCTTCCCTCTCTGCATCCCCCTCTACGCGCCACCTCCCTTTCCTTCTGCCCTCCTGATTGCATGCTTCCAGCTAACACACTCCCTCACAGATCGACTGGGACAAACTGGCCCAGATGGGCAGCTACCAAAACCCTCGCAGCGTGCAGAACCTTCTCAACGGTAAGAAACACCACCTCCCACCTCGTTCCATCACTATGCTCTGGGGGGAAAATCCCAAATATATACAAGCTAACCGATGTCATGGCACTCCTACAGCAGCCAAGAAGAAGATCGCCATCAAGGCGTCGGCTCTGGGCATCGAGCCCACCACCCCTGCCAAGGCCATCCCCCGCGGCGGCAAGGGCAAGGCCGGTACCGGCAGTGCCCTCAAGCGCAAGGCAACCGCGGCCCCGGATGCTGCCGATGAAGACGCCGAGGGCGATGATGCCAACCCCACCCCGACCCCCTCCAAGCGAGCGCGCAAGACCGCGGTCCCCAAGTCCGACGTCAAGAGTGCCCAGGGTATCGATGGCGAGGATGCTGAGGAGGCTGGAGAGGACGAGAATGGTGCTGCCACCATTGAGGTTTAGGTACTGGGCGTTCTGGATGACCTCTTCTACCTACACTATGAACTTGGGTCCGACGCGATTGGGAACACGAGGCCGTATTTGACTAGAGACTCAGTGCTGGGTGGCCTGGATAGTCAATGAGACAGCCTTTTACTGCGAAAGCCAACGTCCCTATGAAATGCTATCATTGTTCGTGATTTGGGGCAAGTGCTCAGACCTGATCTTCCCTGTCCCTTGTGCCAACTACCTGTACTATTGTCACGCTGGATAGCTGTGCCCATGGCTGCCTTTGCTCTTTGGTGCCGTATCCCTCTGCCATTCACGTCTGCTGGGCTTCCTCTGATTTCTAGGTAGATGCCTGGACTGAACCTTTCCAACGAATGGTGAGGCTCAGGCAACTACTCACAAGGTCCAATTTCGAATGTCCCAGGGGTACAACGTGTCAGCTCACCTCCAGTTCACAGCGACTTTCAATTAGTTGGCCCTGGTCGTGTTTGGAAGCCTCGTTTGTGACTCGGCTAGCGACAGCGAAAAGGGGCTTCATAGCCCTACCGACGTATGGTAATCCCCAATAGACGTTTCCCCCTTATTGTTCAGCGCCACGTTAAGTCGTTCCCGTGGTTGATACTTTAGCCTTCTGAAGAAACAATAGATAACTTCTGGACGAGACCGTAACCCCTTCTACTGGGATCCCATATGACCCCATGGCAATGAGTTCGCTACCAACGGTGTCAGTCTTGTCGTCTACCAACCGATGTAGCCCCTTCTTGATCCAACAAGACATAACATTGAAACGCACAGAGAAGCATGTGCATGAGAACGGAGAAGCATGTGCGTGGGATTTAATTCAGTGGAGTATAATATATGATTGTCACAAACCTCAATCCAATGCAATTGCCCATCACTGCCTTGATTCTGGGTAGGAGGCTGTTATTTCCATTCGTCATTGCGACTCCTGAAGCTGCTGCATCCGCACCCTTATCCGCTTCTCCTCTTCGTCCAGCTCAGCCATCTCCATTATTCGGGTCCGCCTCGCCTCTACCTTTGCCTGCTCCTCCATCAAGTTCTCCATCTCCTGCTGTGGTTGTGGATTTTGGTTGCTGCCGACAGACCTAGCCACCCCGACGCTCACCGGCATCTCAGCAGGAATTATGCTCGGCCGAATGCTGGTGTGGCCATCGCTCTGTTGGACCCCTGATAAGTAGCTCGCATCTTGGCTGTTATGCGATGGACTGGTAGAGTTGCCGGCTGCACTGAACAAGAGACATGTGGTTATTGTATCCCCCAGAGGCCAGATCATGTTGGCCCATTGCTAGGTCGTTCGCTGAATAGGATGTATCGACAGCAGTACCGCCAAGCTCCGTTGGCTGCGGAACTGGCGAGTAGTACGACACGTTACCCGTCTTCGGATCCAAGTAAGAGGTGTAGCCAGGGCCTGGATGATGATGTTGCTGGTGTCCTCGGGGAACTTGGCCTGGTGGCGGCTGGCCGGGTCTAGGCATGTATGGGTATTGATAAACTGGATATTGCCCCGGGGGAGGAGGAGGAATTGCCGCCTGAGAGGTATCGGAATCCTGAACTTTCGCTCGATTTTGCCGATACTTCCAGATGAAGAAGCCAGCCAGCGTAATGCCTACGAGGCCAGTCAGCCCAACGCTGACACCAATGCCAATCAGCGCCCCAGAGGACCAGTCCGCTACTGGAGCTGTCGCCGGCACTAGCAGCACTCCCGCCGCCAACGACTGTCACCGTGGCTTGCGGTGAAGATGTGGATGCCGTCAGCTAAGGGAGATTGCCATCGCTCGTAGAGATGGGTTTCAAGCCTGGTGTCAAGGGACGTATTTCGAGGTTCGTGATGTCAGACTCAGCCCATCGTATTTGGATCATGATCTGGGCGTAATCGAGGCCGGTGTTGGTGGCGTAGTAGTTTCATGACTCTGGCATACACGAATAGTCGCTGTCACAATCAGTCATGGCCACATCATTCCAGTAGGGGTTTCCACACACATCATTACACATAGCACGGCGGTCTCGGTGGACTCTCCAGACGGTCCCTGGTAGTCACCATAGCGCGAACAGCCAACTGTGAATCCACTAGGGCAGATGGCGGGCGAGTAGTAGGAGGTTTCATAGTAACTGGCATAACCAGGAGGGGCACAGTCAGTGTATGTGGTCCAGAATGTGTCTATATCGGTGGTCGAGTCGGTCGAGACAGGCCAGCAACCTGCTCCACACCGTCGTGAGAGATCCCACGGGAGGCGTTCCACCGTGATCCAGGGACGAGGTCGACCGCGGTAGGAGGGGCCCGAGTGTGGTGGTAGCTGTAAGCGGTGCGACGACCATGGTGAGTATGATAGTGTGAGTATTATAAGAGAGTGACAGCTCATGCGACGGCCTGCACAGACCTTCCCACATGACAAGCGGATACTTCCCAATAGGGGAAGGATCTGACCAGAGGATCCCCTTAAAGGGGCAACCTCCCACTGTACCTATCTCTCTCTCTTTCTTTCTTTCCTCTCTAGTCTTGATATTCTTGTCAATAAAATAATAGCTGCTTGCTGCAGGCCATGTCCCAGCTCCCCAGTATGCTCGCCGTGGCATAATATCAAGACTCCTCCATACCAGATTAGAAGCCTTGTCTTCAGATCACCACTACAAGGAGTTTTGCCTCTAGCAGTGACAGGTGTAGTGTCTCCAAATACCCACCTATCCCAAGACTTTATTATCCCTTTACTATCCCATCTACCATTACCACTGATTCTGTCCAACACACTGTGACGATGAGTACTATTATCATTCCAGAACATCAGGATAGTTCTGAAGGGACTGGAAGACCAGCCCAACCTATCCAAACATCCCCCAATACCAACAACCTTCCCCCAAAGAAACAGAGAACCAAGGCACAAGGGGGCCAGAGCAAGCCAAACACGCGATCAAAGGCCGCTTTGACCCAGAGCAAATCTCCCTCAAACGCTTCATCGTCTCCATCTTCCTCCAGGATCACATCCCAGGACCCACAGACCCAGCCCATGGCACCAACCATGAGCGGTGCTCTGGGCCGATCAAACGACCCCCCTTGCTCTTTAACCTGGATACGCTTACGCCAGAGCAGCTAGCCAGACTGCAAACCGAACTACACACCCGGATCCCGAGGTCTGAGCCACTAAGGCCCACAACAGAACGACAGTCTGTGCATTTCAGCACACCACAAGAAGAACGAGCCTTTCCTTCCTTAGAAACAGGTTCTCCACACACAACGACCCCTAGGTGGGACTCCCCAGTTTCTATGGCATCAACCTCAAATGCCATGCGACATTCCATCAAGCTGGCAGACCCTGTAAAGCTAAGTGACGGTCAAAACCCAACCTTTGAACAGTGGAAGAACAGCACTTAACACAAGCTACGGACCAACTGGTGGCTCTTTATTACAAAAGAATCAAAATTTGACTGGCTTTATATACTAATAAAAGGTAATATAGTTATAGCATTGGAACCATTCATCTTTGAAGAGAACACTGAGTCACTTATTACCATTAAAGAGGTGTATGACCTTCTCCGGTCCTCTTATAGCAATCCCGACGCAGCTGCTCAAGCCAGAGATCAGCTCCATGATCTGTGGATGGAACCAGCGCAAGACTTCTATTCCTTTTGTTCCACATGGGTTCTCTTAGCCAGCAAGGCAGGCCTGTCCTGGACAGAATGGAAGTATGAACTGAACCGAAAGCTGACACCACCCCTAAGGATACAAGTGATGGCTTCTTACCTTGACTCTAATATTTCTTTTAACCAATTTTAAAACATCTATTCTAGCAATACTTAACAGCTTGTAAAGATTGAATGAGTCAAGAAACAGCGCCAAAGTTTCTTAAAAGCTTCCTCTCGCCATACCATCACTGTGGCACCTGGACCCCAGCAGTCCACCAGAAGCCTACCAACCCAAGCCTTGTCCAACCAAGCGATTGACACTACCTTCCAACCAGCAAGAGCATCACCTGATCAGAAGACTCCTTGTCTCTCTGCAGCCCCTGAAAGGAAGCACCTTGACCGATCACACACACCCCACAAGACAGAAAGCATTACATGCTACTTGTGTGGCAAAGAGGGCCATATTGCTCTTAAATGTCCAGACAAAAGAACACCTTATGTACATTTTCTGGAAGAAGACAATGAGGCCTCTTCTGGTCTGACCCAGGATGTTACTTCTGACAACGAGTCAGAAAACTCAAAGGCCTAGGGAAAGTCTCCCACCTAGGCCTCTAATGTATTATTAATCAATTAGCTCACCACTCCCTTGAAATTTCATCACTTTGATCAGACCTCTCTGGCTTGATTGGCGGCAGTACCTTTGTGATGACTGCAACCATCCGGTGGAATGGAATTACAGTGCGTGTGAAAGTTTTGATTAGTACCAGAGCAGAGGTTTATCTTTTAGGCAGCCGTTCAATCATGAGCCCTTTGGCTCAACGATGGGAACTCCCTCAAAGACATTTTGATGAGCCCGCCACCCTGAATGGCTTTGGCAAGGGACATTCACAGGTTATTAACACAGCAATTGCAGCAAACTTCCAGATTCAGGGAAGAACCTTCTGGGAAGCCCCTATCCTAGAAACAGAGTTTGGACCCAGTAAGAACTTTGATCTTATTGTTGGCAAGCGGTTTTTGGCTGCTCACAACCTCCTACCAGACTGCCGGCGGAACCACCTATATTTCTCACCAGAACTACCTTTCCTTACCAACTGGAAGACCGACATCACCAACCCAGCTCGCCAGTGGTTAAGACAACGGGCTATCAACCCTCAGGCCCAGCAGGACATGCTTTATAGAGATTCACAATGGGAAGATCAAGAGAAATACCCGCAGAAGATACTATGTCGCCCCCAAGTGCTGGCTACATGGGCAAGAGACCATCATCAGTCCTTACAGGCTATGGAAGACCAGCTAGCCGGACGGGACCGCCCGGCATCCTTGCAAAAGACTTCCTAACGCCAGGCTGTTCATCCTAAGGTTAGCAAAGACACAATAGTGAACGCTCTGGGCACGGATATCCACCTAGTCTCAGGAAGTACCTTCTTTAGACGGGCTAGTCACCGTCAGAAGGGGCAACATTAACGATACAGCTACGGAAATGTGTTCTCCTTTTCGGTATATGAGCTTGATCAAGTCATTAATTACTCTATTAATAAAGAGGACTCAGAGACTCAGTACCTGCTACGCAGCAGGCTTCCCCCAAAGGCACAAGATTTTATGGATGTGTTTTCTAAGACAGAAAGCAACGAGCTACCCCCTTTCCGAAAGGATATTGACCACAAGATCGAGCTCAAGCCAGGGGCCAAGACTCTTCGCCTGCACCCCTTATATAGCATGAAGGCCAATCACTTTATTGCCCTCAAGCAATATCTGACGGAACACTTACGCAAGGAATGGATTGTTCCTAATGGAGCAGAGTATGGGTCCCCTGTTCTCTTTGCCAAAAAGCCGAATAGAGGCTTGCGTTTCTGTGTCGACTACCGCGAGCTCAATGCTCAGTCAAAAAAAGACCGCTACCCGCTGCCATTAATCAGCGAAATTTTGGAATGTCTATCTTGCGCTAAGCTGTTCACCAAGCTGGATATCAGGGTGGCTTTCCACCGAATCCGCATGGATCCAACCTCTGAGGATCTCACGACCTTCCGCACGCGCTTTGGCCAGTACAAGTACAAGGTGTTCCCTTTTAGACTTTGTAACGGCCCAAGTACCTTTCAGCGGTATATCAATAAGGCCTTGTTCCCATATCTGGATGAGTTCTGTACAGCCTTTGTGGACGATATCTTGATCTTTTCTGCAGACCCATTGGAACACTGGGACCATGTCTGCAAAGTCCTCCAGAAGCTCCGTGAAGCTGGCCTCCAGGCTGACATCAAGAAGAGCGAGTTTGCTGTCATATCAACAAAATTCCTGGGATATATAATATCAACCAGTGGCATATCAGTTGATTAAGCCAAGATTGCCGCCATGAGGGACTGGGAAGAGCCTAGGACTGTTAAAGAATTACAGTCTTTCTTAGGATTCTGTAACTTCTACCAGCAATTCATAGACAATTTTAGCAAGATAGCTAAACCTCTTTACCGTCTTATTGTGGCAATCAAATACCTATAGACTAAGGAATAGCAGAGAGCCTTTGACAACCTAAAGGATGCCTTATGCTCAGCTCTCTTGCTCTCATATTTCAAGGAAGCAGCTCCTACCAAGCTGGAAACAGACGCTTCAGATGGTGTAATCTCAGCAGTCCTCTCCCAACAGGATGAGCAAGACAACTGGCATCCAGTGGCCTATCTGTCACGAACTATGAATACAATAGAGTGCAACTATCCCATCCATGACAAGGAACTACTGGCAATTGTCTATGCCATGTGAGAATAGAACCATATGCTCACTGCCCTTCAATATCCCCTTCCTGTTTTCATAGATCATCAGGCATTCCAGTACTTCGCCACTAAGCGACAGCTCAATGCCCGACAAGCAGCCTGGAGTGAGGATATCTCAGGCCTGGACTTCACCATCTCTTACCGTCCAGGTAGGGAGAACCTAATAGCTGATACTCTATCACGGAAAGCTGTAGATCTGGCTACACAGAAGGCCATCAAGGATGAAAGTCGCCGCCAGATCCTCCTATCTGTTGAAAGGTTCAATGGACCCGTTGACCTGTCTGTGACCGACCCGTCACCTAGTCCAGAGGACAACCTGGTATGTGCCATTGTGGCCACCTTGGAAGCCAACAACCAGGACCCTGACGGTTCTCTAGAGGGTGTTCAGCTTATTGATGCTATCTTGACAGCCAACCGCTCTTCAGAGACCCTACTCCTTGAGCGGGAAAAAGCCAAACATAGTCAGCAGGGTTACAGTCTTGTTAATGACTTGTTATTAAAAAAGGGACGCCTCATGGTGCCTGATGAGGGGCACTTACACACACGACTTTGTGATGAGATTCACAGACTACCTTCCTGTGCACACCCTGGCCGGAACAAGATGCGTGCCTTGGTAACAGAGCGTTATTCCTGGCCAGGTATGGGTGCTTTCATAGACCGCTATTGCGCTCATTGCCCAGAATGTGGCAGAGGCCACAATTCCTGTCTCAAGCCAGCCGGCTTGCTATAACCTCTGTCTATACCAGATCGTCCTTGGCAACATGTCTCTATGGACTTCAAGACTATGCCAAAAGACAAGCTAGGCTATGACACGATCTATGTGGTGGTAAACCGACTAGGCAAACGCCCATGGTCTATTCCGATATATAAGACATGTACAGCCAAGGACCTTGCCACCTTATATTTCAATGGACCTTGGAGGGTCTATGGCACCCCTGAGACTGTGACTTCAGACCATGGTCCCCAGTTCATTGCTGCCTTTTTAGATGAACTAGCCAAGCTCACAGGGATGGACCTATACCGCTCTACTGCAGAGCACCCTCAAACAGATGGTCAGACAGAGATCATTAACCAGTTCCTCCAGACCAAGCTCTAACCCTTCATAAGCCACTTTTAGGATAACTGGTCTCAATTGCTGCCCTGTCTGGATTTTACCTATGCCATACAACCTTATACAAGTACCGGCTTATCTCCAGCTGAGGTTGAACTAGGATTTCTTCTAATCATGATATTTGACTGGGATAAATGCAGTCCCTTCTCAAGAAAGACGCCTATTATAGAGCGGCTAAGCCGTTCAGATGCTCAAGAATTTGCTGAACGCTGGGCACAGGCCGTGGCATGGGCCAAAACCACCCTCTTTAAGGCACAAGCAAAGTACAAGAAGCAGGCTGACAAGTCCCGACAACTAATTGACTGGAAGCCAGACGATATGTTATATGTACGCAAAGGAGCATGGCGTACTGACCGCCCACATGATGGATTGGACAACCCCTATATGGGACCATATCGGGTTATTAAATAGATCAATGAGAACGCCTTTGAGATTGACTTACCCCCTGGGATAAACGCTCATCGGGTCATAAATGCAAGCCGCTTAGTACGGTCACCAAATGACCCTGTCCCAGGTCAGGTGATCCTTCCACCGCCGCCCATCGATGTGGATGGGGTTCCTGAGTGGGAAGTTAACAAGATTCTGTCCTCCCGCCGCAAGCTGGAGTACCAGGCTGAATGGACAGGTCATGATCCTGACCCAATGTGGTACCCAGCAGCTAACTTTAGAAACTCGGCTGTACACGTCAAAGAGTTCCATGACACAAATCCCAAGGCGCCAGGTCCCCCTTAAAGGTTACAGCAATGGATAAAGGCTGCTGCTGATAATCAGGACCTAACTGATCTTGAGGAAGACAACCTGCCTATAAGAGGCTCTGCACAAGGAGTAAGAAGAACTCAGAAGAAATCATTGTCGTAAACTGACTTTGATAAAGGGGGGAGTAGTGTGACGGCCTGTACAGACTTTCCCACATGACAAGTGGATACTTCCTAATAAGGGAAGGATCTGACCAAAGGATCCCCTTAAAGGGGCAACCTCCCACTGTACCTATCTCTCTCTCTCTTCCTTTCCTCTCTAGTCTTGATATTCTCGTCAATAGAGTAATAGTTGCTTGCTGCCGGCCATGTCCCAGCTCCTCAGTACGCTCGCCGTGACACTCGCCGTGACAGCTCACAGTCTTCCACCGAGCGAGCGACAGCCTACCGCAGCATGACTTTCGCGACACGGCGTGGGCAGAAGGGAGCGATAATGAGAGCAAGGGGAGAAGAGAAGGCAGAAACCATGGCGCACACCATATCTGCACTTCCATCACCTATCACCTGCTGAGTCCTCTCCCATGCCCATGCCCATGCCCATGCCCATGCCGTACCTACTGTCAAGAGCCCATGTCGCAAGCTATGGCCATTGGGCTGCGCCGCTTAGGTGTTACTACCGATTCCCTTCCGCGTATGCATTGACTACAACACATGAGGCTCGCGCAGGCTTGGCGTTGGTGTCGTTGAAGAGCATGCCAAATAGGAAGAGGAGCTCGAGAACAGGGCTGCAGGGGTCCAACGAGAGGCCTGACGCTGATCGCTCAACAGCTGTGCCAAGAGCAAGCCGCCCGACAGCGACACCGATGGCGCTCAGCTCAATCTCCTTCATCTCCGTGTCCCCGGATCCTGCAGCCCGCATGCCCAGGCCTATTCCTCTTGCTCGTAGGGCTGATGGAGAGACGGTGCCCCCCCCATGAGCGGGCAAGGTTCCATCAATCTGGGCGTCCTTGACACAGCCCGAAGCGGTATATCCACGTCCAAGTATCGATGTCTTCTCAAGTTAGCAGCTGCAGTCTGTCGAGGATCGTCGCGATGACCAGGTCGAAGAAGATGACTACACTGTGATTAAACCAACAGTGTTGGAGACTAAGCGTGCCGCCACGTTTTGCTGGATACAGGGGGGGCTTTCAGCCCCTACCAAAAGGGGTAGAGTGCAGGTGGTGATGAAGGTGAGATCGCTTCAAAACTCTACCTCGTCGTCGCACGGCAAACGGTCAGACTGCTCTGCTCACGGCCACCGACCATGCGACCATATCCTTCGGTGCGTACTCCCTCTGCTGGTCAGGTCACTGGTACCATATAGGTCCCTTCCGAATTACAAAGACCAAGCAGATTCGAGAGCAATGGAAGCGGTCCAGTACCTAGGTAAAGTACCTGACTTGTTGATCCAGACGAATGTCACCAACCTCCCGTCGGCACGCTCGGATCACCTCCTACGGGAGGTACGTACCCAGTAAAGCTGCCACTTGATCTTGGCCCCTTCGAGCCGCCCGGCAGCTGTTGATTAGATGCAGGTGGGCCACTGCAGGTGTCCGCCCAGTACGTCATCCCGAGGTCAGGTAGATGGAACATACCTAAGAATGACGTCTTGGCACTTGCATCTCTCCCGTCTCCAGTTCCATAAGCTCGGGTATATGTGCATGTAGGTCCATACACATCTAACACTCGAGAGTAATCCAACAAACTTCAAGACACCTACGAACTCCTACTCTGTCGAAATCAGACAACTCGTCCCGACCGACAACCACACCAACTCGACCGAGCCGAACATCTCTCCCACCTCTCCTGGCTATCGCGCAGAGGATCCCTCTGATCCCGAACCATGTCCAAGATCATCGACGATGTCAAGACCGGCCTCAAGGGCGTCCGGGGCGCCGGCGACGCTGTGCGCGGCGGCCTAATGGATGCCACCGACCAGGCTTTCGACAACAACTCGAACCACCCACAAACCCAGGCCTCACAGCAGAAGAACCAAGCCATCGCCGAGAAAGGGAGGCAAGATGTGAGAGGCGTGGACGACATGATGGCGCGCCGAGAATGGGAACGCGAGGACGCCAAGGCTGCACATCACGGAGCTGGCGTCGACACCGCTGCCACAGCTCAGGGGGCAACCATTTCGGGACAACAACCTGCACATGCACCGAATGCGTCCAGCACAGGCACAACCGGGCATGGACTGCCATAGTCTCGCCTCGCCCTTGGAAGGTGATGGCAGCGAAGGATCATAGTCTCTGACAAACATCACCCGTCATCACCGTCATCACGGAAGCAACACTTTCATTGTGCTGGGTCATTAGCAGTAGCAAGTTTAGCAACATCAAGAGATATCCCTTTCAACTTGGAGAACTAGGAGGCTACAATCGACATATATACTGAACCGGGTCTTGCTAGACTGAGTGGTAAAGACCATGAGATTCCCACGCCCCCTTGCTAAACAATGTTCCTACCCCAAAGTATCGTCACATGAGGTGTGTGCTCCGGACGTTGGTCGGGATTACTATCGACTGGACTCCCACAGACCGTCACATGAGTTTGGGCCGAGGCCCAGTATCAACATGGTGTAAGCAATCCAAAACAAGTGATGCTCGCCGATGCAGCATTATACGCATCGAGCAGCCAATCTCGCGACGTCATATGCCGACCCTATATCTGGAGCCCGAGCTACCATCATCGGCGAGACTAGACACCAGGCAATAGAGTCAAAACCTCAAGGGAGTAATACTCGCTGATTCCACGTTAGGCTTCGAGTCGTAGTAGGTAGTGTCCGTCTCCTTGCCTCCCGCCCACCCTAGACGGTGAGACCATCCGTATAGGTAGTCTCCATGACCACCTATCGAGACGATGAGTAGCCCACTCAATTGGTCAAGAATAACATGATGAGTGGGGGCTTGCTGGCAGATGGTCCAAAGGGGTTCGCAGACACGTGGGAGACGTTGGCCTGTGACAGTCTATGAGGCGGGCGATGTGGTGTTGCACACGCCCTATACGGTATACTTCCGATCACGTTGAGCGTCATGCGCCGCGTAAGAACCCTGACAACATCATCCGACTTGGCACCGACTTGGTATTTGTCACCTCCGCCAGGCCGAACAATGTGGTGAGTACTCTGATATCAGTGGAATAACTCCCTTGGGATAGACTCCCTTGCTCGTCAGTTTACAGAGATGGACGAACGACTACAGGTTTAGCGATGGTTTTTGAGGTATCTATGAGGCATCACAGCTGTCGCTGCTCATTTCCTAGCTTTCCGAACTGGTGATATGTCAACGCGCTCTCTCAACACTATTAACGTCCTCCGAAGGAGTTTCTTCCGACGGTCCGCTTATTCCCCATATGGTACTATTGCTGTTATTGGAAGGCCAATTATAACCGTACGTTCAGACTGGCTTCGGATATGCTCACGAGTTATGACGAGGGTTCAGTGGCTTCTGGTCCCCTTACACGTGTATCTGTTTACTGGCCCTCTTGGGTTATGAACCTAGCTCTGCGCACCACGGCAATAGGAACGGCAGTAAGTTCACCCAATGCTGCATGGTATAGGACTTGACTGACTGATGGTTTTGACTTCCTTTCTCTGTGCAAACGGCGCATGGGAAGTAAAGTGAGAATGGGATGCTCCCGAGCAACATAGCCATGCGAATAAGTCGGTTTCTGCTGCCAAACTTGCTTCTCTCAAAGCCAGTGTAGGCGAATGAATCACATAAGCGACGGGCAGGGCGATGATCCCTTGAGACAATCATTTTATCTTTTGTGAATAAAGAACCTTGCACTAGCTATGGACGAGTAACGAAGGAAAACAACTCGAGAGGCCTGCCGTTGCATGGCGATTTTGCCAAACAGTTTGGCGACTCACGCAGACAAAGACACCATTTGACGACATCAAAGCTTTCTGCTAAAGGTATGATGAGTCCTCGGCAACGTCATGAACTGCTGCTCTCTCATCGACTGAATGACACAAAGGCTGTCTCCAGAGCATAAAGACATCTCATCGCGCAACCCAGTCAAGCCCTACCCCGGATCGAGTAGATACTGTGTTCTGGACGTCGCATGCTCAACATCCTCTACAATCTCCAACAATAATGGCTTATGTCTTCTGCCGTTACTGCGACAGCAGCTGCAGTGAATCGTGTTTCCGAGATCATCGAGGCCGGTTCCGATGCCACGATCGCCAGTGCCCCGGGCATGGAACACCCTTGGAAAGAAGAACAACTCCGAGGGACGGGCCTTCCGCCAGACCCACTAGGTTCTCGGACGGACAAGGGCGCCGCCGGAGAGAAGACTGTCTGATTGCAAGGGATTCCAGTACAGGAGAGAGGTTCAAGTACCCACGAGATCCATACCACGATGTCGCCCATCTGGAATGTTGCCGCGCTCACGGGGCCCCCAAACCAGGGTATAGATACGGGTACGATGAAGATGGAGATCCGGTAACATTTCGTGTAAGCGAAGAAGCAGCAGATTATGTCCCACATAGCCGGCAAAGCTCTTCTGCCGACCGACGTCAAGATGCCAGCCGGAATGCAAGTTATGGCGGGGCAGAACAGTATGATCGCGAACGGAATTACTGGCTGCCCAGAGCCCAATCCCATCGAGACGCCCGAGGGAGCCAAGAAACGGGACGGCGACCAAGCTACCGGCAACGGTCGCCGACTAGGAGAACCGAGCGCCAACCTAGTCATCGTCGTGACAGGCCGGATGCTCCCCGCAATGAAAGGAGCGGTCCAAGGCATCGAGACAAAGCCGGTGCTAGATCAGGGGATAAAGGCAATGCACCAATCAGACCTTACGAGGTCGAGTCCCCTCCTCCTTCCCCATCTGCAATGCCCCTGCGGTCGTCAGGCAGCCGCTCGGTGGATTGGGAGGTCGAATCCGTCAGGTCGTAAGCTTTGGAGTCTGTCCAACTGCTACAAAAGATAGGCTTCGCATTCGAGGATGCCGACACAGGGGATCTGAACACAAGCAGACAGGCAGATCGCTGGCGTCCAGCAAAGACGATGATAACTCTCTCGAGGACGATGAGATCTGTTGTCGTTGTTCTCAGCACGTACGGCGGCTGGATTCTTCGATCATGTAGCAATAGTTTATGTGGACATAGAATAGCTACCAGACAATGGCGTTACTGTCTGTAACAATGGGGTTGCGTCAAGATTTATCAGCGTCAGGGTCTCCCTTTCTGCATACATGTCATCCAAGGGGCTCCCTGCTGGAACTCATCATACTTAGACCCCCTCACCTCAATCACTGTTGACCTTGGTAGCTTGGTACATGGACGTCGAGCTGCTGGAACTTTCACTGCTCGGAGACCCTAGCAGCCTAGATCCCCTAGCAAAATGCCTGGGTGTCTCGAGCGACGAGCCATCCTGCCATCGTAGCTCGAGAGTCGAGGCTCTCCGATGCAGTCGCTAGTGGCTCTTATTGCAACTTAACCGCCGGCTCCGTAGGATCGGGTCCGGAAAGCTCACGCTAGATCCGTATTGGGGCATCTTTGCGATCGTAACAAGGGACTGATTGGCCATCCCGTTGAGCAGATAAACTTTAAACCGTTGGCCATCGCCGTCAAACACCGGATTCATTAGGTAGATAGTCTGATAGTAAGCAGTCCTTGGATGTGGACCCCTTATCCCCAGGTATGTACTACGGTATGAGCAGTCCGGTGATCACTTATTATGTAGGCTCCGGCGCCGTCCCATCAAGCTTCGTTCCATGAAGGTCACGGACCGTGCACAGAAGAGCCAAAAGCAGCGCAACTACCACCAACCCTATCTGCCTGTCTGATCCAAACGGAGCTGTTTCCCTTTTTTCGTGAAGAAGTAAGGACCAGCCTCTTCTTCGTACACGACAGTCCACAGCCGCGACCCTAGTCCCTCGTTGTTTAGTCTGGTCATAAGGGGTTTTTTACGTCCGTTCTGCCGCCTACGGCTCGGGAGACCACGATATATGTCGACAGTGGCCACGACATATGTGGAACAACAGCAACACCAACTAGTCTCGCGCGTTCTGTCACCGACGATACCGAGCAAGCAGAGAGCCACGAAACCCATGCTCAGATCGCAGGTCGTATGTCCAGAGGGTTCACAAAATCGAGGATGGCTTCCAAGAACACTCTACAAGACCTTATCGGCTCTTACAACAACTTCGACGAGCCCGAACCCGCGTGGAATCGCCCGGCGACAATCATAGGGCTGTCGTCTGTGTTATTGGTGAGCGGGGACTATTCAGCCCGGAGTCGTCATGAGATCTGACCTCTATATAGGTTCTCTCCACGGCCTGCGTCATATTCCGCCTATACGTGCGACTCTTTGTTATCCGATCGCCAGGATGGGACGACCTGTTCGTCTCGCTCTATCTCGTGAGTACTGCAGCGCTCACATGCAGAGGGAAGCTAAAGTGTTGTATCAGATCACCACAATCAGTGGAGGCGTCTCCCTCTGCCTTGGTACGGATATCATTCATTTCACCTGCCGGTTGTTGCTCACACTCTCTCAGCTCCGCAATGGGGTTTAGGCCAACACTTCCTCGTACTTAAACTTGACGACATGGTCTCATATCTAAAGGTGCGCAAGAGACGTGACTAGAGAGAGGCCAATGCTTGTCAGCTCACTCAGTGCCACAGGTCTTCTACGTCACTAATGCGTCGTACAACACGTCGGCGGCCCTGATAAAGATATCACTGCTATTCCAATATATGCGCATCTTCGATCGTGGCATGATGCGAATGGTCTGCATCTTTCTCCTGGTTATGGTTGGGCTTTGGGGTACGGCTTACTCCTTCATGGCTTGGTTCCCGTGCTTTCCTGCCCAAGGCTACTGGGACTGGACGGTGCGTTCCCGCTGCTATGCCTTCGGGTCACTCGACACGGACACCTTCTGTAAGTGGTATTCTGAGCCTTTTCTTGTCCCATATACAATGTCATCGGCCTTTATGGGCTTGTCATTTTGAGTTTGACTTACGAGGCACGCCTCATGACGTCAAACCACCTGAGAGGGCAATTGCTGACTCTGAGTGTCGCAGTCGCTACCTATGCCAGCCAGACCGCTCTCAACATGGTCTTCGATATCCTCGTTCTCAGTGTCCCAATCCCGATGTATTTCCGGAAAGATACATGCCATAGGACCAAGCTGGGGCTTCTAGGTCTCTTCTTCATGGGTGGAATGTACGTGGCCCTTTGCTTGCGGTGGCTATCACGCCGTCCAGATGTTGATGTTGCATAGCGTGAATGGCCTGTCCATCTGGCGGCTGGCTACGATTATTAATCATCGGGCAACAACTAAGCCCACGTTTGATCCTACATGGTGTAAGTCTCCCGAATTCTTGAAATTGGTCAGCCGTGGCGCGATCAGTCGCTCCATAGTCACCGATTTGGACCTGCATTCTCGGAACGTTGTTCCCATTGTTGATTAGTCCTGTCGCTAACGCGTGGCTATGCAGACAGTCCAGTGAGTATCTTACTTGGGATGATGGAGGTCACCGGGGCCAGCATCTGCGCTTCGGTGCCGGTGTTCTGGCCGGTTCTTACAGCTCGCATCGAGGAGATCCTAGTGACCCGAGAGATCCAGATCACCAGAGCGCACAGGTTTTCGGGGGACGGCGATGATCGGGTCGAACTTCAGCACAGCCGCACGGGCAGCGAGGCTAGCTTGGCACCGCTGGGGAAGCAGGTTCACTACAACGACGATTTCGTTCGGGATCAAGTCGATCCACTGAGACAGAAGCCTTCGTACGCGGTGGAGTCGGAAATCACTGCCGGCGGCCCTGGGAAGCAGAGGTCAAGAACGGCCGTGCAAGCCAAATCTTAGGGATAGATGCTCACTTCAATGAGGAACTCAACGGGCGGTTGTAATTGATCCTTCAACTACCACCCTCTAGTGCCAAGAGGCGAGCAAAGCGTGCCTGCGTTTAGCCGTCGACGAGATGAACAAATGGCCGAATGCGCTTCAGGGCGGTAAGACCCCGATTGCGCTGCGCACGCGTGAAGTGTGCCTCCAGATGAAATTTCAATATGTGAGGCCTCGGTTATGATACTGGCATTCCAGCCAGCTGCTCGGCGCTTGTCCTACCAGTGGCTGGTGGCACATGATCATTGTTGGTCAGTACCAGCTGAAGCACGGAGTCGGTTTGTGGTCCCAACAGGCCGGCACGGGGTTCGCACGTTGGTCGTAACCTTCCGTCGGGAATTCCATGCTCATAGCCCACCCACATTGAACCTATCCTTCTTCCCATCATCAAGTGATCCATCCATCCACGGATACTGATGTGTCCTTGTTGGTTCGACGTCCCTACTAAGGTAGAGGAGCCTGTATGTACCACGACCACATTAGCAGCTCGCACGCGTTATGTGCCTCTTCAGCGTGGCTTGGTCTGTAGGTGGCTCAATCCTGGGTACGGCGCCGTGCCTGACTCGCATCTTTCTGATGGAGGCTCTACTATATCTAATGGATATGCATGTGATATAGGGCAACCAAGACAAAGGCAAACTGCCCAAGTATAACACGAGGAAGAGAACCAACAGCGCGTCGGATATGTGCAGCACCAAGGGTACGGCCCTGAAACATCGCTCTCGAGGATCAGCTGCTCGATGAGAGCCTCCTGGGATGAAAAACTATCCCATGACCTTACCGCGTGTGCCTTTACCGAATGGCTCAGCTACTCCAGTCCGCGCATACACTCGAAATTCATCCTAGCCGGACGACGTCGTTGTACATGGGGGATGGGACTACCATCAGGTTGGCAGATCTCCCACATGAGGTCTCGACGGTATGACTCTAAGTACTACCTCAGAGTTCGGTTAGCTCAGGTGATCCGGCCACCAAGCAACGGGAGATATCTGTCTTTGTTCTTCATGAATATACATACTCGTTCGCTTCTCTTGAGTAAGGTGGTTTGGTCCTTGCCCTCCTTGGGAACTTGCTGCATCTCGAGTGCGTCCAAGCAACCTGTCACTTCCGAGCATTCTGTACAAGATGCCGAGCGACCCCAACAGGCGCCAACACCATCACCGCCGCGGCCACCACGACGACCATCAACCACGCCGTCACAGGTCGAGTCATCAAGAAAGCCATTCCCCGCCAGATAGGCGTTCACGCTCGCCGTGGGATGATGGCTTGTCGACGGTCGCCCCTAGTGACTCGATCAGCTGCGTAGGGGATAAAGACCCACGCGGTAATACTTCTTCCTCTCATTTACATAATCCTACAGCTAACCCGATCACACCAGGCGCCCGAACTCGTCACGACGAAGCCCGGCTACATGCGAATTTTGGACAAGACGCGACGAACCCATGGGACCCCCTGAACTCTGCCCAAGGCCACTACTGTGTTGGCCCGTATGGCAATCCACGGCCGTTTGTCCTTGGTAATTAAGCTCTGTACTTTTGGATCATGTTTTCATCACTAATTGTCTGGTTTACAGCCGGTACCATTTCACCTCCTATGCAGCAGATGCAACCACCCTATGGTTCACCCCACGGTTCGGGGCCTACGTTCGGTCCAGCGACACCCTTTGCCGGTTATGGGCCCCCAGGAATTCCACCGCCACATGCTCAGATCGGTCAGCAGCAGGTCAACCAATATCCAGTGTATGTTTGTTTGTTTGTTTGTTTGTTTGTTTGTTTTGTATTTAACGTGGGGGGTAGCTCCTCAGTAGTGCAGACCACGCCTCCCAGAGCCTCTGCATCGCAGGGTTGTGGAGGTCTCAAGAAAATAAGTACGGTCAGTCCTGCTCACGGGCCCATCCCCGTTGTTGCGGCGGTATGACCTTGGGATCATCCATCTGGTCCTTCAAGAACAGCTATCTATCAGAGACAGATTGTTGAAAAGAACTTGTTCTTCTCCACGAATTTTGCCCATTCTGTGCTCCTCTCTCCTAAGTATTGTAAACAGGCTATCCTAAGCGAGTACCTAGGCAATAACCGATTTTTTCTTAGCCTCTTATAAAAAAAAATATGTTGTGGTGTTTTCTTTTCACCATAGCTGCAGTGATTGTTCGAGTCTGTATGCCCAAAGCGTTCGTGGTATCTGGCAAAGTCGCCATGTCCAGATCTGGCCGCTAGAAGTCTGTATAGAGTGGTCCTCTTAAAGGATATAAGGCCTCTTTCAGTTACTGCATGTGAGTATACTTCTTGATACTTAGGTTCTGATTGGTCTTTTTACCATTGGTTGAACTCTTTCTTGCCCTTTCTCTTGAGATCTCTCTTAACCCAAGAGATTGTAGGAAGGTTTGTTGTGTCTGTTTCTAGCATAGCACCCTCTTTTGCTAATATATCGGCAGCTTTGTTACCATCAATATCTCTGTGTCCAGGAATCCACTTGACGGTCACTCCAGGAGTGTGTGCTGTGACGAGTTCTTGGAATCGCAGAAAAAATTTCTGTGATGTCTCGGGTGGAGTCCTATTGAGCCCATCCACCACTGATATGTTGTCCAGGCAGACATATAGCTGTTTTCTGTGTCCAATTGCCCTGGCTGCTGCAAGACCTTGGAGAGCACCATGGACTTTAGCATCCACTACTTCTGCTTGTAGAAGTCTGCCCCTTCCCCGGTATACTTCTTGTGTAGTGCCGCCTTTCCTGATGGTATAGCCCCATCCAGTGCGGGTTGTGCCTTGGTTGTCCAATTATGATCCATCCGAGTAGATGACAAGGTCAGTGTTCACGTTTCTCCCCTATAACCATTGCTTGAAGAGCTCTATTTTTTTGTTTTTATCCTTGCGGACTGGGGGATTCTTTTATGATGGCCTGGTAAGTGTTGGTCTCTGGAAGTCAGAAACTAGCTGGAAGCTCCTTTGTAGCCTTGTTGATTCCTTGCAAGCTTGTATTTGGAGCCTGCCAACAAGAGGGTGTCTCTGGTCTACTCGTCCGAGTCAGAGGCCGTGACGTCTTCTTATTGACTCTGCAAGAATTCCTGCTGGAGGAATCTGTGATTCAAAGTGTAGGATATGTCCAGGGTGTGTTTTCCAGACTGGCAAGATAGCTCTGATTGCCGTTCGTAGTACAGCATCTATCGTTCTAAGAAGCCCTTTAATGCGACATGCTGATGTCCCACCTAAGCTCCCAATTTTTTCCATTCCTGGGTACCAGGCAATATCCAGTGTATGGGTATTCGAATATTGTATATCCGGGCGCTCAGGGCGGACCAATAAATCGATGCGCAGATACGCGTGGCTATACGATGCCTGCGCCGCAGGGTTTCGCTGGGCCTCAACAGCACAGTCTTAGGTTTCCTCAAGTATCAGGGGATTACGTTGCGGTCCCCTTGTCTCATCATAGATCTAGACGACAATCGGAGACTCGGTCGGCGCATCGAAATAACGGTACGTCCCATGATGTAGAGCGAGCCCAAATGGGTGAGCGCCGTCGGCACCATTCATAGAGCCAGGGAATCCCCAAATCGACACCGAGTCACTCGGAGCAGTCAGGGATTCACTAGATCAACAGAAGGCGCATCATCAATGAGTTAGCCACTGGAACCCCGGAAGGTCAAGTTGCGCATATATGCCTACATCCGAAGACCTCAGCGTCCTGACCTGTCTTCTCGAGTAGGAATGAATGGATTGATGGTAGATACTGAGGGGTGGCAAGGGTGACTGGATGAGTCTTACAACCCTAGCATATTCTGAGACAGCGGGATGCGTGAGGGTTGGAGGGTGATGGTTTGACGGAAGCCAAGCTGGGGGAGGTCGAAGTAGAAGAACAATATATAGCTGACTTGGAGACTCTGTTGCACGCCGGGCAACCCCCTGGGAAACTGTTCGTTTAGGTAGCCACTCCTCGTGGATGAAAACGCGTTTTGGACCAGCTGAATTTCTCGTCTGGATGACCGGGGAGGCCTTTGCGAACAACCTCCAGAGCTTTTGGTAGATCGCAAGCGGAACATACCCGCTGAGACGTTGTCGCATCGTGTGGGGTGAGTGCGATAGCTGCGAGCACGCGACACGCGCTCTCATACTGGTTTCCCACTGGAATAGTTCTACTGATTTCTCTTGTTTGTAGGACGAGTCGCTCCGTCCCCCGATGCCACCAGAATCCGCCGGTACAATTTTCGATCAGCGTAATGGATGTCCGCAACTCTGGTATGAGTTCTATACGCACTTGCGGTATAAAATGCAGTTATATTTCGCTGCCTATGTATTGTCGCGTATGCTGGTGAGTAGCGACAACAGGTGCGCGAGCACTCATGCGAATGGGCGCAGGATGTAGCGTTAAGATCGACACTGCAATAGTTCGACCGCTCTTGGCCTCTCAGGTATCTGTACCAGTAAAGCAACATGTGACCCGGAGTAATTCTGCTCTGATTGTCACCCATGTGGAAGTGATATCATATTGCCATGTCGAAACCAGGCGGTAGGTGTCGCCGGGGACCATGCGCGAAACATGAAAGGAGGAGGCCGAAGGAAGGGCAAGGATGGGGACAAACCTTACAGTACGTCTCGCCCAGGGCCCCAGGCCCGACACGAAACGGAACTTTTAAAATAACTACATCATTTTTAGAACGGCGACTGAAAAGTTCCGAATTCAGACAGACGATGGATGGTCCTCATGGCCACGTTATATCTTGCACCCCGACATCTAGCTTTCGTTTGCCATTATAAATACCTACTTTGGGACCTTTTCAAGAAGACATGTCGTTGTACTTCTTTCTTTAATCTCGCTAGGCCGCTGGCCCGTTCTATTTAGACATTACCATCCAACCCGCGCCTTACATCATGAAGTCTACTTTCGCCGCAACCATCGTAGTGTTCGCGACCGTTACAGGTAGGGTGGCCGGAGCCCACCACAACCCGGATCGATTAGTCGTGGAGGTAAGTCGCACCATCATTACATTCGATTGCTATCCCTACGTGCCACTGCCATAGGCAAAAGCCAGCACACCGCTCATGATGTGGTATCACTAGCCCGAAATAGTAGTTTTCTATACTGATCAGGATGGGCCTATTTGAGACACAATTACCAGTTCACATGGTTTGATTTCCGCAGAGCCGAGCTTGTATTGTTCAATGCGGATAAAAACACCAACGTCCCAACCGTGCAGCCCTCTTATGTCACCGAAGAGCGTGTCATCAAGAGGAACGACGTAGAGGAGTTGGAGAAGAAGATCAAAGACGGAGTCATGAACGGGCAGTCATTCTGGAAATTGATGAAATTGAGGTCTTCTTGCCGCTGGGGGCAGGCTTGCAAGTCAATCGCAGATGCGCAGGACAACGCGAAATGTTCACTTTGCATTAAGTTCGAGCCACCGATGTTACTGGACAATGGCGAACTGGAATTGGGGGATGGATATGCAGTGGACGTACTCTCGGACTAAGACACGGACTACATATGGGAGGTTTACGGTGGTATATGAGCATTGGGCAAAGGTCGGCGTTCAGGTCGGTTTTTGTAGGCTCAGACAGCCAGAGTCTTCTAGCCTGTACGAACCCGTGTTCTTCCCGACGTCGAGAATTCGGCATCTAGAGCCTCTTGGCCCGTCCTGTAGAAACACAGCTACTTACCTATGCTTCTGATTCAGAGCCCAAATCCCTATCACCACCAATATCGCCACAAAGCGACTGCAGTAACTCCAGCGCTGCAGACTCGTCGGCTTGGATGGCCTGATGCTCCGAGTCGAGCTCGCTCGACAACCTCGCCAATGTCTCCTCTAGGCTCTCCACGTGGACGGGAACAACAAGAGTCTGATGCACTGGCATTTCACTCCATTGCTCCTCAGTAGAGGTACTCATGGCCAAGTCCTCATTATCACCAGTAGCGTCATAAGGGTTAAGCGATGAGAACTCGGCGTATGAATCCGGACTGAGCATGTCGTCATCAACAGTGGCGTCCTGGGGAGACTCCTTGTCGTCCACACTATCGCCATAGTGGGAGCGGTCATCGTCCATGTCATCGGCGTCTTCACTGCTAGTCGTCAGACGCCTAAGTATCTCGTTTAGGTTTAGTTGCAGCTCGCTGGGTGTTAAGGTGGCGCTCGTCGCTAGGGCTGGTGAACCGCAACGAGGAGGAATCTGGATAGAAAGTCTGGGGGGCATCTTGGAATGTTGAGACTTCCGACTTACGAGCTGATGAACTATTTGGAGTACGGCTGCCTGCGCTGCACTTACGGGTACTAAGGCTCCAGAGACTTAGATATTAGAAGCAGATGATGCGGTTGACAAATTTGTTGTCTTGACTCACTTACCTGGTCATGGACTACCTAGCCTTCCGGTCAAAAGCAACCGGTCATCAGGTGAGAAGTTTCTGGTATTTGTATTCGAGTCATAATGAGAGAAACAAGGAGTGTGTCATGTCCCTGTCCCTTTGTCGGTAAGTTGCCCATTAACAATTACATTGACTGACTGTACGCGGTTTTCGTGACAATGGGCTTGTGGGCTGGAATCATACTGGTACAATGTCGATCGTGCCAGAAGTAGCACAAAGCGACAGTGTCGCTGCCCGAGACCAAGGCGGCATGATAGTGACAAGGGTAAGAAAACGGTGTAGACTCTACTCTGCCCTCTCCTATTCCCATCTTTTTACCGGCTGCTCCCAGCACCGACATCTTCCCAGTCATTACACGCGTCATCAAGCTCCAAGCGATTCAACAGCCGCTTCAGCGTATTGATCATGGTATTCTGGGAGAACAGTCTCTCAAGTGCATCGTCCGGAAGGTCCTGAATCCTGTCCTGAATCGTCTGGATTTTCTCCTCCGTCGTCTCGCTGCGGAGCTCCTCGATGGACAGGTCCATCTCTCTCTGCACTGCCTTAGAAGCTGCAATCTCCAACCTAGGAATTAGTTTATCGACGATCCTGTCGACCAGAACATCCTGTTCCGTGCGAAACTTTGAGGTCACGTATCGATCGACGAGCGATATGATCCTCTGTTGGGTTTCTTGCCCTTGAGCGTCATAAGAGATGTAACCAGTGCCCGCCTGAGCCTCCGCGGGCGGTGTGTGAAGACCGTCAGGACTTTCCAGCTCAGCATCTTTGCTGCGAAGCTTGCTAGGTGGTGCTGACGAATCGAAACTTGGCGGTTGCTTAGGCCCGTCGGTCGAATGATGGCTGTCCTCTTTCTTTTGATGCTGGAAAGAACCGAAAATGCCCCGACGGACTGCGTTCTGAACGAAGCGGGATAAGTTCGGTTTCGTATCCCCTTCAAGACTGGGCGCCTGGGAGAATGGGCCGTGTGACGACATTTTCTCCGCCATCTCGTTCGAAGAAGTGGTAGGCTAGTGGGTAAGTTACGCGAATGGTCTTGGGTACGTCGCCGGCGGGCAATTAAGATTAGGTACACGTAGCGTACGGCCTCAATCTTTACGGCGAATGTTCACCTTCCCCGAGGGGTTTTGCAAATATTTATAGACTAGCTACTATTCATACCGAATCCCACCAAGGACCTTGAGGAGTCCGTGGTGGATGCACATGACCTCGCGATGAGTTCACCATAATGTTTGCTCATCGACAGCATGCAGTCACACCTTGTCATTGGATTGGCTACGGCTATGTATTGCATGCTGACTAGATACCCAGAAACAGTCAATCATTGTTGATTCGCGTCACAGGAACCGACGTCGGTCAACACTCTACTCGGTGGACTTCAACTTCTCCGAGCATGACCATGCCGGCTGTACCTTATCTTTTAATTACGAATATGCAAGGGTAGATACCATGTTCGACGCGAAAGCTTCGTCAGCAAGAAAGCATAACGCCATACTGATATCACTCTCGTCTTTGTCTCCTAGACGGATGATCCACATAGCTAGCTCTGTTGGGATATGAGCTCCGCGGGCTCCTACGACAGTGACTACCTCTCGCTTTATCGTCGTCTTTCTCCTTCGCTATTGGCGGCTTAGGGGCCATGGCTGTCCGTGGCTGTCCGCTATTTGTCAGGGCCCTGTCTTCTCCGGATGTATTCCTTGCCATAAAGAGTCTCGAGGGTTGGTTTGAATGCTGCCTCGAGCTTATCAATCTGATCATTAGCTGCTCTGTCTTCATCGTTCTTGTTTGAGTCTGGATCGGTCTTCGCGTCTTTTAAGTTTGAACTGGGATTGTTTCTCTGCACAATGTCGTACTCTTCCAGATCCCAGGACAAGCCGTCATCAGAATCTACTGACGATATTTCTGGTGATACTAGCCCTCTGGCCTCATATGGTAAATAGTCGGGGGATTTTCTTTCCCTGGTTACAGTGCCGTCCTTGTAGTCTCGTTCCGGGAGGATACTTTTCAGTAGACGCTCCGCAGCGTGTGTAAGATATAGTGCCACTCTTCCAGTGTCTGAAGAGGATGGCTGCGAGTTCTTGTCCATGTCGTCAATTCTTTGCTTATACAACGCTTGCTAAGTTTCGTTCTTTCCGGTGGCGCGAGCGTAAACTACAAGTTTTGAGCGGAGAGACTAAGATACGGTATGTTTTAGAAGCTCTTATAGACTACTGTCGTTGCCTGCCGTGTTATATTACTGACTCCATCAGAGCCGCATGCTTCCATTCGGAACACCAGAGATCCCCACGGAGTCGAGTGACCAGATCACTAAGTTCAGCTGATGTAGCCCTCGAGGCATCACATATCCAGGAGCTTGATAGACCCTATGACATGGCAGTATGGCACTCTATAGCTGAGATCTGTCAATGATTATGAGCTAGCCACCACTTGATGGAGTACCTGTTACTGTGTGTCTTGTGTGCTTTCTGTGTCTTCATTAGGTATTACTTATACCGGACTTCTTTGCTTGAGACTCAAGGTGTTTCTTGTGTGAGTCATCGATGGCTGATCCAATCGTGTCGATAATGCTGCGGACCTGGGCGCGCATGACCGCTGAAGGATTGCAATTCGCATGGTCATTGTCAACTGGAAATGTGAAGATGTTATATACTGCCACGGAAGACTGGCCTTTGGCAGCACAATGGCCAAATCCCATCCTCGGGAGCCCCTTTACGATTGGTCCTGCATTCAAAGAATCGCACTCGTCGCTCTGAACCCCAACTTTGCAGAAGGCGTAGTCCTGATGCTGTGCTCAGGGTCCCATCGGCACGGTGAAGAGTTGCAGCATTCGTTCCACTGTATCCGCGCGAAGCGACTCAATCTACTCTGACCTAGGTATCAAGAAGTATACTCACATGCAGTAACTGAAAGAGGCCTTATATCCTTTAAGAGGACCACTCTACACAGACTTCTAGCGGCCAGATCTGGACATGGCGACTTTGCCAGATACCACGAACGCTTTGGGCATACAGACTCGAACAACCACTGCAGCTGTGGTAAAAAGAAAACACCACAACATATTTTCTTTTGTAAGAGGCTAGGAAAAAATCGGTTGTTGCCTAGGTACTTGCCTAGGACAGCCTGTTTATAATACTTAGGGGAGAGGAGCACAGAATGGGCAAAATTCATGGAGAAGAGCAAGTTCTTTTCAATAATCTGTCTCTGATAGATAGCTATTCTTGAAGGACCAGATGGATGACCCCAAGGTCATACCGCCGCAACAACGGGGATGGGCCCGTGAGCGGGACTGACTGTACTTGTTTTCTTGAGACCTCCACAACCCTGCGATGCAGAGGCTCTGGGAAGCGTGGTCTGCACTACTGAGGAGCTACCCCCACGTTAAATACAAAACAAACAAAAACATACTGAGGAGCTACCCCCCACGTTAAATACAAAACAAACAAACAAACAGATCTACTCTGAGTGTTACACCTTAGCTAGCACAACATGACAGTAAATTGGCATATGTTGAACGTACCGAGTATCCCCGAAGGACTAGGGTACATGAAGGGTGCCACGCCCTATGGAATGACCAGGCCCTGTTCATCGACAGATGAGTTCTGCAGGAATTGCTTAATAATTCTCTGGAAAAGCTCCTCGTCTCCGAGCTCCCAGGAAATCCAGAGCTTCATTTTGTCTCTCCGCTTTCATTCCCACAGTCTCGAGTTGACTGTGTGTCTGTAAGGGCACGTCGCGGCAAAAAGAGAGCCATTGGCGGCCCACGGAGCAAGTAAAGCGGTGAGGTCGTATTAGTGATGACCGTCAGAGCGAAGAGTTCCTCTAGGGAGGGGGCCTTTGGCACATCCTCGAAGTTGGTGTTGATGAGTCGTAGTAACAGATGGAAGGTCGTAGGATCATCGACGGTCCATGGGGTGCCGCGGGAACTCGATTCAGATTGTCATTCGACAAGTGATCCGAAAAGCACCTTTTCCCAAACTGTAGTTGCACGCGCTATGGACTTGGCGCAGGCTCTGAATCGCTGGTTCTCATCTTCGGATCCGACCAGAGGGCCAAGGTCACCCCGCGCTTCAATCTGGTAATTTGGATGCCTTGCGATGGCTGACTGGATCGTCGCGATCTCTCAAGGATTACGCTTGGGCCGATGGGTGAATGTATAATGGTACTGACGCCAGATGATGGGCTATAGGTTCATCAAGCCATGGACCTCGATGGGCCGACCTGTGCACGCGTGCTGTTTGGTCGCAACTGTGCCGCTACTCCTCATGCGATGCGTAATCCATGAGTGACTATACCTTAGGTCTTGACAGGATAAGTGAAGGCGACGAAGTAGCCCTTGGCCCAGATACACGGAGCACCAAAGACTGCGCATGGTTGCTTGTCACACTGCGGTCAAGGCATGGATGTTTCGTGAACGAAGCGAGTCAATCCACACAAACAAGCCGATCCTCGGAGCAGAGCGTGTGAAATTGCCCGATCCCGAAAGATCTCCGAGTGTTGTGTCTTTGAAACGTCATGTCATTCTCCATTTTTTAAAGGTATGACCGGCACATTATTCGTGCGCCGCTGATCTGTCTTGATCGGGCTAATTTGTATTTGCTCGAGCCTTCAACAGCATGCCGTGGCCAGTCTGATCTGGCAGCTCGTGATCACATCCTATAGGACCTCACCCTCGAGGGAGACGAATTGTCAAATACTGTTGAATAGATGAAGAGGGTGCTATATCCGTCTAGCCCAAGGGAACAGCGGAGGCCCACGGCCGAGACGGACTCGCATGGATCTAACACCACATCGTCATGATACGCGACCCCGGAAACTAAGACGTCATGGACATGCCATGATGGATCTCTTCGCAGATGGTATCCGCTTCTCCATTTTGCATTACAAAGCAAGCAACCGTTGGCAGAAGCGTCCGTGGGCAGACTCGGTCATATATCATCGGGTTTTGAGATGCAGAACTTCTCCCATGGACTGAAGCGCTTCGATATAAACATTGAATTGACCTGACCCCGATTATCACCACCATCATAATGGCACCACGACGTTTCCCCGGTGAAGATGTGGACACCGCGCCCTTGGGCCAGCCTCTGCATTTCGAATTCAGTGGCAAGACGGCATCGAACCGCTTCATGAAGGGTGCCATGACGGAGAGGCTGTCAACTTGGGACCCAAAAGACCTCCCTAAGCGTGGTGTGCCGACGAAGGAGCTCATAAATGTTTACCGAAGATGGGGAGAAGGTGGCTTTGGAGTGATTTTGACAGGAAACACCATGTTCGAGTACGACCAGCTCGAAGCCGCCGGAAACCCCATCATCCCTCGCGATGCACCCTTCTCGGGACCACGATTCGAGGCTTTCAAGGAGATGGCGTCCCAGTCAAAGGCACACGGCAGCCTGGCAGTCTGTCAATTATCCCACCCTGGCCGCCAGGTTGCTGCCAATATCCAATCTCATCCGATATCCGCCAGCGATATTCAGTTGGAAGGCGATGTCATGGGGATGACATTTGCGAAGCCCCGTGCTATGGAGAAGGCAGACATAGAAGCTGTCATCGACGGTTTTGCTCATGCCGCCGAGTACTGCTACAAAGCCGGGTTCGACGGAATACAGCTTCACGGAGCGCAGTGAGTCCCTCGAGCCTGGCAAAGGCGGATGAGGCCAGCATTGATAGGTAGCTGATGAAACCCTAGTGGTTACCTCCTCGCACAATTCTTGGCACCGTCCACGAACAAGCGAACCGACAACTATGGGGGCTCGCTCATGAACCGAGCGCGCCTGATCTTTGAGATCTCAGACGAGATTCAAAAGCGGGTCAACGACAAGAAGTTCATTGTCAGCATTAAGGTCAACAGTGTCGAGTTTCAGGACGGCGGCTTCTCCCCTGAGGACTGCCGCGACCTTTGTGTCGAGCTAGAAAGGCACAACTTTGACTTCGTTGAGCTCTCGGGCGGTACCTACCAGGCGTTGGGCTTCTCGCACAAGCGGGAATCAACCAAGAAGCGAGAGGCCTTCTTCCTTGAGTTTGCCGACATGATTGTGCCACAGCTGAGCAAGACGAAGGCCTACGTGACGGGTGGGCTGCGCACTGCTGGAGCCATGGTCGACGCACTCAAGAGCGTCCACGGTGTCGGCCTTGCACGACCAGTGTGCCACGAGTTTGACTTGCCGAAGAAGATGCTCGAAGGCAAGGTCAAGAGCGCCATTGATTACAAGATCGACGAATCAGATTTCGGAGCGACCAACGTCGCTGCGGGAACACAGTACGTTCAAACCACCGCAATCCCCCATACCTATCAGGTGTGGTTACTGACAAGTCAATTTAGGATCCGTCTGGTAGGGCAGGACAAGGAGCCCCTGGACTTGAGCGATGACAAGTACTATGACATTTTCATGAACTCAATGCAGAAATGGGGTGGTGAGATGGGCGAGAACAAGGACAACTCCAAGTACGGGTATGTCGATATCGAAGGCACGAAGCTGGAGCCATTCGGAACAGCCTACGGCAGTTCTTGATCAACGTCAGGGGTATATTTTCGTATCTCAGGGCAGAAGAGGTGATCCTTGTTTCGATAGAGGTGGATCATGTAGAAGTAAGACCGATACCGGTAGACCATAGACAAGCGACTACGAGCCCGTCATGACCACGACTTGGGTCAACTTTCCGACTTCATGGCGCCTCGCCTCCCTGTGACCTTTCTGATACCTCATCACCGCGTACGAGGCTTCCATTTGTCGCTAGACTATCATAGTCCTTACTGCTAAGTAGGTGACGGGATATGAGCAACCAGAACGTTATGCATACCCTGATTGATAGTGCCCAGCCGCCAAAAGTGCACATATACCCTCTGTGGATACCTCATGTCAAAAGTAGGAGTGTCGTGAACAGTTCAGGGCCCTAGTGAGTCTCTCCCTAACCGGACAGTCAACATCTTCGACACTCGGGGCATCCAGCTCCATCTTTCAGGATTGCTGCCGAGCTCAGCTGGATTCGAATCCGTCCCTAGAACATCCCCGGGGCCGAGCTCTGGAAGCGGGCCATCTATGCCCAGCTCGGCGTCCGGGTTCTTTGGCCTGGGACTCTCTTCCTCCGGGTGTTTGGCGTTTCTTTGACGACCCCGTCCGACACACTGACGCAGCCATACGCCAACCTCGAGGGGGAACAAGCTGTCTACCTTGCCAGCACGGTACTGACGGTAACGCCTGATGAACATGAAGATGGCATACCCCTGGATTATCGCAATTAGGATACCCGTCAGGACGACAGCTGCTAAACTGAAGCTAGAGACGCCGGCGCGCTCGTTTTCCTCACTGGTGGATCCAACAGCTGATGAAGCCAGGGTACTGGGCTGACCGAGCGAGGTGGTGGTAATCGTTGGGTCCTTTCTCGCGGCAGATGTCGTGACTGACGTTGAGATTGCAGGGGTGGACGCAGAGAACGTGGAGGACGGAATCTGGGGTTCTATTGACGGGTGAGACGTGTCCTCTGCCATCAAGGATAGAATTAGAGTCTCGGAAACGGAGGTAGCGGTGGTCGTTGCGTGAGAAAGGGATAAAGAAGGCACTTGTATCACGGTGGTCGTAGTCTCGGGTGTCGACAGTCCAGGCGTCAGCGGATCGGTCTCGAGTAACGACAAGTCTTCCTCCCGCCAACGAATCTGAATGGCCGGTCCGACAGTCGCCGCAGCGCCGTTGGCCGAAGCCGTACGCAAGACTCCCCACACTCCACCTCGAAAGTCAGACGTGTCGCTCGTACAAGTGTGACCGCTGCAAATACCAGAAAGGCTTCATTAGGCAACCTTGCAACAACAGGAGACGGACGCAGTGTTTCCTCACCTAGGCACACAGTACGCCGCTGTCTCGCCGGCCTCAATGGCCGGGAAATCCTGGGCCGTCCGCGGGTTGGTGATCTCACACGAAGGCCCGATGCTGAACCCGCTCGGACAGATAGCTGGTGAGTAGTACTCGAACCCGCAGCTGGCAAGGTACCTGTCCCACGATGGCGGATCGCAAGCAGAAGGGCCATTGGTAGGGAACGGGGGGCATTGGGATGGCACTCTCGTAGTGGTCAGCAGCCATGTTGTCGAGCACGGCGGAGTGAAGACACTGGTGAGAGCGGCGAGCGGCGGCACAAGATTCTTGGACATGTCGGCGAATCACTTCCCACGCACATGGCAGGCACTCGAGTGGAAGCTGGCGCTGAATGGGTTGGTGCTGATCCGTAAGATGCCAGTCGGGGATCTACCCGCGAGCTGGAAAGGTCAGAACGCTCGCTGGCAACAAACAGGGAGTCAACGATGGTGATTCAGGCTTGATCTAATATGACAAGGTGTATGTCATAGCGGTCGACCGAGCAGATCTCATCCAGTCGACAGTCGAGACCTCGACGCGAAGTCATCCGGGATCCGTGAGGGCCATGGATGATGGCCCAGGGAAGGCTGGAGGGCTCTGCTTTTTAGCAGATACTCTGTTGGTAAGAGGGTGCTCGTCGACGTTCCTGGCACCTGCGACGCACTGAAGAGCTGCCCCAAAACGCTGCCAAAACGTATGTATCCTTGCCCGCAGGTTGTCGTCGTTTCAGGCCAAGATGCGGCCACATCGTTGACCATTTTGGCGACCACGGTCATGCCGGAGCGGCGCCCAACCTGCTGCTGCCAACCCGACACAGGTGAGCGGCCCAGTGCGCCAGCTCTTCCGCCATGGCCAATGAAGAGTGTACGGTAGCAGATCCACGTCGTTCCGGCAAAGGGGATCTCGGTTTTGACACGACAGCCGCAAGCTTGGCAAGACAAGGTACCTTACTTTATCTTTTAATCAGCCCTCCCGAGTCCCCAGGCCGTCTCAAGCTGGACACTGGAGAGGACAAGGAGTGAAGCTTTCCTTCGGTTTACCGTGCCGTCGCCATGGCAGTTGGAACTTAGTCGAGGTCAGTTTCCTTGTTTCACATGTCGGGTTGCGGACCTCCGTCTCAGAGAGATATGGTCTGCGTCGCGCCGACTGCACCAAAGTGTCAGCATCACTTCATCGATGTCTTCAATGAACGTACACAAGGGAAAACAGCATCCACAGCGGCCCTAGGATTTTGTCGGAAATGTCTGCACTGGCATGGTCATCCGCCAGCGTGAGTACGCTTCACATTACCTGTGTACGCAGCTGTGGCTTTCCGCCTGGTCTAGCAGCCAGTGTCTACTGTGTAAAGGGCAGCAGAGAAGGGTCATTATCCCAGTACGTCGGCTGGGCTTCCTGCGAGGAGTGCGCCAACATGAGACTCGAGCGCTGTGTCGCACGCATGGTACTTTTAGAAAATAAATGGCAACAAGGTAGCGACGCCATACGCGTCACACTGCCTAAGCACCCAAAGGCCATCGTTATCATCGACTCTGTGTGCTGGCACCGTGCTGGTGAAGATTCATAGTGTGGGAGACGGGTGATATTCTCTAGCGACGACTACCCTTGTTTCTCAGACATCCAGCCCAGGGGAAAGGAAAGAATATTCAGCGCCTAAGCCATCGCTATGCTATCACCGTCTACTCTGCCTGCAAACATGCTCCGCGGCGGAAAGATGCTCCATGATGTCCTCCACATCGGTCTCCCTCGATTTATCGAGTAGCATCGTACAAATACCAGACCCGTGAACCCCGAAGGCACCGAAACGTGATTCCCTAGACCCATATGTGCATCGCATCAAAAATCGTAACTGTATGATCAACTTGATATGCGTTTTCCCAGCAGAACAACGAAAAGTCGCATAAGCAGCCTCAACGCAGTTACTCGGCCAGGAATTCGCGTAGTATAACCACCAACCTAGGCGCTTATTCCACCACTGAGATCCTCGGCAACCTTGCCGGCGGCATCAGCCAGAGCCTGCATACCCGTAACCTGACGACGAGCCGCTCTCTGCTCCTCGAATCGGTTCAATCGGCGGTCCAGTCTCTCCATTCGTGCCTCCTGGGCAATGACGCTCGACTTGGTCACTGTGAGGTCGTTGTTCAGGGCGTCGACTTGACGCTTCAGATCCTCAACCTGGCCCCGAGTGACGTTGAGCTCGTTCTTGAGGTTGACAAAGGGCATCCCGGATGCGGCCTGATCTCGCTGAAGCTCGGGAATCGATGGGAGGGGCTGCTGGTACGAGATATGCCCGTACGGGGGCTCAGACGCTGCACCCTCGATGCTGGGCAGTACATAGGGCAGTGCTGGTCCAGGGGTCGATCGAGGGCTCTCCGAAGACGGCTGGGCGAACGAACTGAAGCCCGGGGGAGCCATGATGGCAATAGGGGCACGTTGCTGGCCCTGCTGAGGCGGAGGAACGGCGTAACGCTCCATGAAACGTGCAATCTTGGAATTTGCATCGATCTTCTGGCGACGGCGACGATCCATGACGTCCTTTTCGACATCGCCCAGTATGAAGTTGCGTTTGTTCTCGTTGGCCATCTTGAAGGTCTCGGTATCCGTTCGGGCCTTCCAGGCGCGCGTGACGGCCTTGGAGTCGGCTGCCTTGGCCTGTTCGACGGTGCGTTGATATTCGGAGAGGCGGGAATTGCGAGCACGGGCGCGGATGGTGTTCTTGTTTTTAGAGTACTCCCAGGAAGCCTTGCGTGAAGCCGACATGGCGAGAGAGAAATATGGGATAAGCGGCGCTTATCCCACTTGTCTGAGGGTGGTAATCGGGAAAGTGGTATTTACGACACTGCTTATTCGAATTGTTCTGAAGGCAGGTGGTCCAGTCGGTCACCCTTTACTCCTGCACATTTATGTCAGTAAGGCAGAGATAATGGAATGATTCAGATGATGGATTCGTCATGGGTGCAGGAATCGACTAACCGGTAGCTGTTCCAGAAGGCGTGCAGTCTTGCAGTTGCAGTGGATTGAGGTGCTGGAGATGTGCTGGAGTGACGGGTGATGTGTGGTGGTGTGGTGGTGTTGAGAAGAAGAGGGTGAATATTGGGGTAGTTTGGTGAGAAGCCAACCGAGATGACTCGCGGTAGAGGAGGAAGGTGAGCACCAGTGAAGTAGCAGAGGCAGGTGTATTGGTGCATGAAGGGGAGCAAGAGGGACTCTCAATGTTCATGTGTGATGTATGATGGCTCTCGCGCCCTTTTGCCCTAAGGCAGGTACGTTGGAAATATCGTGGATGCATTACCTCAGGTAAGCTCCTTGAACTGGGGCAGAGCGCTTCAGCAACTTGATCAGGATAGGGGAAGGGGGACGAGCGTGATTGACAGTGAGAAGATATGGTCAACTACGTACTGCATATCTACCTATGTCGTTGTCTCCTTGACGCCGGGCTGCTGCATACGTGGTAACTTGCGAACTGCCTGCTGTAACATCGAGTCCAAAAAGTACTCCCTGATGATTTTGGCTGCCCATTAAGTGATACCAGCCAGCATATTCCAGTCCAAATCCCAAAGGATGGACCGTGCTGTGCGATGCCACTGCGCCAGATATATACTCTGCCAGATGTGGGAGTCGGGCACCCAAAAGACAAGAGCGGACCTAGGCTAAACTGTACTGTAGACCACTCAGATGTTACCTGACCTCATCTTAGGGAACGTGGGCGGGATTTCCAGCGGAGAGTCTATAGACAAGGAGCCGGCGGAGAAGTGTGCACCACAGTGGTCTGAGCTAGTCGAGGGACGTCGAAGCGATGCGCCACCCTACTGGGCGTTCGCTTCATTTCCTCCTCCTCCTGGACCACCGCGCCAGAGGCCATAGAAGCCCTCGCAGTTCTTCCACATCTTGATCGTTCCATCCTCTGAGCCGGTGGCATACAGCTTCCCGTCCGGGGAGAACGCGACGGACCAGACCGGTCCATGATGGCCCTTGTGGATATCTTGAGAGACATTAACATGGGCAGAACTTCCACCATGGAGTACCAAACACTTACCAATCTCGGAACCATCGTCCCAACGATAGACTCTTGCCCACGTAGCTGGAATATCCTCCCCGACGACGATCTTCCTGCCCTTGGGGTCCAATGCGACACTGGCAACCTTGTAGTCCATCTTGACGCGCTTGAGCTCCTCGGTTGCACGGATCCCACTCCAGAAATAGATCGACTTGCCAGCTGCAACAGCCAGGACCGGGAAGCCTTCGCCAATGTCCGTCTTGGAGGTGTACTCGGGAGCCAGCGCACAGAACTCACAGGAGCCGATCTCTCCGTCCAGAACCTCCTGCTTGATAATGCTTCGGGAGGGCAGATCAAACCAGCGTAGAGTGTTGTCAGAGGCTGTGATCAAGATGTTCGGGTCCCTAGTCCAGACGATGAACTTGATCGACGCAGTATGGGTTCCGGCTCCAATCTCGAAAGCTGAAGAAGCCGGAATCGTGGATGCCAAAGCAGCAGCACCGACACCGTTCCCGTTGTAGGAAGAGTCGCCTGCACCAGACGCAGGCTTCATCTCGGTCAAGTCAAAGATGCGAAGCTTCTTCTCCATGCCGCCGGTTGCGACCAAATCGGAGTTATCGGGAGGGTATGCGACAGCACGGACGATGTGGTCGTGTTGGAGGGTTAACAGGGCCTCGCCAGTATGGGTATCCCAAATCTTCCTGTGATGGGGTCAGCGGGCGTCGCAAGCATCTCTGGTGGTATATGCCTGCGGCAGCCTGGGCGCGCGGCGGGATTACTCACGCTGTGAAGTCTGCAGAGGCGGTCGCAGCAGTGGAAGCGTCAGGGCTCAGCCTGGCTTGCCAGACAGCGCCCTTGTGACCTATGAAGGTGCCGATCCAGTCGCCAGTCTGACCATCACGAAGCATGGGATTGCCGTCTGCAGAGCTCAGGGTCAGCACTATTCCAACATGGTACAGCGCGGGAGATTCGACCAGGCGCACGTACCCTTGCAAGCCGAAATCAGGTAGTACACGTCGTCCTTCTCAAGCGGCGAGAAGCTGATATGCGGGACTGGGCGCGAGTGGCCGTGGCAGGTCAGAGGGACGTATTGTCTGGGGGCGTCGGCAGCCATGGTGACAGGAGATGGTGGAATTCGGAGTCGGACTGGGAGTGAAGGAAGGGTCTCAAGTCCTCAGGCGGTCACAGGAGTGGTTCTTGAGGCAGAGCGCAACAGGGGATGCGCAAGGATGTCTATGGCTGGGTATCTTCGGTATCGTGTCAATCGGGTCTGTTTGTTTGTTGGCGTCTCGAGACCTGAAAGAGGTACGAGTGCGTTCAACGAATTACGGTTCAGGGCAAAGGTGGATCGCGAGATCTGGGAAGTCTTTTGTCGCAGGCTGCGAAACCGGTAGGGCGAGTCGAGAAAGAGAGAGTGAGGCAGTCAACTGATCAGGGTTCTTGTTTTTTTCTTGTTCTCGTGGTCAATTCGTGTTTGATGTCGTTCTCATCTGCGTTCGCGTCCAGTCGTAAATGGGTCGTCAAAGAGTTGGAAGGGAAAGGACTGCCTATTCGTTCCAGTCGTCACCAAAGAAGAGGCGCATGCATCCACCTACTAAGAAGGACGAAATATAATAGAGAACCAAGGAATGGCAAGACCTCCCAGGCGTATCGTGGTTGTGTATATAGTCAGGGATCGTGAATTTCGACACAGAACCTGGGGACATGTGCTGATGGAGGAAATTGAAATGCAGTACCTCCCGTCCAGCTGCTCCTGATGGCACGGTGATGGTGGTGGTGGTGGTGGTGAGACCGTGAGACCGTGAGTCCCTTGCTGGTGAACACTGAGCACCTGCAGCCGGCCCCAGGTCGGGGCTGATGCCGATCCGAAGATATGCCGGCGGGGACTGCGGGGTTCTCTACCTAGGTAGTTGGAGGGGCTAACATCTAGTCGCCGCCGCCCCAGCGAGAGCTCCCGTCCAGCTGGGATCAGCTAGGTACGCTGTGGTATGTCATCCTTCCAACAACTTCCACTTCCACTTCCTGCTTTGGAGGCCAAACACCCGCACCCGTCAATCCACGACATCTTCAAGAGGCGGGACACATTCCTCTCTTGCTTCGTTGGCCATCTGCCTTTCAGACCCCTTGAATTCACTCTCACACTTCGTAGTCGAGCAAGCCTACCTCTAGCGATCCCCATTCTGCTGTTCAGAGCCATTCTGTGCCCCTCCAAAGCTGCGAGCCTACCTCTCTCTCTCACCCACACCCGCATGCCCGGTCGCTGCTCTTTCTCTTTGCAGGCAAGGCGCAAGCAAACCAACACAACGACTCCTCGACGTCCAGACCCTCGCCATGTCCGACTTCAAGCTTTCGGCGCAGCTTGCCGCCCATGATGCGGATGTACGTGCTTCACATTCCAACCCGCGTCACTTCCCCAGCTCCGAAGCAGACAGCCGCCCATCACAAAACCACCCGGGGTGCCTCCAGCTGTGTCACGGCACACAACCGCTTCGTCCCTCCTCCCTCGTCACTCTCCTCATATGCCCATCTTTTGATGATGGGTGCCCTTTTGCCATCGCGCTAACTTTGTTGTTGCAGGTCCGAGACGTCTGCTTCCCTGCCCCAGACCTTGTTCTGTCTGCTTCGAGGGATCACACCGTTCGCGCCTGGAAGCGAACCTCTACATCGCTCCCGAACTTCGAACCGTCCATCACGAACCAAGGCTCCGAGTTTGTCAATAGTCTCACGTACCTCCCTCCCTCCTCTGAACTACCCGATGGCTTGGTCGTCTCTGGCGGCACCGACACCATCATTGACGTCAGGACTGCCACCTCGACGCCCGCGGACAATGCCGAACGCCTGTTGATCGGCCACGCACACAATATATGCGCCCTGGCCGTTGTTCCCGGTGGAAAGCACATCGTATCCGGCAGCTGGGATAACACCGCCCGCATATGGAGCATTGGGAAGTGGGAGGTCGAAGCTGTTTTGGGAGGCCACGAGGGCGCGGTTTGGGACGTCCTGCCATTGAGCGAAACTATCATCGTGACCGGTTGCGCCGACAAGAACATACGCATATACGATCTGCGGAACAGCGTTGCTGGTGAGGTCGCACCCCAATCCACCATCCACACCCCTGAGGTCATACGGGCCATATGCCGGGTCCCTCAGGGCCACCCTAGCGGTGCAGATGTTGCCAGCGCCAGCAATGACGGTGTCATCCGTCTCTGGAAGCTGAATGGCCAGCAGCTCGGTGAACTGCGTGGCCACGAAAGCTTCATATATGCCCTCGCGGCACTGCCTACTGGCGAACTCGTCAGCTCGGGAGAAGACCGGACTGTTCGGATATGGCGGGGCTCAGAGTGTGTCCAGACCATCACGCACCCTGCTATCTCGGTATGGACTGTCGATGTATGCACTGCCAATGGCGATATAGTCTCCGGTGCTAGCGATGGTGTTGTTCGGGTCTTCTCTCGGAGCTCGGAACGTGCTGCCAGCTCGGAGACCCTATCACATTTTGAGGAATCGGTCAAAGCATCATCCATACCACAGCAGCAGGTCGGCAATGTCAACAAGGAGAAGCTCCCCGGCCCAGACTTCCTCCAGAACAAGTCTGGTACAAAGGAAGGACAGGTACAGATGATCAAGGAGGAGAATGGCTCTGTCACAGCTCACCAATGGTCGATGGGCCAGCAGCAATGGATCAACGTCGGCACTGTCGTGGATGCAGTTGGCAGCAGTGGCCGCAAGGTCGATTACAACGGGCAATCATACGATTATGTCTTTGATGTTGCGATTGAAGAAGGCCAACCCGCTCTCAAGTTACCCTATAACCTCTCTGAGAATCCCTACACGAGGGCTCAGAAGTTCATCGACGACAACGAGCTTTCCCCCAACTACCTGGATCAGGTAGCGCAGTTCCTCATCAAGAACACCGAAGGAGCAACAATCGGCCAGGATGCTGATGAATCTGCTGGGCCAGACCCATACGGCACAGAGTCACGGTACCGCCCTGGCGAGGAGTCGACCTTTTCTAGAACAAGGGCCATCCCGCAACGGGAGTACCTGGACATCACTTCCGCCAAATACGAACGTAGGTTCAGCATCGAATGATACTGTTCATGGTGGCTTTTCGTACTGATTATTGTCTTAGCAATCCTCAAAAAGATCCTGAGTGTCAACTCGGCGCTTGTCGCTGCAGGCCGCAAAGAACTCTCTCTCAACCCTCCAGCACAAGACACCATCAGCGCAGTGCGACAGGCACTGGAGGCAAACAAGCCCCTAGCGGATGCGGACTCGGTCAACCTGATCGTGGTGATGTGTACGCAATGGGATTATCCCGACCGCCTTGCCCCTTTAGACTTATTTCGATGCATCGCGACGTCGCCTGCTACTGCCAAGTTCAGCACACCGAGCCTCGGGACTCCAGTCCAGATAGCAGTCTCAGCTGCTCTCGACGGGATCCCTAGTGGGGGCCAACCGAACGAGAATTGTGTCATGATGGCTGTACGAACGATTGTCAACCTCTTCCGAACCGCAGAAGGTCGAAAGCTACTTGCCCAACCTTCGGAGGCACTCCGTGCTATATCATTTATTGACCGGGTGTTGGGTATCGGAGGCCAGCCTGCCATCGGCCCGTTCAACCGAAATCTACTGATCGCTTTGACAACGGCAATGGTCAATTTTGCAGTGTTGGCGTCCAAGCAGTTGGGCAAAGTCACGACCAATGCTCAGGTCCGTCTACTATCGGCTCTAGCACTGGTCTTACAGAAGCAGACCGATGGGGAGGTGGTATTCCGCGCACTGATAGCTGCCGGTACATTGATTACTGTCATTGGCAAAGCGGCTCCTGAGGCGAAGAGCTTGTCTTCTTCGATAGCATCGGCGAAGGACCGAGTCTCAGACCCCAGAGTTAAGGAGGTAGCAGATGAGTGTCTGGCGCTGCTGAGATGACACACATGTGCATGCGATTATCAGAAAGCGGCACAACTATTTACAGACGCCCCATTGCGTGGCAGATGGGCATATTCAAGAGTCTCCACGGCTTTACAGCATCCTCAGCCGACCCTTCAAAGAGGATACGTGGTTGGCTAGCAGACTTGCAACGGTGGAATAGCCTACGCCGAAGCAATGTCTTGTAGATGGTAGTAAATGGGAATAGACCAACGGCGCATAATATATTACGCCATGTATGTTACAGATCAGCTGCTAACTAACTACCCAGTGCGTCTATCTTTCTGTGACAACCTATTTTTCTGTGACAAGCTTTCTCCATGGGACCATGAGTTGACGATTCCATTCTAGTGCGGCGGCCCGGGTTGGGACCATCGATATATCCCCATGTGCTACGTCAGGAGTTCAATGAGCGTCCATCCATCACAGGTTTCACCAATATCGCGATCGCCGGACGAGGCGCCTACTCTAACTTGTGTACTCCCACATGTGTGGACAGGCAAACCTAGCGGTCGGCACTTTGACCGGCTGTCAGGAATGCGCAGATTGCGAGACAGGGGCTCTCGAGAGTACATCCTTCATGAAGTCTACGTGCAACAGTCCACATAATACTCCCGTCGTCACGCCGCAGATGAAGGTGTTTTAAACATATATGGTAGTTCTCGCAATGAGATCATGTCTATGCTGGTGATAGTAGTGACATAGTTGAGCAGAAAGTGCCATCAAAGTCTTTCCAATCATTCCCAAGGCCCGACAGACAGATAACACACCAGCCTCCATGAACACCTGTTCGCCATATACGCCACTGATGGGAGAATGCCGTGAAGAAAAATAGTTATATATAGGTATAGCCAACGAAGTAGCATTCAAGATGCGTACGAAAACCAGTCTGCTGGTTTCGTTCTTCGCTCCTCTTCCAGTCATGCAAGCCGTCGTGCCCGATTACATCACCAACCACAGGCCGCCCATCAGCACCGGCAGGTATCCCAGCCACCTCCAGACGGGGTTGCTCGCATGCCATGAGATGGCCGCTGCACTCGTCATATTCGCCGCGGAGCCGATCTCCTGCGTCGTGACGGTGTAGATCTCGGCGAACCCGAGGTCGGTGCTGTTGAAGCAGTTCGTCTCGTTGACCTGCGGGATCCTGGCGTCGCCGGGCTCGGCGAATGTGATGTCGACACACTAGAAGAATGAGCCGTTAGCGGGAGTTCTGCACTACGCACCTCCCTCACACGGAAACATCGGGCGTGACCTACCGAGAACAGCGCGGCGCCGTGCTGCGCTATCTCGACGACCTGGATCGTGGCGTTGTCGCCGGCATTGAACGTCATGTTCGCCGGCAGCGGCACCTGTGGCAGACAGACCGTGCCGGGGTAGGGGCCCGCCGATGCCCCCAGCAGTTGGAACGGCGAGATCATCGGGAAGGACATGTTCGCAGGCCCGTGGTCGGGCCCGTCGGTTCCCACGCCCAGGTTGATATAGAGGAAGGCCGTCTTGTGGCCCTGGAACCAGCCGGGCTGAAACGCTACCGCTCCGCCCGTCGTCGGCCAGTATGTTCTGTTAGATGTCAAGGACATGCCGCCGCCTGTGTAGATGCTGTCAGCGGCTTGTTTCATTGTTTTCATCATTCTGCTGCTGTCCATCCGTCGCAATGCATGTCGGCTAGCAACAAGGGAAGAGATTGCGGTCGCTTACATGGGTATATCCATTGCATGCCGTAGGGCCATGTTGAATTCGTGATCAAGTTATCTCCTCGCCATCCGGGATATGTGATAATGGTATGCGCTGTTGCCAGATTCGAGGCGACTACAGCCAGTAATATCGAGGAAAGCATATTGCAGCGTCCGAAGCCGTTCGGATGGACGGTCCTAGACCTGGAGTTTATGGGATGTTCGGCCGCCGGGTGATCGACGCTATCTCAACTGCCACTTCTTCGGCCCTTGACTGCGCTGCCTTCGCCTTGTCTCGGAGAATGGACTCGCAGACGCACAACTGTTGATGTATGACAAGCCACGCCCGTCTAAGACTGTTCGTTCTGGGCGTATGTGATAGGTGGCTGCACTTCAAGATCCCGTCGTTCTAAGATGTTACGATTGTGCTGCGGCTCTGGGGTAAGGAGTGGGTGCGGTTGTCGTGATGCTTGGGCGAGGCAGGTCAGAGTTGAATATCGGATTTGGGAAGAGGGGAGTGTGGGAAGAGAATGGCAGGGTGGGAGAGAGCAGATATTACTATTTAAAAATGCGCATACATCACTCTATCCAACCAACCGCCGGCCTTCTCCCTCACTGTCACCCTATGTGCACTCGGTCTCGCCCTTCCGGGTTCTCTCGTGCGTCTGGTTGACGAACTTGCATGGCTTGGCCAATATCGACACCACCCCCGCCACGACGGGCCACTGGGGCCAGGGTTCCCTCAGAACGGGCGGCATTTCAGGCCAGACGGACCAGTGAGAAGGGCTGGGACCCCGGGTAGGTGTGCGACCATGTGCAGCCGAGTTCCCTGTCCCGTGCTTGATGATCGGACAGGACCAATGGGAGGGCGCTGGGGCGGGACAGCGACTCGCCGGGGCCAGAGTCTCATCAAGAGCGATTCCAGTGAATCCAGTGATTTGCCCGCGCGCAGCCAATGGCGGCGAGGTCTCCGGGGTTACAACGCAAGGGCGGCTTGGCCAGGAAGCTGGCAGACTGGCATTGCTCTCTGCTCTCTGCTCTCTGCTCGACTGGTAACTTGCAGTGCAGACTCCCTCATCACACAGACACCTGATTTAAGCGCCGAGCAAGCCCACTTGGGAAGGCTACTTCACCACCACCGACCACTCGTCTGACCAATAGACAGGCGAGCCCTGCAAGAAGAACAGCCAATCCAAGCTGTCGGAGCTTTGGGGGCTATCTTGGACCACTCATTGGCACCATCCAGATGGCAGAGAGATGTTTGAAAGTCCACTCCAAGGTCGCTGGGCCCATAGGCAGTCGGGCAGTCCATCTACACCAATTTGCGCGATGAAAACCAGAAGCTCCCGGGTGGAAGAGACTATTACCATGGCGCTCTTTGACCGTATTGAAGGAACAACGTCGCCGCCAGGCCGAGATAGAGAAAGAGAGAAAGAGAGAAAGAGAGAAAGAAAAAGAGAGGAGAGAGAGAGAGTGTGTGTGTGACTGGGAGGGTTTTTGGAAGCGCCAAGGGTAATGTAGCATTGCATGGCACATGAGCGACGGACCGAAATAGACGCCGTACATAAATCAAATGTGACTGCCATTCCGAGTCTGTCGAAGGCACAATTTGTCAAGATACCTACCAGAGAAGGATAAGGTGAGGTAAGGGATACAGGCCTTCGCCTTTGGGAACGAGATGGCGAGCCTCAACACACAAGGTAATGGACGGATGTTGATGAAAGACGATGGATGACAGACGGAAGATGAAACCTACAGGATGCTTCGGACAGATACTTTAGAGGGAGACGGCTGCGACGGCTGCGACGGATGGGCCGCGTCCGCATGCGACCCGATGGCGTCGAGCCGTCCGTCTGCACAGCTTCATCCCGCCAAGGAGTGCGCCGTGCGGTCACTGCGGTGTCAGTGGTATTCATCAGGCAGAGTCAGGGTGCACCAGAGCGTCATCACCTTGTGTTTTACTGTTTTGTAGAGGTTGGTTAACAATAACCGAGAGTATTTTGGTGCTGATGCTACACAGTTGTCCTACTTGCATAGGACGCATATATCTAAAGATTGAGATATGGTAAACAGGGTTATGAACATACCGGGGTATGGCTCACCATTTCTTGCATAACAATTTTACATGTTTGGCCAAATCCCGTCCGTCACCCGTCACCCGTCACCCGTCGATGAAGCAATCCACGGCATGCTGGTGACTACCAACCTCCTTATTACACTGTACAGCACATCCGACTTCGGGGTTCGTCCTACGAGAGATGTCCACCAGAGGGATGCTCATATTTCTGGAGTAGCACCCTTTGCCCCGAGCCGAGTGTAACAGCAACCCGTGGTACCTGCACATTATATACCACCAGACCCTGGCAGTTTCGGCACCATCCTGCCCATCCTGCCAGCGGCGTGCAATCATGTCGGTCGATGGCGACCACCACCTCCCGGGGCCCCCGGAGACGCAGGAGGAGTGGACCCGGGTCCGTCGCAAAGGCCGCCGTGGCTTGGGAGCCGGTCGGCCTCAAACTCAAACTCAGACCGAACAGTCGCCTGCGACTACTGCGACGCCCATGCCATCCGCCCCTTGTCTATCTGTCTCCGAGATCGAGAGGGATCGTCAAAGGCTTGCCGGCCAATGGAAGTCTTCGATCTGTTGTCGACAACTTCAAGAGCTGGTTGCCTCACATGGCGCCGAGTCCAGCATCTCCCAGGCCATCTGCTTCGGATTGGGATCTTTTAATCCGGCAGACGGAGCATGGGAAGCCCGGCGGAGAGCGCACCTGCAGCTGGCCGCCTTCCTCTCCATCGTCGAACAAATGCGAACCGGCCACCAGCAGTCGATACGCTGTTTCTTCCAGGAACCACTGTTCAACTCTGCAGACAGGGAATTCCTTGAGAGCCTCGGCCATCAGGTCGTGGAGTCTCCCGAGGGCTTTGGGCTTGTCGACTCCTCGACCATGGTATTCGGCATCCACCTGTACAGAGTTGTCTACTCACAGGCCCTTGCAAAGCATACACCAGCAATATTCGTCGGAACTCCGTATGACGTATGGGAAGAGTAAGTGCATATTACCTACAAGGCACGCGCTTGAACAATCCAGGCTTGCCGTCCCCAAGCATTCTCCAATAATCGAGCTAACTTATGGCAGCTTTCACGGCTCCAGCGATCTGAACTGGTCCCGGATGAAAGAGCTGGACCAGCTGTGCGACAAAGCGAGGTTCCCAGAGTACCACGATGATACCATATTCTCGAGCACCAGTATCCACTGGAGGAAAGGGGATACGACCTGAAGTCACCATCTGTCCATGGAATTCTCCATTGTTGCATACAGAAGCCAAGTCATCGCGCAGTCAGCGCCACGATCATCCTGCTAACAACTGCCTACCACATAAACCAACGACCCGCCCCAGGGCTCCAAATATTCTCGCACTGCTTCGTTACACTTCTCACACTATCAGATCCTGGCCCATCATGGGGAAACGACCAGCGGTTCTACAGACGTTCGACTACACCCCGACCTCTGCCCCGTCCACTGTTATTATTCCCCGTGCAATCTACAGGGAACAGCAGCATGTCCCACGAAATATGCGAGCTAGGTGGCATCAAGACGATGATTTAGAAACAACGCTGGTTATGTGATCTGCGATGCGAGTCGAGATCTTGTTGGTTTCTGTAGCCAGTAACCACAGGTCTGAAGTCTCAGTGGATGATACAAGTCCTCGCTTCCTGTCCTCTGTAGAAGACGACTCGTGCGTGGTATCCCGCAAGTCGGACAAGCGAGGTCAAGATGAGGCTCACGCAGATTCCATCCACAACATATGTCATGGGGTCTCGGGCGGTAAGAGTCTTGTATGGCCCGCACCATGTCTTACGAGCACCACAACCAATGAAGATAACTACCCACCCAACCATTACTTGTCGACGGTCCTACAAGCATTGCGAATGCCACTCATTCGAAAACGTGCAGGTTGACCCGGATGCACACGACGTGTAACCAGTACACCGAAGTGAATAGAGTCAGTACTCGCTCCACTAATCAGAGGGGCTGGGAGGGAAATCTGGAACAATACGTACCCCTCAGCCACCACACCACATTGTGCATACATGGCAGCCAGGCAACCGCTTCCACCGCCCGAAGTAGTCGCTGGTGTCGTGGCCGTGGTCGTCAGCGTGGTCATTTGTGTCGCCGCCGCTGTTCCCCATGCCGACATCATCGAGCTGTGAGCTGGCCCTTTGTTGAGGCTATAATTCCAGGGGACAGGTGCTCCTCCCGATATCCAGGTGTAATTGTCCGTGATGCCCCTTTCGGTGATGCCGTCACATTTTGGAATAGACTTGCACGCGTTCACGACGGTGGCGTAGTCTTTGACCCGCTGTGCGAGCGGCGACGCCAACTGGGGATGTTGTGTTGATGTCGAGCTCGGTATATGCTACTCAGCACTAAGGCTAGCAACTTGTTCAAGTTGGTGACATGGTTCGCCGACTTAACGTCACAACTGCACACTGTTCGACGAGACACGCACGAAGGCAGGCGTAAGGCGCGCTACGAGGCCAAGAACAGCACTTAGGAAGCATAGTCCGCTCGAGTTCTATCTTCTGCATCTGCGAGACCCCGTATTCGTCCCGAATTGGCTCCCCGTCCCGCGTCAGACCTCCCAAGTTCGTGTCAGATGAGAGAGCGGACGGCAGCATGAAAGAGCTGTGGCGATGACTTCCGAGTGAAATCCAACAGGATTATACAGTCGAGGCTAACAGTAGATATAAGCTGTACGCCAGACCCTACAAGATTAGTTGACATACTGTCCCCTATCGCCAATACTACCGTCGCGAGAGCATCATCACCACGCTGACTGCGCTTCCACTTAATACTGAGGTATGTTTATGGCCTATGGTGTAAAGCACGAGAATCTCACAAGGGACATCTGGCAAGAGCCCGGCGTCCTAGATGCCTTCGCGAAGGTCTCCGACACAGATAGCCTGATCGCCTCGTTCGACGCAGTCAACTTCCCTTCCCGGCCCGTCAAGACTCGAGAACGAACGGTCGCTGGTCGCATGAGGACCAGGACCCCGCGAGGCCCGGATTCCGCTGCCTGCAAGGACTGCTGAACATCCTGCAGAACGGACCGGAGGATGGCGGACTCGTTGTCTTCAAGGGCACGCACCTACTATCAAAGGAGTTCCACGAGGAGTTCATGGAGTCAGACAAGGTGTGGATCTGAACAAAGGAATGGTACGGGTTCACCGCAGAACTGGCTAAGAAACCAAGGCTGCGAGTGGAATAAGCTTGATGCCGAGCCAGGCGATCTACTGCCCCGGGACTGGCGAACGCCTCACTACAATCTCTCTCCTGCCGGCAATAGTCCGCGCTTCTGTACCTACACCTGCTATATACTCGCCGGCTATGCTAGTTAGGAGGACCTCGTCCGCAAGAAGTCCGCTTTTGAGGACACCGAGGGTACAACGCACTGGCCCAATGCCCTTCACATTGGGGCTGTTCCCATCATACGAGATGGCAAGTCCTGTCCCTACAATGGAAAATCGAGAATATCTGTACAGCTGAGCGAACGTGGCTTCCGGCTCAAGGGAATCCCATATATCGCGAATTCAGCTTAAAGGCCACGAGCCTTGGAGAGGAAGGAAACGATTGAAGTAGATATCAGGTCTACAGGGCAGAGAGTCCACCGGAACAATTCTATACAGGCTGAGTTACTTTACGATCGAGGTAGACGGTCAAGGTTCAGCGAGTTGCTGCTCAAACATCGTGCTTTCGCTGAAGCTTTTGCGCATCGGGTTCTACGTACGAATGACTGACCGCAGGGAGTAAGATACGGCGGCGCCGGTGGTCGATCCACAGTCAACATAGATTGTCTCTGCACTTTTTCTGTCTGACTATCTGAAGTGCTACCCCAGTGCTCTATGCGGACTAGGCTGAGTACTACGTGTAGAGCAATCAAACCCCGGGAAGTAGTGCATGTACACAAGGCACAGAGTAGCTGGCACAGGGAGGACGGCTTGCTTGATACCTTCGCGACAGCCCCGAGGAAGTTCAGTGTGCCTCCCTTGCTAACCCAGTTCGTCCCTTTGGACAGCTCTGGTCTATTTGAAAGACGTGTGTTAGTTGAGCCCGCAACTTGAACGATCCAGTACCCAGGCTTCCTTTTCCCGCCTTGGGACTAAGAGTGCCGACGGAATGTTTTAGTTCGGTTGCATACCCAGACTTGCAAGTGTGATGTCTGGAAGCTCGTCTTCGTGAACCAAAGGGGTTCGAATGGACCGCCTCGGGGGCACAAATAGCTTTCAAAGGCAATGCCATGCTTCTCTCCACGTGTTAGAGAATGTGAGGACGTGGCGATGCAGTCATATCCAAAGCCGCAGTCTCGGGATCGTAGCTGGAACCTTGTGACGTATCCAGGCTGTATTCGTCGTCCCAGCTCAGGTTCGACTGAAGCCGCCAGGGCAGCCTCGTGGCAGTATTCGATTTTCGGTTCAAGCAACATCACTCGTCCCTAACAGACTGCGACACAGCACAAGAGGTGGCGAGGTAGAGTAACCCGAAAACTTGGAGAAGTAGTTCAGCCGTCTCTGGCGGCACCAGGGTGCGGCTCATATATCGCACCTGCAATCCATGCCCGATGCTCCTCGGCAAGCGCCACAGGGTCATTCATCTCGAAAGAATAATCAAAGGGCATGTCGTCGGTGAGGCGTCCCGTTTGCTGGTCGCCGGCGCCATGCGAGCTCTTGCCCCCAACGTGCTGGATTAGAACGGGTGTGACGGCCCATCGAAGTTCATCCCGACTATCGGCCCAGTTCTCGAGGAAGGTATCGACGGCGGCATGGGAGTCTTGGCTGTTGCGATACATGGGCAGGAGATGATTGACGACCTGGTCCTGTGGGAACACCAGCCCTTGTGCACAACAGCCGTATCTGGACATGAGATCAATACCACTGGGCCTCGGTAACATGCAGCTACGACCGGCAGCGAAGAAGAGGCCGATCAGCATAGGCGTGCAGACCCCGCAGAGAATGAGCAGCACGGCTCGGGTCAGATACTGACGTAGGACGGTGAAGCGCCAGCGGAGGGCTGCGGTGATGACGACTTCGGCAAGTAGCACCGCCATGCTGTACACTACGTATATGGGCCATTCCTCGGCGTTCCAGCCGAGCAGACGCCCATCGTAGAAGAGTCGCAGGTACAGAACTGCAGACACACGAGGTAACTAGGTCAGCAACGCTACAAGCGCAAGGACCGCCAGGACGTACAGCTATCCCGCCCAAGGTCGTGGGTCTTTCTCGTGGCAACCTGCAGGGCGCCGAGCGCGCGGTGATACCAGCCGTCAACCGCGACCACGTCGTCCTCCAAGGTCATTGTGTACTTCGGGTTGACCTTGGCGCATTCGGTGAGAAGGACGACGTAGTCCATCTTCTGCTTCAGCGCATGCGCTTCGTAGCTGCTGTCGGCCTCGAGCTGCTGGACGAGGCGCCTCGTCTCGGGATTGGAGGGGTAGGCCGGCAGGTTGTCAGCCATGTTGACAAGCCACGGCTGGCGGTGATCCTCGTGCTGGGACTGGTTGGCGTGGGCGAGGAAGACGACTAGGTGGATGCGACGGCGCTCGAGACGATCCAGCCCCTGGAGGACGGAGCCAAGGGTCTCCTTGAGGTAGGAGAAGCCATGCCGGCTCACGGACGCGACGCCGATGCAGAAGTCGGGGCCCGTCGAGTTTGTCGACTTGGGCGGTGGGTGCAGCGCGGCCCGGTCTCCGAACTCGGTGGCCTCAGCAATTCGGAAGGACGAGTACGACAGGACGCGGGCGTGCTCGGGGCGGAAGAAGACCGAAGAGGGATCGCGGTAGCACGTCGAACTCAGGTATGCGGCCGCCAGGGCGTAGCAGAGCAGAAACCCCAGGAAGAAGGACACGATGCCGCGGGTCCGGGCCTGGGTGCAGCCACCATGGAGCATTGCCGGACTGGACTGCTCACCGCCTTACCTGGACATCGAGAGAGAGACTTTCTACCAAAATGTCGTCGCCGTCGTCGTCTTCGTCGTCGTCAAGCGGAACGGACAGTGAGTGGGTGGTTTGGTGAGGAATGGACAGCAACAACAAGAGAGACGCCATCCTTTTTCTCATTTCTCATTTTTTATTTCCATTTCCATTTCCAGTTTGTCAGCTCGACTGGCTGTGCCACATTGTCTTTCATCCCTTCGATCCATCCTCCCTTCCTTCGGGCTTGGCTGCCTCCTTCGCCGTCCTATCTCCTTGGCTTGCTTGGAGGCTTGGCCACCCAGACCGCCCAGACAGCCAGACCACCCCATAATCCACATTGCTTCCTCGGCCCGATTTCGGGGCCTCAGTCAGTGAACAGGCCGTGGCAGTGGAGCGTATATCCATACGTGCTGCCGCTGTAATTACAGTGGGCTTTGTGCCGAGCGGCTGCGGGACATGAAAATGATATCGACGGGAGGCTTCACAGTCACTGCACAGTCACTGCCTACCCTATCTACGTCAAATATACCCGTCCAGACTTATTATGTGCTAACCGAGGGGCTTAGCCACGTTATTAGTCTGGGCGGGTGTGCGGGAGGCTTGGAGCTGGAGAACTTCCAAGGTTGTTGTTGTTGGGTTTCGGCCTCTTAACCGCGCCGTCCTAGATTGGTGGGGACTGGACCACTTTCTTCGTCGGGGAGAGACGGGCGTGGCTTGCAGTCACTGATGACTATCACCGTCGCTCGGCTGGCTCATTATTATATATGTGCTAACGATCCACCCAGATGATGGGAGATGGAAGGTTCCCTCCGCAGTCTCACGCCTTGTCGCCGGAGAATGCCTCAGTCCCCGCCCGGACGACGAGCCGGCACGACTCTCGAGGCCGCTTTGGTGAGAATCCCAGGTCCAGTACGAAGACTCGACTGGGCCCGCCGTCACGCCTGCACCTAGAGGTCTCGACCTAGCCAGTGGAATGGGAGACAATGGGGACCATCAACTCAACAAAGAGGCCTTCTCTCGACAGAGCAATGCAGATCCGCAAGGAGCCCGCTGCGGCCGCTTTGGCCTTGTTCCGAGGGTTCGGGTTGGTGAAAAGCGTTCAAGGACAAAGCAGACTTGATCGCATGCGGGATTTCGGATGGCTCTACCACCACTGCATTGTCTTGGATGCGAACGAACTGAAAGAGCCATCGCATACTGGCCGCCGGCGCCAAGTGCGGAAACCTTTGTCGGGTTGATGCCTTATTTCACCGCGCTGGCCTGGGGCCATCCAAGTTGGACGTTGAATGTATACAGTTCACATCAAAGTATACGATAATCGCCAGCCTTTCTAGTCGTCTAACAACCGAAGGACAACTATATTGGGCCGGTCTTAAGACAGCCCGAGACATTATCTGCAGCATGGCAGATCTACCGATGCATCAGTCTGGACAGGTTCTGTGTTCAATATACTGCAACAGCAAGCATACTGGCGCCCCCTTAAAAGCTTTTCAAAAGCCTACTACTACTGGACTCAAAGGCTCCTGGCCCAACGTGAACTCACTGAGCCAGCTTCAAACAGATTGCACGGAATGGCTGGGTGACCTTACCACCGAGGAGGCCATTGCGGCCTACCGCTCAGGCCTGCCGAGAGAGCTGCGAGAGCAGGTAGACGCAGATTTTGGTGTGTTCTCTAGGTCTAATATGTTCCAGGGGCAAAAGGCATTCGAAGACCAGTTGGGGTTGAAAGAAAACGCTGCGTTTTACCGACGAATGCGCCAGTCGCCCTATTCTATATTCCCCGCCAACACAGGCGGCCACTGGGTCTTGGTGGTTATACACAAGGAAGACCCCACGGCGAAGGGCAAGGAGAAGTGGGCCAACATTCCAGCGGGCAGTGTGAAGTCGCAGAGATTTACGCGTGTTGCACAACTCGCCGTTATCGACCCCCAACGGGGCACGTTGCCAAGTACAGGAAGCACGACGAGGGTACACCAGCGGCTGAGGCGGATGCTCGAGGGCGATGCTGGCTTTAAATTCTCTAAAGATTACAAGCGCGATGTGTGGGTGCCCGTGCAGAATGATTCATACACATGCGGACCTCGCTGTTACTGGGCGGCGAAACAGACCTTGGACCGTCTTCTCGAACTGTACGAGGCGGGTATAGGCTACAACGAGAGTATTTGGGAAGACCAAAGCGGCTGGCTCAATAAGGACTTTGTACGCGGAGAGATGATTGGCAGACTTGCCTGGCGTGCAGTCCAGCAGATGGAATATAGAGCACGAGTAGCCGTCGAGTTGGTTGACAAGGTTAAGCCGTCTCGTAACGCCGAGCAGACCCTGCGGCCTGAGCCACTCGTGGATGAAAAGCCCGCAAAGCGCCCGAATTATCCAAGAAAGGCGCTGCCGTCATCCAAGACCACACCAGAGCCGACCGATGGGGCAAATGGCCAGATGCCCACACCACCCCCGACCGGGACGAAGGGAACGAAGGGAACGACGGGATGGCCGCAAGGAACCAAGAAGACCAGCAAGCCAACAACGGCGATACCCGTAGTAATTATAATCGACGACGACGAACCATCCGCGACCAATACGAAGGGACCGTCCACGACCAATACGAAGGGAACGTCGCAAGGAACCAAAACCAGCAAGCCCACCAGCAAGCCAACCAGCAAGCCAACCAGCAAGCCTAGAACGGCGATACCCGTAGGAAATTCAATCGACGACGATGTACTGTTCACGACCAATACGAAGGGAGGGTTGCAAGGAACCACGCCCACGCCCAGCACGCAAACAACGGCGCAGAAGTGGCGGAATCTCCTTCTCTCGAGCGAGCCTCACCATCACAAGATCGCGCCGGACTTCAAGGTAAACAGCGGGCAGTATATCGGCCTCGAGGGCGTCTTCCCCTCAGCCACCCGCGAGCCGGAGTACCCGGGAGAGGAAAGAGGGGAGAACCCCTACGTTCCCCCTGGCAGGTTCCCATCACCAGCCGTTCCCGAGGCAGAGAAGCCGCCGCAGCCTCAACCCGGGGCCCTCGGCAAAGCGTTGCCTGAGGCAAAGCGGAAAGCCAACATGTTTGGATCCATGCCGTCCGGACCAGCGGCCAAGAAGTCAAAGTTCTGGAAGACCTAAGCTATCGACTATGACTTGCTCGGAGGGAAGCTATAAGCTTAATACGTTAGGGGTTGAATGGAGTTGGACGATGTTTCTCGGTGCAATTGGACTTGGAATAATGATATACTACAGTAAAGAAATCTTGATTTGTTTTCTCCTTGGCCTTAAGCCGGGATTGAAATATGTTTAACCAGTAGAGTTGGATGGTTGTGTTTCTTCCTACCGGTGGTTTCCATGCAAGCACCCCAACTCGGGAAATGTGATAAGCAAAGAACTTCATGCACAGGGATTCAACAGTCCATATCCAAGGTGCAAGTACGAATACCTAGGTAAGCCGTAAACGGACCTGGCCGCTCAGCATGTCTGATGCGTCAAACGAGGCGCCACGGCTGCCGTTCTTGACAGTGGAAGAATAGTGCAAACCTGCAAATCACTATATGCCTATTTGAAGCTGGTGTTGGCACCCCCTATGTCCACCATTGTGCCTCCAGCTGTGAGGGAGGTGGGACGTGGGACGGATGGGCTGCAGCTCGGAGCGATGAGGCGAGAAGGGCTGGAATGTCTTGTGCCGACTGCGTATGCCCAATATCCATCCATGGATCTCAACTGGAGTTGCTCTGGAAGCAACCCCCTGGTCTCTCTGTGCGGCTCAAAGGTACCATGACGTCAAACACAATTGCGGCAACCCGGGATCGAATCGATGACGATGAGGGCAGATGATAGGCCATACATGCACAACGGCCCAACGCAGTCATGCTCAACTTATCCATACTATATAGCTGTGTTGATTATATCTGCATATAGCCACCAGTCTCTTACCTGGATCTACAGGCTCATATTGCTAAATAATATCTGTCCCGGCTCGTAAACAGAATCATCAAGTATTCTGGATCTATGTTTTCGCGATCGACATTCGCTCGCTCACTAGCAGCCGCCCCATCACTGAGCTCGAGAGGTTCACTCATCATCAGAAACGCACCTACGTGTTGCTTGAGAGCAATGGCAACTGGAGCCCCCTCTGAGATGGCCCAGACCCAGGCTCATGCCGACTCATCTGGCCCCTCATTTGAGTCGCACGACATCAGGACGACAAGGATCAACGAGGGCCCTGGAGTCACGCTGTCACAGCAGCAGAAAGTCCTTGTCGGCAGCGTTCTCGATGTTGGTTATCCCGCTAGTTTCGAGAATGACGCGCCGCCATACATGATTGATTCACAGTCTCGTAGCTCTTCGAGGGCAACCCGACGCTCAAGCACCTCGGATTCTGGTCGCGTAATGCTCTCTTCACGGATCCTCTCACCGTCGCCCAGGGCTACGACAAATACGCCGCGCAGTGGTACGGATTGCCAGCCGTCTTTAGCCCCATCAAGATCCAGAACCACACTGTTACGTCGGCGGGCAATCCCATTGAGATGAACCTGTCAAACAAGTACGTGGTCAAGGGTATCAAGAAGGAACAGGTCATCGACTCGGTCGTGCGTATTCACGTTGGCAACGACGGCAAGATTGACAAGGTCGAAGACAGGTGGAACAACAAGTTGCCCGAAGGCAGTATCAGCGAAGTGAGCTTCCCCAATGTTCATCCTCTCGTGGTGCTATTCGCTCGGGTTGACTGCCGTGGTCGGCGAATTCGACTTGTGCTGGCGGGCGACTGGCAACACTCCTTAATGGGGGGCGGGTGATGAGGCTCCAGGTTCTGCAGTGAGCAGGTAAGATCCATACATCAGTTGCTAACGAGGCTGTAGGCATTCCGAAAGCTCAATGCTGTCACTGTTCCTACCATTGTCAAGGTGCCGAAGAACGACGAAGAAGATATGAAGATGAAAGCAGTTCGAGATGCCAAGTCCTCCTAGGTATAAGTTGGCCTTGCTTGCAATGTATCGTCAGTACGCATGCTCACTCAGGGTGGAATTGCCCTACATTCGCATAGGGCGACTCGTGAGTGTCACCTAACACGCTATGGATCATGACTGTGTAGCCAGCTTGGTTGCTGTAATTATGTTGTCAACCAGACCTACTGATGGTGGTTGGGACGGGTGCTTGGCCGCCGCCGCATCAGAATATATACCATAAGGTATAAGCTCAGCAGCCTGATGTTCAATCTCTGTCTTGGTCGCGATGTGCTGAATCGTACCAAACTGACGGTGTTGCAATGGGTTGCTACAAGTGATCGATTGCCATTGCGCATGAGATGAAAGTTCGTCGGCGTATACGTTAACTCCCCTGTTATTGCCATCAACGCTCCCTTCCAAGTATGAGCTTCGCAATGGACGTTGACTGGCACGAGGGAAGCTGAGCCACATTTGTTGTTGAGCTTTGTAGCTTGCGTAAATGGACGTCGGGCGAGGCTTGACGGTAGTTGGATGCGATATGGATGCTCAAGAACCTCACCACCAACCCGTGTATCGCTGACCGCGGCGAGGACCGGAGTAGTAGGTGCTCGTGTCTGTATCTAATCGTTAACAGTGGATTGGAGAAATGGGACGTGCTCGATACCATCGTACCTCTTTTCTGACTGAGTCCAAGTTGGTCAGCGACGTTGACGTATCCATCTGGGCCGGGAATGCCTGTCTTTTTGATTTTCTTGACCATGTCGTCGTCTCCTTGCCACGGGGTTCGGCACATGGGACATGTGACTTGGTCCCTGGCACTCTTGCGCTTGGTCGCAGCCCACATCTCGAAACACTCCTGATGGATATTCTGGCCGCAGGTAGCACGGCAGTAGACGATATCTTCGCCAGCTTCGAAAAGCGTGAAACAGATCGGACAGTCTCCCTCTACGGCCTTCCGGTTCTTGTCGGCACCCTTTTTGCTGGTATCGTCGCCAACCTCGATAGGGGGCGCACTTCGGAATATGTCCTGGAGCTCGGTAGATAGAAGAGCAAGCTGGTATACTAGGTCGAAACGCGCGTGAAGCACTCTCGACAGAACCTATCGATGGCTGTCAGGTCAACGTGAGCGTGTACACAGGGGGATGCGCGCTCACGTAGAGTACATGCTTGCACTGGTGACCGTTCTGGGAATGGGGACAGGTACACGTGGGCTGCTGGGCGACGTGTACGGCGTAGATATTGCCGGTAGACCCAGTCATCTCCACGAGTTCCTCGGGGCATTCAGCGGTGCCAGCTCGGGATCTGTTTAGGACGTAGAAACTGGGGGTAGAGGGTTAGCGGCATTCGTGGTGCTCTGCAGAGGGCTGGAGTGACGGACCGCTGCGACGTCGCCCTTTCGTAGACATCATTGAAGGTTTGGGGAGCTTTGGCGCGAAACCTGGGTGAGGAACCAGCAGTCAGCATGCGCATGTTCTCGTTATAAAACCAACAGGCCAATGCTGACCTCCTCAGGCGCTTCTCCTCCTGTTCTGCCTGTGCCTTTCTCGCCTTCTTGGGTTTGCCTCCGTCTGGTTGCTTTGTTGCACCGATACTGTCGAGATTGGGTGTGTTGGCGCGGTTGGAAGGTCGCGGCGCGTCGGTCCACGTATCGGGGAGCTTGCGCTTTCGCGAGGACGAGCAGAGCGCCGGATTGGCTGCAGGGCCGGCGCTGCTCGGTGTGTCGCAGTCGACGCCCATGCCCATGCCCATGCTAGAACAAATCTTGTTGTCCAAGGTCGAGGGTCGAGGGTCGAGGGGCTAGCTGCTTGCAAGTAGTCAGTTGCGCAAGGTGTTGCGTTGGGAACGGGCGTTCCGCAAGTCGTCGTCGTCGGCGTGGGTGTCGAATGGGGCTGCCTGTTTGAGCGTGTGATACTGGCTCAGTGCAGATAGGGCAGTGGAGGTAAGCCGGTGTTCATACGCTGATAGGTAAAGTATGTATTCGCGACGAGATGGTGGAAGTATTCATCTGGACGCGGCATGAACAAAGACAACGGACCTTCCAAGGTGCAGGTGGCATTGATTGATTGCGTCACTCACTAACGTTAGAGGCACCTGCAGGCTACCCTAATCTGACAGACGGCAGAATGGCACCCACCTGGCACCCACCTGGCACCTCCAGCTGCGGAAGCAGTGTGCCGGCTGGCAGACGCAGGCACACACTGGGCCCCTATCTTGACAGGCTGCCCATACCGTATGCTACTGGAATAAGCGTACAGGAATAAGCAGCTTTATTTTGGTACACTACAGTGAGTGCTTATTCCGGTACGCTTATTCCAATTCGATAGATTTAGCTTACCGTTGTTTGCTGAGACGGGTGGTGTACAGAGACTTATGAGGGAGCTCAGTGTACCTACACGTCAACCATCACTTTGGCATACAGCCGAAATTTGTGGTTTGCCGACTCGACTCGCGTTGCCCGTGATAGCCTGCCCACAGGTGCCCATGTAGGGATACACAGAATTGTATACTATCAGTTGGTGCAAGCCCTCACTATGGCGTACATGTATGCATAGGTAAGTACCGGTAGGAGTGGCCAAAGCATTTGAATGCTTCACACAACAACGTTCGCTCCTCCCCAGCTCGGCGGCCGGTCTTCGACCTTCGTACCCCATTCGGATTCCTGATTTCCAAGCACCAGCTCCATCGTCCAGCCCTCGGTGAAGAGGCTGTGGCCAATCCAAGACTTTGTCCACGGCTGTCCGTTGACCGTGACGTTCTGGATGAAGATGTTCTCATAGCCGGCATCGAACCCCGTGGTCTTAATCTGCGCCGTCTTGCCTGTGAGGGGGCTCGTGATGTTCACCTCGGCAAAGAACGGTGCAGATATCAGGTATACATCTTGTCCGGCCATGGGAAAGAGACCCAGCATGCCAAACACCACAAACGCTCCCATCGAGCCTGAATCGTCGTTGCCAGGCAGGCCTCCGTGAGAGGCATTGAAGGCCGACGGAATATACGTGTGCAGACGTTTGGCAGACAGACCCGGCCGACCGGCATAGTGGTACAGGTAGACCGTCGAGAAGACTGGCTCGTTCGAGATGTCCGCCAGCCCCGATGTGTGGAAAAAGTCGAGGCGCTCTATGAATGACTCCTCGCTACCCATCAGTACGATCAAGGTCGACATTGATTGAGGTACCAGACTGTAGAGGACGTTAGTATACTTCCGAGGGGCAAGAATAGGCATAATTGCGGCCGGCTCACAACTGGTATTGCCACACGCTCGCCTCGAAGGTCTCGCTCGGGTTGGTGGTCAACGAGCAGAAGTCGGCAAGTGACGAGCAGGCAATCGGGTCCTGAAATCCCCAGGTGCCATTCTGGTATTTGGGTTGAAAGAATCCTTCGAATCCCGTGTCACTACCATTGATGAGCGAAGTCTGCTGCGCTCTCCAGAGATGCTGCCAGTTGGTGCTTCTCGTCGCGTACTTGTCGTACAGGTCGTCATGGCCAAGCCCCTGCGCCAGTACACCGAGACAGTAATCGTCGTAGGCGTACTCGAGGGTCCTCGAGATACTCCGCGAATTTGTGCCAAACCCGGCCGGATCAAAGTCCAGATACGGTATGTACGAGAGATCTTTCCAGCTCTCGAGGCCCCCTCGCCCATGGTAGGCCCATTCTAACGGCTCGACCTCAGCATCCTGGACGACTGCCTTCAAAGCGAGATCCCAGTCAATGCCAGTCAGATTTTTGACGTAGGCATCTACGATGACCACGTCCGCGTTGGACCCGCCCTGTGTCCATCCATTGCAGAGAGACATGTGACAATCGGGCAGCCAGCCCTCATGCTCGAATATGTCAAGCAACGAGTTGATCATCTGCACCTGTGCATTGGGGTCCACGATGGTGAGAATCGGATGTTGAACACGGAAGGCATCCCACAGGCAGTAGAAGGAGTCGAAATACGGGATACCACTGTCCCAGTGTGGGTTCTCGCCTGTGTAGTTCTGCGGGGAGATCATACTTCGATACAGCCCGCTCCAGAAACTCGACTGCAGTTCCTCGCTCGCACCGCCCGGATTTATGGACATCGGGCTGAGTTTCTCCCGCCAGGCATCTTCCGTCTCGGCCACAAGTCTATCGAAATCGTTGGATGGATCAGGAATCTCCGTTGTGGCGCTCTGACAGGCCTGGTCAGCACTGATGAAACTGATGCCCATCCTCGCGGTCAACGTGTTGTTCGACAAACCCTCGAAGCGTGCCCAGCCTCCAGCTTCAAGGTAGAAGAGGTTGAAGCCACGGGTTACGAAGAGGTCCTTTGGTTCCGTGCCGCCACGATTATTCACCCACACCCCACCGTCGAAGACTTGCCCTCCGAAAAAGTCGACACAAAAGTGCATCACATAGGAACCAGCGCCAAAGCTCGGGAGGAAGGTGCCATTTCCCTTCATCCGAGCGCCGTCGGCGTCGACACTGATGGACGCGTTCTGGCGGCTTTTCCACAGATCCGTGAGGTCCAGCAGTACCATGGGGTGCTCACCCTCCCCGTCTGGGAATTCGAATCGAAACAGGGCGGCATGCTCACTGGAAGTCATGCTCACCTTGACTCCGGATGCCATGTCCACACCAAAATAGCCCGGCCTGGAGACGACCGAGTCTGTGACATAGGGGGTCGCGCGGTCGGCGATCAGGAATTTGCAGTTGCTGACCTCGTCTCCCGGACAGAGCTTAGGGAACAGCGGAAAGTTTCCCAAGCTCGGGTTTCCGCCGGTCCCCGAGTCGTGCACGGCGGAGAAGCCGACGATGTTCGACCCATCTGTCGCAAAGCCTCCGGTGTTCTGCCCGTCGACGTCGGCGACGGGCTTTGCCAGAGCGTATGGTCGTGTGGCTCCGGCGAAAACATTGCCCCCGTTCGTACTGCCGATGAGAGGGTCGATGAACTGCAGAACATCGGCGCCGGCCACTGCGAAGGGCAAGACGAGGTGGACGAGGAGAAGACAGAGCTGCGGGGAAATCCAGCTCGACCGCTTACAAGGAGCCATGCTCGCTCGTCCAGCTGTGATGGGGAATGATTATATTTCACAGAATACCCAAGTTTGGATAGTCGCGAAAGCTGACCTCACCTGAATATCTCTATTGCCTGCAACCATTGGTGATAGTAGTATGGATAATGCTGCAATGTCGGTGAGTGAACGACAGCAAAGTTGCAGACGGAATAACAGTGCATCCTACCCCATTCTCGTATAGGCCAGTGTAAGGTACCTTCTGTAGGTTAGGTAAGGTATGTGTGCAGCTGTTTCTCCAATTCTCAATATGACCTTCCTAATGAAGCCGTTTTTAATGTTCCCCATGGAAAGACCACCTGTGTCTGCACATCACCCCCTCACCATGTCAACGCATGCAGTCAAGTTCCAATGTTGGTGGTCGGAAGACTCTTTATAAATATACTACCTATACCATAGAACCGTTGGCCGACGTCTCGTTTGGTGGACAACCAAGGACCGGACTTGTCATCCGCTGGACAGAATAAACCTGACAAACACCCCACTTTCAATTCGCAAAGCAATAAAACCACGATCGTTTAAGCAATGATAATGCTAATTAAAACTACAGAAAGAGAAATACTCGGAGATACTGATGATATTTTCCCCCAAATTTCTTTCCTCGTTTTTGGGTCGACTGCTGTTGTATTGTATGATAGGTGGTGTTGTGGCTGTTTGGTTTATTCACATGAACAGTTTGAACCACTGTAGGACCACTGGCACCGACAAAGCAGAGTGGCTGGGGAGTTTCCATCGAGTCCTCAAGACGGCTAGACGAGTCACCCGCCCTGCTGTGGATCTCTACCTACTTTACCTTAATCAACGGGCCGTGGTTTATCAACTGCGCTATTTCCAATGCCGGCCCATGCCCGAGAGAAGTCGCAAAGTTGTAGTAGCAGACCTGGGCTGTTTGGCTGTCTGGTTCTTGCCTCTTGGAAGTTTGAACGATGCTGGGGCCCGGTGGCCCGCTCCGCACAACATCCGCGCCCGGGGGCCCGCAACTGGCAACCAACCTTGGAATCATTAATGATCGACCTCGAATCGTTGTCGTCATCGACCTCTCCAGACTGGCTCTTCATTTCCCAACGTCACCATTCTGTGTCGGCTACGTACCAACGAGAGAAGAGACCAGAGACCAGAGACCAGGGGGTGGTCTTCGCCAATATGCTTGTATGCCTGTCGCCGGAGGGTATGCGCCGGTGGTCAATGGTCAACGGTGCACTGCAGATTCCAGATGCAGATGCAGATGCAGATGCACGCGCAAGCTGGCAAGATGGCCGAGACGGTGTCACGGTTTTCCCTCCTCCCTGTTGACCTCGGGAGTGTCCCCGGACCCCAACAACGGCAGAACGGCCACCATAACACCAGGCTGATGAGGCGACCCCCGAACGCCTTGGACGCCTGCCTGCGCAGATATCGTCCGTCTTTGCCAGCGCCAACTGGCAACTGCCAAAGTGACGCTGCCAACAAGTTCGGTCCTGGGCTTGCGTCGAAACCACTGCAACAGGTAGGTCCGGTCACTTGCCAGAAAGCTCCGGCAGTTCTTAGTGAACGTTGTTTGTGGGGAGAAATTGCTTGTCTTGACGCCGATCCGATATCAGTCATAGCGGGCGATCCTCAATGATTCCTCATCAAGATGCAAGGTACAAGAGACCATCTATCACGAGTGGACGGATGCAAGTCCGCTCCAACAATGAACATGGAGCTCCCCTGCCTCGCACGTGTTGCGCCTTGTCCAACTGCCTTTCAACTGCCGAGACGACCGGCATGCGGGAGGCATCGAGCGAAGTGGTCGATGTCATCACTCGTCAACCTCCCAAGGGCCACCCCCTGCTTCACCAAGATTCGGTCACGTAACCATCACGACACGCTATGGTGTGCTACTTTGCTGGTGACTTTGGTCATGGCCAAACTTACCTGTGGTCTCTGGTAGCTCTACCTTGCCAAGGTACTGCCAGGTTGCAACGATGACGCCGCCGACGTGTCCGCGGTGGCACACGATGTCTACTCATTTCGGAGTTGTCTTCACGGCAGCAGTGTGACCCATACCTAGTGGTTACCAGAAGGCGGCGAGACGCATATATAACCTTTCCCTTCCTCTCGCAATAAGGCTTGAAATCTACTCCCACACCACCATCACCACCCATCACAATCAGCCAAAATGGTCGGACACAAGGCACTGGCGCGCGCCAGCGTCATCACATTCGTCTCGCGAACTCTCGCAGTCCCCGTCGTCTCCGAGGCAACGACTACTTTCACCTCCATGCCATCCGTCACCGACGAAACAGTGCCTGTCACTAACGTCACTTCTCACGGATCTTACACCGGGCCGCCGCCAACCACCACCGGTGCACTCTCGACCGTCGTCCTGGCGGCCACCGTCGCCGCCCACCCGCCCGAGCCCTACAAGCTCCAGTATCCCGCCGACGGAAAGCTTCATGAGCCTCAGCCTGCCCCCTATACCCCTGCTGGCGGTCTAGGCACCAATGGCTCCGAGCCCGTGTACCGAGTCCAGAGCGACTTCGACTACGAGTCCATCGCACTGGGTCTGTATCAGGAGTGGATCGAGCTCGATCTCTTCCACTGGGGACTCGCCACCTTTTCCGTCGAGGACTTTGAGGCTGTAGGCCTTACCGCCGAGGACCGCGCCCTCCTGGAGTTCATGGCCGATCAGGAAGTCGGTCATGCTACTCTGCTCACCAACATGCTTGGGCCCCAAGCACCCAAGCAGTGCACGTACAACTACCCGGCCATGAATGTCACCGAGTACATCGACTTCTCGCAGAAGCTGACCCGATTCGGAGAGTCCGGCGTCTACGGTTTCCTCAACCACCTCGACTCTCGCGAGACCGGTCAGCTCCTGCTGCAGTCCATCTCCACCGAGGCCCGACAGCAGATGATCTTCCGCCAGTTCGAAGGACTCTTCCCCATGCCAGTGTGGTTCGAAGTCGGTATTCCGCAATCCTGGGCTTGGACGCTCCTGGCACCGTACATCTCGTCGTGCCCCGAGGACCAGACCCGCCTCATCTGGCAGAACTTCCCGTCATTGAACATCCTCAACCAGCCCAACCCGGCGCGCATTGACGGTTCCAACGTCTGGAACGAGACCACCACCGGGTACACCAACACCCTCAGCACTGCCGACATCAACGCCGGCGAGGCCTGTGTGGATGCTACCAAGCAGGGCGAGAGCTGTGCGCCTGCCATCACACACAACCGGTCTATCCCCTTGTCGTACCCTGGCCGCCAGGTCTTCCTGTCTTGGGACGAGCCCGGCCTACCCGTCGGTCCCAACAACAGCTACGTGACCTCGACCACCGCGGGCAGCCCCAAGTTCGCTGCCTGGGTGTCCCAGCTCAACGTGACCTACTCGCCCTTGATGAACATCAGCGGCAACACGGCGTACACGATCCAACCCAACACCTCCACGTACGAGGGTGACCCAGCGGCCAACGGCACCATGTTCCTGGCCATCACGGACCGGGAGTTGCCCGTGACGCCGTTCAACTTGACCATGATCAACCCCTTCGTCAACGCTTTGGCCATCTACCAGGCTGGCTGAACGGATCGACTGGACAGTTCACGCAGCCGACCTTTCTTGGAGGAACTTGGATCAAGATGATTGTGTACACCTCAGCGACTATGGTCTGCCGGGGAGATGTACGACTATAATGTAGAATGTGTCACATAGAGTTAATTCACGTCAATAGCAATTGATTAAATACTTGTATACATACATGTGCGCGACTTTGTATGTGAGTACAACCCGCGCATGATACTGCAAGCACTGTGAACGGTATACATCACTGGTAACACGGATGGTACAAGAACGAACTCAATAATGCGTGTCAGAGTTGGTCTTTGCTCACATGTACATGTATGACCTTCGTATCAAAGGTGGGTGTGTTAAAAGGGAGCACAATTGTACTTCTCACACATCGCCCACCAAGTTGGCCAGCACATACTACCTACATATAAAGTTGTGTTCCGCTCACATTTACCTCACAATACATAGTCGAGTTAATAACTGCGTACGTCCGGAGGGCTACAACAAGCACATGGCCAGAAAGCAGGCCAAACAATAGAAGTTGTAGATTGTAGCATGCCGTACGAAGAAGCCAGCGTGGGTAATTCACCACACAAGCGACTCTATTCATTACTATTACCCTATTACCGAGTTTAGAAACAGCTTCTCAAGGGATACGGTTTTCTACAGGCCAAAGGTCCAACTAGAGACTCAAGTCTGCCACTAAGCAAACGTGCGTATTCCATATGCCCGGTGGGCTATGGCGGCACATTGATCTCGTATCCGATCAGGACCTCAGTGGATGTGCCCTCCCATCCTCGATTGCCAGCTGCTGAGAGCATGAAGCGATTGGACGCGTCGACATACAGGCTGGATATAACACCAGCACGGGGAGGTCCAGGCACGATGAGAAAGGGCGGCGGAGAGTGCTTGACCGAATGATGCTCGGAGCGGAGATCGTAGAGGCGGAGGATGTCGTGGGATGCGCAGATGAGGTGCCGTCCGTTGGCCATGGGCCGCACGCAGCTCACGGGCCCGCTGCCGCCAGGGAACTTGAACACTCGCTCTGGCTGCCAGCCGGCCCGCCCTCCCCTCGCGTTGTGTATGTTGAACTCCTCGACCGTGCCGTTCCGACGTCCGGCGTAGATCCAGTTCCCGTCGGGGCTCCAGCATGCTGCCATACACCACGGAGGCACACCGGGTCGATTACCTATCCTCGCAACGGGGTTGGGCATCCGCCTGTCCCAAACCCGTAGCATCCCATCGATCGACGCCGAAAGGAAGGTGCTGTCTGATGTTTGCGTGGCGTCGTGCTGTAGTGTGGATGGCGCCGCGAGCACGGTTGATGGCGACTGCGGTGCCACGTCATGGGTCGCTGGTATCACAGTTGACGACATGACGGTGCTTTCCGTCGGCAGCGAGGCATCACTCACAGGGGGTATCGGAAAGTCTGGCACGGGTGGGATCGATGAGGGCTCATTGTTGTTGTTGTTGCCATTCGCGAGGCTTTCGTCGAACGAGTCGATATTGCTATCCCCAAAGAGGGACCCTGGGTCTTGCTTCAGGGGCTCCGGCGCTGGCTGGACAGTGAGTGCCGAGCCAGCTCCAGCATCGAACGACGGCCCAGATATAGCGTAATCTCCCAATGTGGCATCCGCATCCGCATCAGCGTCCCGTGCCGTGTCCTGCCTCATGGCGCGCGAGAACTCGTTCTCGTCGTCACCCCCAAAAGCTCCCATCCCGTCGTCGTCGCCAAAGAGATCTGACCCTCCAGCTGGACTGCCTCCGAACAGACTGTCATTAGCAGGGCTGCCTTGGGTGTCCCCCATGCCGTCGGCTCCGTTTGGCGGCTGGGTATTGTTGCCACTAGCACCAGCGCCATTCGATTCCATCTTGCCATTGACGCCGAACCCGCCGTCTACTCCAAATCCGTAGTCATCGTCGGTGCCAGGCTGGCCATTGTCATGAGATAGAGTGTCACTCGGGGCTGGCTCCTCGGCAGCCTCCGGAGGTACTGGTGCACCGCCAGCCGGTCTGATCTCAATGGCGGAAATTTGGCCACCCCTGCCGTCAAACTGCCGAGATACTAGCCCGGTGTTCAGATCCCAATCGAATATGTTCTTGTCCCAACTTCCGCTCAAGACACTCTTCTCGTCGGGGGTAAGAGACAGCACGCTGACGGCATTGGTGTGCTTTTGCAAGCAGGTGATGCGCTTTCCCTCGTCGTGGCGGACGCTTTGCAAGTTGATTCCTCCACTCTCGAGGCCCGACAGGAGCCAAAGGGCTTGCGACTGCACGGCCAAACTGTACACGGGGCTGAGGACGACATCTTCCTGACGCGCCGAGGCAGTTGAGGGCTCGGCGTTCTCCCAGTACGACATCAGCACGCCAGCTTTGGTGACCGAATCGACGAAAGGGTGACGTTGCGCTACGGTTAAAAGGGTCTTGCCGTTGATTGTGCCTGGCCCATCGTACTTCCGTATATACCCGTCGCTTCCACCTGTCATCCAGTAGCGGAGATCAGGGGTGATGGCTATCGCATTGACGCTGGTGGCCATGGGGGCGGCCATGGTAGGCACGATATCGTACGTCCTGGCGTTGAGGACTTCAGGGCTTACTGTGGGCTGCCACTTGGGTGTCAAGTGCGGTCCTGGTGTAGCTGATGATCGAGCGGCAGCGGCATTGGCGGCCCCATTTAAGCCACTGGGCTGTTGCTCTTGGCCGTCGTCGTCCTCGTCGTCGTGTTGGTCCTGATCATCATCATCATCATCATCGTCGTTGTCGTTGTCGTCTTCGTCGTGCTCGGGATTGTCGTTATCATTGTCATTATCGTTGTCATCATCGGCGTCGTTGTCGGCGTCGGCATCGTTCATAGTGATGTCGTCCTCCTGCTCGTGCTCGTTCTCAGAGCTGGAGTCCCTTTCGTAATCGTCCATCTCGGGCAGCTGCTAGACACCGCAACAGGGGCAGGATGTGTACGTGCTACAGAAGGTAATAAATGATCGTCAGCTACTTCAGGGCTGGCAAGATGGCTCAAGGTCCCAGATCGTCCCGGGGCGAAGGAGGAGCGCAGATTGCGTGTCGCATGGTCGTCCGTCTGGAAACGATTGATGTAAGCGGGGGAGGTTTTCTCGCGTGTGCATTAGCCTGGAGATCGAGGGCGTCGCGGCTGGTATATTCAAGTAATGGCAGGACACCTTTGGTCGACAAATACTCCAAGGAAGGTACCGTTGGAGGTTGGATACCGCGATTTGACCGCGCAGCATGCATGTGCCCACTCGCGATGTGGGCAGCACCGCCACAAGCACCGCCATGATGTACAATAAGTGTGGCTGATGTCACAACCGCGCTTCACATTGATGTCCATCCAGTCTTCTTCCCTTTGGTATCGTCAATGTCTCCGGTCTTCATTCGAGCTCGTCGAATACCAAAGAATACTGGATGGACATCAGAGGAAGATCCTTTCCTTACCATGAGTAGTCACTCGCCTTATTTGCCAGTCTAAGATCACTAGAACCACCATGGTACGTCAGGAAGCCGTTGCAAGCAAGTGGTCATTGTCTCGCCTAGCTATGTACTCAGATACTACCCTATGCGCGGCAAATGCCAAACATCCAGGAACTCCTGCCAAACTAGGTACCTAAAAGTTCGGTACACATTTTGGGCGGTAATGTTGTCAAAGACACCGACTCTCCATTCTTCTCCCAGCACAAGCCAACGATATAGCAAACACATGATTCCGCACACACCCTGGCCAACTAGCCCAGCCCAGACCAAGAGAAATGATTTCGCCACCTGACAAGGCGCAGTGTCGGGATAGAGGTTTGTGCCTCTTCGAGATACGGCGTCTTTCTAGTAGGAACTGAAGTGTCGGGCTAGATGGGTTTGTGCCCCTTCCAAAGACGGCGTTGCCCAAATAGAAACTCGAAGTCAAACCAGAGAAGGAGACACAACCCCGAGGTCAGAAGTGTATAAGATCCTCCTCCTCCTTGTCATCAACGTCATCTGCGTCGCCATTGTTCGACTCGTCCACCACCGTGCTCGCAACCTCCCATTCCGGCTTATCGAGCTGACGGCCGGCGTCCGTGGTAGGGTTCACCAGAGGCCGAATGCGCTGCAGGAATTGTGGTCCCTGGTCAGCGAAGTCGTTCCGTCCCGAGAACCGCAAGGAGGCAGCAGACGACCCAGCCAAATCGCCGTCGTTGGGCTGACCGTCGTATTGGAAAGCACCAGGAGCTTTGAAAGAACGTTGTGCTTGTCGGGCAGGAGTGCTGGCAACTACCTCAGCGTCTGAACGATCGGGGTTAATGAAGGTGTTTGTGGATACTTTGGACTGGTTGATTTCATGGAGCCGTAAGGGCAGAACCAGAGCTTCTGTACGGACAGTATCATTGAAGCTCAACAGGTCCGTCACTGGCGCCTCACCGCGCGAGGTAGGTTTAGCAGATAAATGAGGATCGTCCTTCTCGGGTGAAGGCGTGCCACTGCTTCCAGACACGATAACGTTACCTCTCCCGACGTTGCGTTTGCCGCCGTTAGACAGGGTGACATGACGCCACGTCTCCTTGTAACGGGGCATCCTGCTGGAGCCCGAGGCGTGAGGAGCATCGACGACAAGGCTTGGGCCGTGGGCTCCGCGTCGCCGAGCATCGTCCTGCCGAGCATCAAAGGCGCCCCAAGGCAGGTGTTGGGCGTTACCCGAGCGTGCCTCTGTACCGTGACCGGTGGTATCACTGAGGTTAGGAGCCTGAGCGCGGCCGCCGTTGTATCCAAGGCCTCCTCTGCGCCCACGTGAACCGTATCGGTAGTTTCCGTGCTGGTCGCCTCGCCTGGTGGTGCGCTGACCCCCCTGACCGAACGAAGCTGCGCCAAGACCGGGATTGAACTCGACGCCCATCTCTTGGTCGTCCAATGCTGTGTCCGCATCCCAGTCCTCATCGTGGGCATATGCGCCGGTAAAATCGGAACAGTTGCAGACGCAACCCTCACCGCAGACCTCTTGGCATCGGTGGCCACATCGAAGGGTCTTCTCACAGGGCTGTAGGCAGATGAGACGGTTGTGGTCCACCCTAGGCGAACTGTCAGCATACTCGGCCTGACCGCGAGACCAAACCTGTGGGAAAATGAGGGTAGTTACTTACCAATGGCAACGACGTCCACACGGATGACCACAGCTGAGCTTATCTGGACATGGCAGCTTGCAGCCACCGTGGTGGAGCATCCAATCCTCGGGGTGGCGTATGCGGCTCGTGGTCCCATGCCGTTGACAGGTGATTGGAAGTCCGGTCTCGCTGTCTCCGAATCTCTTCTGGAGCTTGAACACCTTCTCGACATTGCCCCACATGTACCGAGACTCTTCGCCCCCTTCCGTCAGGTTGGTCATGTTGCCAAAGATGTAGAATCCTCGTCGCGCGCGGCTGATGGACACCACACCACGGTTGCAATCCCGGAGGAAGCCTGGCCTGTGGGGGCCGTTGGGCCCGTTGCTACGCACCAGAGAGAGAATGACGATGTCGTTCTCCTCGCCCTGGTATGAATCCACCGTTTGGACATTGTTGAAAGGCGCCCAGTGCGAGAGCTGCTTTCGCGCCTCTGATATGATCTGCTTGCGCTGTCCACGGTAGAAGGTCAATACCGTGATCTGGGCTGCATCAACTCCGTTCATCAGGAGGTAGTCGATGAAGCGAACAACCATGTCGGCCTCCAGGAGGTTGAACTTGCTGAGGTTTTCGTCCGTGTCTTCGGTCCAGGTATGATGGAAGAAGTAAGACTCGACCGACATGCCTGGAACCGGAGGGCGCGCGTCCTTCTTGGTGACAACAGGATGGTCTTGCAGCATTGGATAGAACGGATTCAGCACTTCCCGCAAGATGGGAATCATACGGCGCTGCATGTTCAGAACAGTGAATGGCATGTTCAGCTTGACCAGCCGCTCGAACATGGACACGCGCATACAGTATGGCTCGTCGGCGAGCCGTGGCGTGTCGCAGTGCGGTGCCAACTGCTGGTGGTCGCCAACGAGGATGAGCTGCTGGAGGGACCCGTACAGCGCCGACATGATGTTGGCCTCTCGCGTCTCGGCCGCCTCTTCGATCAGCATGGTTCGGGGTTGCAGCGCAGAGAGAAAACCACGGTACTTGCAGAGACCCGTTGTAGTGCACCCGATGATCTCGATCTTGCTCGACTTGATATATTGCGTGTCCTTGTACCAGCGATTGATCTTCAGGCTCTTGCAGATACGGGTGTTATCTGCCAAAGCCTCGCGGAACTCTTCGGCGCGCACACGGAGCAACTGCCTCTGCCAGTACTCGTAGACGGTACCACGGTGTTCCTGCTCAATGTCCCACAAGTTCGGCTTCGCTCGCTCTCGGCGAATGACGAGTTCAGTCCCGGAGTATCCATGAGGGTTCGCACCGATCCATCGATGTCGGATTGGGATCCACTTGCCATCAACCCTCCCGCGATCGTCGTCGTCGTCCACGATACAGTCGTCAAGCTCCAGGTCGTAGTCCTCGGCATCGAGGTCGACAGCATCGTCATTCTCCGGAGTTTCGAAGACGGGATCCTTGAAGGCCATAGGGGGCGCCTCCACCATATCATCCCCCAGCCACTCGGAAAGTGAGCCCGCGGGGCGGTCTTGCAGCGGTTCAGCAGCCCATTGGTCGTCGTCGTATCCCAGAGACTCCATCTGCTGTACCGTGATGATGCCGGCGTCGAGAAGGTTCGCCGGATCGACCAAACCTCCAGGGAAAACATCGTTGACCATGCACTCCAGATTGGAAATATTCTTCTTCCGCGCAGATTCGCACGTCTTGTAATCCCCATCCGCCCGTTGTCTGAAAGAGGCCAGCTTCTGGCGTCGCAGGTTGTACATGCTGTAACGTTTGATCTCCTCGTTTTGACTGCGGCCACCAAGTCGGACGGCGTCAAAACCGAGCTTGACCAGCTGAATCAGGATCTGGTCGACGGCATGGTTCGTCTGGGCTGCGACGATGATGACGTTGCTTCCACGTTCTTGCGTCTCCAATAGGATCCGTAGTGCTTGCACAGACGTGAACGTCTTGCCGGTACCGGGAGGACCCTGGACGATGGCAAGTTCTCTTGTGAGAATACGATGTACGGCGCTGAGCTGGGAGTTGTCGAGGTTTGTGTACGGGGACAGATTGTCATTGAGACCTCTAATGACGTTCGCGTTGGCCAGAGGTTCCTTGGCTTCGGTTATCTTCTGTCGGACGGCAGCTTTGGACATGCCCGCAGAGTTCGGAACGTGATGCACAAGCGACCTGATGTTCATCTCAGGGCTCTGCTGCACATACTGTGCTGCATAGTCGCCCTTGTCGGCGCCGACTAGGTATTTGTCGATCGGGGTGTCCGTCATGGCAACATGTTGAAGGCCAACCATGCTGTGGCGCACGGCCTCGAAGTAGCCGGTCCGAGCCTCGATGATGACCAACTCGGCTGTCGGGTCTACGATGGCATCTTCTGACCTTGCCCAGTGAATCTGAATGGTCGGAGGGTTCTGATCTAGACCGTCGCGGATAGGATGGTCGGCGATGACAGCAGGCAGGCAGATGGTTTTGAAGCCATCTTCTGCGGTCGACAAGGCCACGAGGCTCCCCGTGGTGAGTCGGCGGGTCTGGGTCCAGCGGATCTTCTTGCCGGATCTCTCGGTTGAGAACTGCACACGGCACATGGGGCCAAGGCGTGTCATCAAGTAGCCCTTGACGAAGACCTGGCAGAGAAGGTGGTCAGCACGAGACCAAAACACAACTCATGATGGTAACCCTAACCTTGGTGTAGATACAGGTCTCCTCATCGTCCATCATGCGTGGCGTCTCCTGGTACTTCTTGATGGAGTATCGCAGCATGGTGATTGCCTCCTCTCGCTGGAGGCGATAGTGGGTTTCCAGGTACTTGTCCTTTTCACTCCATGGCTCTCTCCAGTTGTTGGGCAGGAGACTCTGGACCTCAGCGAGCTGCTTTGGGTCGGTCAAGTCCGGGTTCAGGTCGCGAGCGGTTGGAATCTCTGGATAACCTCGCCATTCCTGTCCCGGGAGCGCAGTGGGCTCGTAATTGACGCACTGGTTGATGATGCCAAGTTCCTGCAGATATGACGGGTTAGAGAGTCACATGCGTCGTTCACAGAGTGCAGACAGGGGGGAGAGCTTGCCTTGATGCCAACGGCCTGAGAATCGTTGGGGCCAGCCATGTTCACAGTTCGGCGGAGAAGGTTCGCTTCAATATATGTTGCTCGTGGTGGTTGCTGGTTGCGGCGTCGCGTGACTTTTTGTTCCCAACCCAGCAGATTGAAAGATGGTATCGATGTTGTGAAATCAATTCAGGCTCTGCCGTGGCGTCGCGTGAAGAGAGATCCAAGTTCACTGGGATCTGGCGAGATGGACGGCGCGTGTGTGGTCGTGGATAGCCAGAGGACGGAACAGGGTGAGGGTGAGGGTGAGGGAAGAGAAACCCACGGCAGGTACCTGACCTATGTAGGCACACTGATGAGATCAACGCATGTGCTTGCAGGCGAGCAAGGCCAGATATTTCTATCTTGCAATTGTGATCTCTAGATGCATGTCATCAAAGTCCTAGTGTGAGACGAGCATAGAAATATCGAATGGGTGGTGGTGCGGGATGTGTGGCAGGTGTCAGGTGGCAGCCGCAAGGTGGGAGGTGCGCGGCGGCAGGATCAACTGGAAGAGGTGAAAAATGGGGGACGAGATGGAAAGAGAGCCCCAGAGCCGACTGACTGCACCTGCCTGAGGAGAACACCTGTATTTGTCCACCGTTGTACGATGGGTCAGCTTTTTGACGCCGTCGTTTGATTCTGCGAGTTGAAGCTGAAGGCAAGTAGGTAGCAGTGAGGCAGGCCAGACCAACCAGAGTATACCCAAGTCTTTTCTTGAAACGCAAAGGAAGCGTATATGAGTGCAGTTGGTACGTATAGATCTATCTAGTTGCATACCTTAGGTGCGTTGGATTGATTGGCCCGGCAAACAGTCCAAACACAAACACCAAACGCAATCACCACGGGGACAGCTTTCACCAATATAGTAGGGCCACACCCGACGGTCAATCATGGTTCAATCTGTCAATTCCCAGCATCTGCAGAACTGAGGCAAACGACAGCGGCGTCCGGCCGAAGCTATACCCGGCTCCATGACAATCTGATTACACAACCCGTGGACGCAAGGCAGATTTCCGCAATATGTTTTCTGTTTTCATGTACGCTTCTCGAAAGAATCAAGGCTTTAATTAATCAGGGCACTCTTTCAAAACCTGTATGCACCATACATAGGAGCAGATTTGGACCATTCAAGTCTCCTCGATATAAGTGCATGCACAGACCAGCGTTGAACCTGGTCTCTCTGCCTAAAAGACCTCAACTTCATGCCTTATCCAGGAAATCCCCCTCGCACAAGATGTCCCCCGCCAGCATCCTCCTTACATGTGTCTTGCTGATATCCTGACGATTACGGCGAACATTGGCCATAACAAATGAAGGAAAGCGGTCGGGCTCCTTCTAAAGCGGCAGTCTGGGTACAATGCGCTTTCGCCAACGAAACCGTCCTCGCCAAGGTCAGAGCTGCTCTCGTTTGGAACAACCGAGAGGCCCAGGTAGGCACAGGCGTGTCTGTACTCGTGCATGGACTGGAAGTATAGCTGGCCCGCGAAGAGGTTAAGGTGCATCACCTCTGTGCGGGGAGCAGTCCAGGGCGACGACTTGGGCGGCGTGACGTTGAGACTCAGGTGCTGCAGCGAAGGGAGAGACAGCGTGTGACGAGGAGCGTAGACACGCAGCCTGACGTGGTTGCTCTTCTCAATGCGCGGGAGGAGCTCGTTGGCCTCGTAGGGGCTGAGCACTACCAGAACGCTTGAAGATTCGAGGGACAGGATCCACTGCACCGGCCGATAGAAAACGTCCATGTCAGACCCAGAAGGAAGAACGACGGTTCGGGCAAAGTCGGCTGTCACGAGCAACTGGCGTCCAAAGTGATCGAGTCGAATCAAGTGGGCCATGCTACTACGCTCGAAGGTGCGGAAGGCTGCGAGGAAGCTTTCCTTCCCCGGGACGCCACTGTTTTCGACCAACGACAAGACGTTGGGGTCCAGTGAGTGCTTTTCCGGTTGCACCCCAGGAGGTTTCTCAACCTGTCTCTCCTGCTCAATCTCTGGGGCCAATTCGCGCTCCTGTTCCTGTAGCACACCGCGTTAGCAGATGCCCACAATGCTGATGGCTGCAATATATGCGTGACTCTAACCCATAAGCGAGGAGGTTGGTGATGCAATCATTTAAGAAGGCCGGCGCCTCAACTATACAAGGATAGAGGCAGAGGTATCCAAGTGCTAACGTGGAGTCCCACGACACTTGTGGCAGAAGCAACAAAATAAAGGGGCTTACCTCTTGAAGAGAAGCCGAATCAAAATGGGCAAGTTGGAAGCGTTCACACTTGTCCTTTAGCGCATCGATTTGATCTTGACGACCGGCCAGCAGGGGATTGTTGAAGTGCTCTTTGACTCGCCATAGCCTCAAGTGACTGAAGTAGGACCTTCAGTCCATGGCCCTCGTCCGTCTCGCTATCTGCAAGGCCTGAATTCTTGGAATCGTCCTTGAAAAGAGGATTAAAGCTCGAGGGCTCTGCACAGACAAGGGGCGACGGGGCGCTGGCGAATAATTGGGAGACGGTGAAGTGCACTGTCGAGACTCTAGCACCTGCGGTGACGAGATCATCGTCAGAGTACTTGTAGGTAGAAGGGGTTGTCAGGTCCTTGGGGACATCAACTGCCAGCGCCATGGCCGACTGCATGAACGAGTCTAACTCCCGATTTCTGTGCCAACTCTTGAACCACTCCCGGATACTGGGCATTGCCGGTGCCGGCTGAACATAAAAGTCGATGCCAGGATCAGCTGGTACGCTGGGCCCGCTCGAGGCCACGAACTGATGACGCAAGTTGGCAACAAATATCTCTCTGGAGTTTCGGACCTTGCTCTGCCATGCCTGGCGTTGTCGATTCTTGTGGTCGTGGGGGGCCTCACGGGAGTATTGTGGAAACCGCGACTCAGGGCTTCTGTTGAAGCTATCTTCACGCTCAGCAACGCTGTCCCTGATAGTGTGGTCTTGGAAGTCAAAACCATCCCTAATCCTGAACAGGGCGTGCTGGGGCTGTGAGAGTGTTTGGAAGTCCGGCACACATGCCGAAGCCAGAAGGAGCTGTATCAACTCGAGATTTGGGTCTTCGGCAAAGACCAATAGCCCAAAGAAGGCCATCCACTTGAATCTTCTCTCGCCCCGAGGTTTGAATGACAACTCTTCCTGTATCTTGCAGAAGTCAGCCCCTATACTGCTGGTGGGGGTGTTGAGCCACCGCAGATCGAAGCTCAGCTCTGGCGCCAGCGTCGTCGCAGTCGGCCCGTAAACTTCGTTACCCATTATCTTGTAAAACGCCGGCACTGCCAACTTCGACAGATGCGATAGCTGAGGCAGGTTCTCCGACTCAGAAAACAAGGCCCGCGTGATGAGGCATACTCTGCACTCCAAGTCTTCGAGGGGCGACTCTTGAATCTTGCCACGAGACAGATAATCGACGGACACAGTGCTATGACACTCGGCTCCAAACCCATGAGTCCGCCAAGTGGAAGCGCGATTCGTTGCCCGATCTCTGAGGTGGTTGCTGGTTCGTTTGTTCACCTGAGTCGACAGCTCGAGCATTGATACATCGTCTGGGGAAAAAATATCGCAGTATTGCCCTTTCTGAAGAACAGATTGCACGGCTCCGAGTATTTGGTCATCCTGCGCCAGTGGGCTGAGTATGCTAGACCATTGGATCTGCTGCATTTCCATCATTCCCTTCGGATAGAACTGCCGGACTGGACTCAGCTTGGCGATTTCGGCAAGCATGCTAACATCCTCATAGCTCATCCGTTGGAAAGACATCACCGCTGCTGAACGGAGGATCCGCAAAGCCTCTTCCGTGCCTGTCCGGCCTGTCAGAGGATCTGGGAGACAGTGACTGGTGACCGCATGAAGATGGCATAAAAGCAGTTTAATATGCAGATACTCTTTGCCAACGAGACGGCCAAGGGTATCGTCAACCTCGTAGTAATGGTGTCTACGCCGTGAAAGTGCTGTGAGATAGGATGGGCTTTGGGCCAAAGGAGTTCGAATCGACGAAGCTGGGTGCCCACCCCGACCGACGCCGAGCGAAACAGGCCCAAGCGGCACAATCAAGGCTCTCGGATGATTGACATTGGGGTTCTTGTGACGTAGAACAAGTTGACTATGCAGCCCAAGCAGTGTGCCAGTTGACTGTGTGGCGTCGACAACTAGTCCGCGATAGTGCTTTGACTGTAGATCGATACTCCCGGCACTAAGGGTGAAGGTCAAGTCGTATCGGGGTAGCATTATCTCAAGCGCGCCAGAGAGCTGATCGAATATGATGGTGACGTATGCCCTTTCTTCGATAGATTCCAAAATGCACGAAACCTCCTCGGCAGTCTTGCTCTGCACGTCGATTACAGTCCTCAGGCCGCCTCCGAGGGAGATCGTGGCCGATTGATTATCCAGACGCCAAGAGTCGCCCCGAGATGTCCAGGGTTCTGTCACTCGGCGAAAATCGACATCTCTTGTGCGTATATCTATCCAGTGACTGTAGGGGTAGATGAGGTCCTTCGGGACATCGCCCTCGAGCTTGGTCGGAGGGACAAATTCCCACTATTTATCATCTTTGCGTGCACGAATCACTAGCTCAGCACCCATCATGCCGAATTCGACAATCCAGCCCTCCTGCTTTCTGGCTGCGCAGTATTCCATTGGAGGCCTGTCGGACGGCGTGATATCAAGGATTTGGTTGCCAAACAGTCGTGAGTAGGTTGGGTGTCTACAGTGCTCGATCGGTAAGCGGGATAAGGGACGCCCATTGACGAGCAATTTGCCTTCGAGAAGGTCAACACAGACGGACAGAGGAGTCCGGCCATTGTAGCTGGAAGATACAGAGGTCACGACGTGCTCACCCCCAGTCGGACCCGTGGACCAGGAAGTTCCAGGCTCGAACGCTGCCCAGAATTTAGAAACGGCCTGGTCAAGGCAGGCTCTGTCGCGCGAAACCCCTTGCAACAGTATTGACCGCACGTGGTAACAAACTCTACGCCATGCCTGTAGCGAGACTCTCAGAAGTGGCGAAAGCTCCGACTCATTTGGAGCCTGGTGGTCATGGATGTAAATCGAGGTCTCGATAAAGCAAGCCACGGACTCGCCAGGATCGAAGACTAATGATAGGTGCAAAGGGTCAACATCAAATGTGCTGCTGCATAACAATGCCATGGTGAGTATCTAGGCGCTCAAGTCCTTCCTGTAACTCTCCTCGACGGTCTTGGCTCGCTTCTCCAGGAGAACCGCGATCCAGCGACACGAGACTGACCTGACCTGTGTGAGGAATGCCAAACATTCCTGCTGAATACGACGAGTTGGTAGCAACGAAAGGATTCTTGCGCAGAGACTGACAAACATAAACATAGCGCGTCCACACTCCCAATTCTCGCGCACTCGTTCCAATGCTTGTCTGAGGCCAGCTAGAAGTGACAAGCTGTAGTCTTTGTGCTCGACAAACACATGGGCATCACGGAGTATTCTTCCGGGATAGTCGTCCTGAGGACCGGCTTCGCAGGCCGCCTGGAGGATCAATATGGCAACTTCGTCTCTGCTGAAGTCAAGACAGGGCATGACCATTTGCGTAAGGATGTTGCGCCACTGCAGGCAGAGACCGGATCGCAGGTGACCAAAGGCTTTGAACTCGTCCAACGTCAGGTTATCGGGGCATCGGCACTGCTGGGCGAGTACCTCGTTAGACCGATGTTGGTAGCCGCGAATCCACGCAGGCAATGGAAAGCCTGAAGACTGTGCGAAGGAACAGTTCAACGGTACTGCTGAAGTCCCAATAATCTCGGTGGGTCGACAGTTATGATCGAGATCGTAATAATCCCAGTTACATCCGTGGGGCTTGCAGATGTTGTCTGCCGTCGCCTCGGAAACATTCACGCTTCGATAATGGGCAACCGTGAATGGTTTAACCTCTGATCCGAGGCCCAGTCGACATATCTGAGCATGCGGGATGTGTCGAGAGAGCTCAGTGTAGCTTGAAGGGGTATACGGGGACCTCCCAGAATATGTCGGGCGTTGCTCAACGTCGAGCATGTCTACGAGCAAGTTCAGTGTGAGCCTACGCCATGTGGCGATTGGTCCTGGAACCTGGAGCTCAAACACGACGGCCTTCGCTTCTGACTCAACGGCTGGAAGAGGCCATTCGTGGATCAAAACTGTCGAGTCGTCCATCTCTCTTTGCAAACGGCATTTGGGTTAGGACTGGGTACACTCCAGAACGAACTCGCCGCGTCTATAGACCTCGATTTTATGGTGGGTAGACGTCTCGTGGCGGCGCTTGAGCTCAAGGTAAGCTGCCCAGCACCTGTCCAAGTCATCAAGTGTACGGTCTCTGTCTTTTCGGGCCGCATCCTGGATCTGGCTGCGAATAGACTGATGCGTCTCTGAAATATCGAAGTACCAGACGGCGAACGAATAGGCTAGTCCAAACCCACCAAAAACCGAGGTGCCCTTGAATCTGGCGCTATTCTGACGTGAATAGATGTAGGACTCGATGCGGGACAGACGTTCCATCGGTGACTTTATGGGGAGGAGGAGGACGTCCAGTAACCTGGGCGGGAATCCGATATCGTAATCTAGTAGCATGGAGTAGAAGTGGGTTGCTGCCTTGTCGCATGCAATCCACAACTCAAAGATTGTAAGCCACATACGCGAGAGGTTGACTGGATTCTCGTGGTAGGTGGTTTTGGCTTGTGCGTGGTACGCTTCGACGAGGCCAGCCAGCCTGTGGCAGGTGTCTTCCAGCCCAACGTGGATGACGACCCAGCGCTCCAGGGACTGCTCGATCCAATCCTCGAATTCCGCCAGTGAGTAGATCGTGGTCCCTGACGCTTCATCGATGGAAAGCTCAGGACGAGCCGTGTGGCCTATTCGTGAGAAGACGATTGAAGGAGTACAATGCCCCGTCTCACTGGTGTCAGGGTGCTCTGTGCCGAAACTGCCAATGTTCGCGATATGCTTGTTCAGGTTCGTCATGCCAAGGAGCGTGTCAGCTTGGAAGTTGAGGCCTCGAAGCTTTTCCAGGTCCAGCATTAGTTCTCGTAACCAGGCGGCCTCTTTGACGGCTTCGCTAAGGGCATAATATTCAGCTTCCACCGTGGATTGGGCAACAACAGATTGCAGCTTTGAAGCCTAGGAGACAGCACCTCCAGCAAACGTAAGCAAGTAGCCAGAGGTAGATTTAGCGCCTGTCCTGATGCTTCCAGCATAGCTGGCATCACAGTAACCAACCAGCAGATCCGGAATCATCTCAAGGACCTTCTAGGGGGTCTTCCCGACATATTCGGGACCCCCAAATTTAATCCCAAGATCCTAAGAGTGCCACAAGTAGCGAAGGAGGCCCAGTGCGGCCTTATATTGGGCTGTACCAGGTCTGTGAAGGTATCGTGAGAGGATTCCCATGGAGTACGCAATGTCTGGTCTCGTATACGATGCAGGGAAGTTCTCAGAGCCTATCAGAGACTGGTATGTCTGAATAGGACGTGTATCAACCTCAAGGTCGTTGTCCCACTGCTTGGGGAGATATCGGCACGTTCATCTTGCCAGTGTTCTGCTGGTCGAACGCCTCCGCAGTCCTTCTCACGTACGTCTGTTGAGAGAGATACAACGTCCTCTCAGCTCGGTTTCTAATAATACGGACCCCAAGGAAGTGTTCAGCAGCTCCCATGTCCTCCATCTCGAATGTAGAAGCCGGTTCTTCCTTGAAGGTAGTGATCTTATTAGAGTTAGCCCCCAAAATGAGGAAATCGTCGACATAACTAATGACGATAATGCCGCGGCTGGTATTGGTATAGACAGCGTTGTCAGAGACCAGAGGCTTGAATCCAAGGTCTTTTAGAGCGCTGCGAATGCGCTTCTGCCATTGCCTGGGGCTTTGCTTGAGCCCATATAGTGGTTTAGCAAGCTGCATAATCATGTAAACCATGCCGATGCTCGTGGGTAGGGACAAAAGTCAACAAGATCACGGCCCGCCGTGTCCAGGTCCCTCCGGATATTCCATCACCGTTATTCCGAGCAGACCATACTTCCTGGTACATGGCAACCTTAGATAGAAGCTCCATGACGCTTGAGGCCTTGTCAACCAGTGGCATGGGAGGATAAGCACCCGGGCTTGCCCCTGGTGGCTTGTGGACTGGGCACCCATGTTCCTTCTCGCGTTCTGCAGTGATGTATCAGGCTAGTTTACTGAACGTCTCCGGCCAATTGCTTGCTGGGAATGGCACACGACCTATTTGGTGTTGACCGCCAATGGTAAAGTCATACGGCTCGTTGCCATAGCCGGCGGCGTCTCCAGATGCAAAGGCCTCCACCAGTTCACTGTGGTCCCAGAAGCCTATCTCAGACCCAGGAATTTGCAGCTCTTTGGCTTTGCGATGGACGTCACAGATTTCCAGCTGTGGTGCTGAAGGGAGGGCAGACAGATGGCGAGTGCGATCACGCCTCGGAGCTCGGAGTCGTTTGGGAATGTGGAGCCCGAATGCATATCCAGGGCGACTTCGAAATGGAAAGTATCACAGGGACCCACAACATAGCGTGATGTCCGCTCGTTAGCTGACCCTGTGTCGTTCAGGGCGCTCATGAGTCGACCGCTTAGCTCTGGAAAGCTCAGGGCCCACTTGCGAGATATCTCTTCGATGGATGACGACGGTTTCTGTAAAAGTGCCCGCGTGTAATCGTGTAGTACTGTTGCAGGATGGTTATTGCCGTGCTTCTCTTTAGCATTAATCTTGGGTGGCGAGACGAATGCAAGCATCTCTTTGGTCGAAGAAACACATCCTCGTCTGCACCTAGCAGCATGGAGAAGTAGTCGTAGTTTGGAAGCTCGTTAGGGAGGATGCCGTCAGCAATAGCGGTGAGGAGCTTGTTGTAGTTTAAGTCGTTTACGTCCTGATTGGTTGGGACAGCTTGATTGACAGGCAAGATAAAATGACCTAAGAAAAGATCAGTTTGATATCTGTGGAATCGGGTACGATTTTCTTACCAGTGACCAAGGTAGCGAGGTAGGACTTTAAGACATGTATATGACTTGATACTCGCTTTCGCGCCTGTTTTGCCAGAGGCGATCGCCTTCCAGGGTCATCTTTTCCTACATTGCTATCCGGGATCAATTCTTCGTCACAAGGGATGTTAATATCCAATCCACGTAGCAAGATGTATTTTGCAATGAGCATGGCACGCGTGCACAGAAGGATCGGTGGTCGGAGGGTGGTTGTGGGTGAACGAGAGTCCATTTTCAGCGTTTCTGGCAACGCGGAAGCCCCATTTGCGATCATTTTCCTTCAGCGCAGTAATGTTCCCTTTCTAAGGGCAGTCGATCTTCTGCGAGTAGGTATCGCGGCTCTTGGCCTGCGAGGGCTTCGTGCGCTTGCCCCGATCGCAGTAGATCTCATATCGAGTCGGCTTGCCATCCACGCGGTTCGATCCCGCGCCGAATGTGATCCCAAAGCCGTTGGCGAGCGAGAATGCAAGCAGAGAGCGGTAGACTTCTTCCCACGTATCTGCGAGCTCGCCGCCGTTCGCGCTGCCATCAGGAGGGTCGATAATTGGTGGCAGAAGTGACGAAAAGTGGTAAAGTTGGCAGGTTTTGCAATTGCAATTGCAGTTGCAGTTGTGTGAGAAAAGCAGCGCACAAGGTTGTGGCAGCTGGCAGGCAGGGCAGGGTGGTGGGGGTGGCGGCTGGCAGGGATGTGGCAGCTGGCAGAGGGGTACTATTGAAATCGGGCAACTATTGAAATAACAATTCTCGAAATTTATCCCTTCTGACACCAACTCTCCATATTTCAACATTTGTCCTCTTCCTTACATACTTGCACGTCATAGGTCGGGTTCTTTTATACTTTCGAGTCACGTGATTTGCACCTTATGTGGTAGGGTCCCCCACCTTGCAACCATCTGACAGCGGGCTGACCACCAAGCTTCCGTCAACAAGGTCCAACAGGTCCAGCTGCGAGGGACATGATGATTTGTATCAATACGGTATCGACATACGAAACACGATCAACTCGTGGTTTTTGTCGCGGCATATGACGACGACTTGGCTTGATATTCGATCGCACAGCTCAGCCGTAGCTTGATCTTGAAGAAGATTGTAGTGACAATTCTTTCAATCTTTTCGGTCTCCTACTCGGTCTTGCTTTAGGTAATCTCGCCGGCGAGAGGAAATAGGGTCTGTGCCGTCAATTTCGCTGTCGGCGCGGCGCGCCCCCCAGTATTATGAACCTAAATATGTCTTTCGGGGCCAGCCAAAGACACTGCTGAATCATACTGGCTCATGCACCCATAAAGCTGACTGGACTGGTTTCAAACTTAGTCGGTTTAGAGACGGGCAACGTCGGCCTTAACTTCGTCATGGTCGAGTGACGCCTCATGCGTGAACGGAAAAGACTGTTAACTTTCCTCGTTGTCTGCAACACTACTAACTGGACACACTTTGGAGGGCAAACGTGTCGAGTATACCGTTCCCTGCACTTTAAATAAACGAATCTATCACCCCTTAAGATTCTTGTGGATAACATATGAGCAACACACAAGATAAACTTTGCTTATATATAGATAATGAAACAGAATCGCGCTTTGGTACATGGCCGTGCTGCTAGACCTTCGATTCCGAGGATACCAACGCGACAACGGTATACTGCCAGCAGAAGAAAAGAGCTAAACGTATACCAGTATTAGAAGCTACTTTCCGTACAACGATACCGCAAGCCACAAACGAGCAAGGTCGAGCTGAGATGAGGCGTGTCGCCTTACTACGAGCGCTGACACCTCCGCGTCCCCTTGGGTAGTGTCGCGACCTTCATCATCTTTCCATCCCTCCAAGGTGCACGGCAATAAAATATTTCGTCCGTCGATTTGTATAATCACTTTCCCACAGCCAATCCAACCATCGACGTATCACTGCAAGCATGATGCAGGAGCGCACACACCAGGACAGCCTCGATGCTCATCATCTAAGGCTCAGAAGCGACCCGCCACCGATCACTCGCAACCCTCCGTCAGCGGCACATCCAGTAACGAGCGATCTGAGAAGCGCATGAAGATCAACGTCATAAACCATGACCCCGTTCGCGACTCTATGGGTTCCCGACATCCACCTACTGCGGCTTACGACAACGACTCGCGCACCTCTCGAGCAAGCTTCACGACCACAGCCGCCCAGGCCCCAAAGCCGGAGGATGTGCATGTTCGTGGGCTGCTTGAAATCATTGCCAGTCTCCGGGATGATATCAGTGTCCTGAAAGATGAGATTGACCGTAGTCGGGCTACAAGTGACCAAGCAGGTCCGAACGATGAAAAATCTGTCCGATCATGCTTCGACTTGCTCAACGATGCAATCAATAGCCTGGCTGAGCGCAGATTCAGTGGCTTTCCATTCAAGATCCCAACCAAAAAGACCGACAAGGATTTCTGCAGTGAGATGAACGATGGCTACGAACAGTACTTAAAAAAACGATCAACTGAAGTCCTACTTTATTACGGGCGCCATCTGGAAAAAGCTTTACCAGAAGCTGTTGCACAATCCCAGTGCCGTCTTCCCGCCAGAGATGGCCGAGGCGCTTGGCACTCTTATGGACGAACTTTCGAGTAAGTACTTCCAGCAGCCTACTGATTATGCAAATTCTGGTTTGAGGTCAACGTTAACACATTATCCAGCAGCCAAGGACAACCAAGACGATACGGTACTACAGGAATTCCACCTGCTGCGCGCTCAGGCTGGTCTATATCTAAGCCGAAAAAGCGGAGGCGATGGACCTTACCGATCACGTTCAACTGGCTGGGTTAAGTTCGTGAACGAGCTATACGACTTTTTCGAGAAGTACTCGTTTACGCCGAACGAGGAGGAGCTTAAGCGCGAGTTTGGAAAGATCGGGAGCCTCGCGGTGGGCAGATCGTGGGGAACACGATGCATTGGAAGAAGTCAAGAACGGCTAGCTACAGTGGAAATCGCGCGTAAATAACGAACGGCTCTGAGCTTGTGCTCTCGCCCGCCACCGCCGCCGTTGCCCCCGTCTGCTGAATTGGCTCCTCTCCAGGCGAGAGTTTATTGATCCATTCTGCGAGACCCATGTCACGCTGTATCGGGGTCCTCTCTGCGAGGCTCCTCGCTTCTCGCCAGTTCTTGGTGATCCATAGCTGGCTTAGAGCATCGAACTTCTGGCGTTCCTTGTTGTCGAGACTCTCGGCGTCAGTGTTGCGCTGACTCATGAAGTATATCTCCAGGTCGGAGTCCAGGGCTCGCCCGAGCATAAGGAGCAACAGAGCCATCCACAGGATCAAATCTCAGGTGTTCTTCGGCAACCTGTAGTTATCGTCGATCCACACGTGGAAACGCCGGTGGCGGAGGGCATTGAAGGGGCCGGAGATGCCATGCTTCTCCCCCACAATACGGCCATTGCGGAAAAGGGCTACAAGGGCCTCGACTGACGTCGGCCGGGCCTTGGGCCTGTAAATGGGAGACTGTATGTCGGTGCTGCCCGGCTATTCGTCATCCCTTTTCACGATAATGGGAAAATACCACATGTTCTGAGAAGACGATAGTGGAATCCTCATTCGTCATCCTCAGATGCTATAAACTCTGTAGGCTTCCCGTTGTCATTTGACAGACAGAAACACTGCGCGGATCTGGGTGTTTCCTCTTCTAAATGGAAGCCGGCTCGCTTTAAAGCTGGAAGAAGGCGTGCCCGCAAGTCATTGCTACAGCGAGAATACCTGTCCTTACATCTGCGATTGAAAGCAATCACCTTCGGAGACGTATCAACCCGAGGCCGATTCCCCCCAATGATGCGCTATTGACGTTCTGTACTAGCCTAGCTATGAGCACTTATCAAAGGGTTATATCGTTCTTGCTGCCATGGCTGTACTATCCGGCACGGCATCGGTTTCTTGCTAGTTAGTGCATTATGGGAACTCCTGATATCCTCCAAACCTCAGTCATCTGCACAGCACTAGCTATTGAGAGCTCGATTACTGTTTTAAGCTCGATAGCCACCTTCAGGCTACTCAGACATGTATCCCACCAGCCACCGTCCCCGGTGAGAGTGAGGTATAGGCGCATGTACTTAGTTTTCGTGGCTTTAACCGCTACACTGAGCATAACACTCACAGTTGATTATCTTGATACCTCCACAACCCTGCGATGCAGAGGCTCTGGAAGGCGTGGTTTGCACTACTGAGGAGCAATCCCCCACGTTAAATACAAAACAAACAAACAAAACAAACACTCACAGTTGCATTCGCAATCCTGGCATGTATAAAGAGAAACACCACGTGTTCTGAGAAGGCGATAGTGGAAGCCGGCTCATGTATCTGGAAGAAAAAGATCCTCGGACGGGACAACCTGATTTAGTTACTGGTCGGATACGGACGAATTCATGAAGAGGTGATGTAAGTAAATATCATGCGACACTCTGAAGTTGTGTAGGGGATGCGAGCTAGTTTCTTAATATATAAACAAGGTTTAACGGCTTCCTTTAGCACGTTGAAACAAAGGACAAATAATGGCGTACTCATCCGCAGTAGCTTTAAGAGCCTAAAGCCATTTATAAACCTCAATAGACATAATAGGCTTTTTAGGAACACACTCTACTCCAGTGTTTAACAAGGAGAGAATTGGTGCCTTGTGGTACGCGCAGCTAGACACTATTGCCTTCCGTAACGTATAAGTCTTTATGCTTTATTACACTACATTTCTACCAGCAGAGCGACTATTGTAATTGCTGTACCAGTTCGAAGTAAGCCTATTAGAAGTTACTTGTAGGCCTTGATTTGTAAAAGATCTATCTAATATGAGCGTAATTAAGACATCACTGGTGGTTACCGGCGCCTTGGTTCTTTCTACATTGTACCCGTGCCACGCCCCACTTTATTCAGGATTCGCTCCGGCTCACCAGCTAAAGCTGGTGCTGGACACCAAAACACTCAGATCACCAAAACACCCAGTTTTTCGATCTATCCAACTAGAAACGCTTCAACCACCTGCAACCGTGGCCAGATTCGTATATTTCCGCCGGTGCCATTCTCCCAGAAAGCCTCTGTTTGCGTGACTCCTTTGCTGCTTCAGAAAACAGCGTTTTGCAGCATTTGCGAGACCTTAGATCTGCTGCTTCAACCATCTTCCTCGCCTTGACTATCTGGTCTTCTTCCTTTTGCTGGACCATCCACCGGCCATCAGCTACTGTCAACACCCCTCCTGACTTCAATGGAGTATTCTTAGTAGCCCGGCGTTGTTTTTGAACACGCTCAGCATATTTAGTCCTCCCCAGGTCCCTTTTAGTCTGGACCAGTTTTACAACGTCCACAGCCTCACAAAAACAACTATTTTTCTTGGCGCCCCACTGTTAGGGCGCAACCTTGATATTTGCACTAAAGCAGGCACTCCTCTCAGTAACTGACTATCTCTGCCAAGGCACAAGAGAATTTTCTCACAAGCCGGATGGCACCCTTCCACGACGGGCCCCCAAACATGCCCGTGGCCGTCCCAAAGACGACCACCGGCGGCATGCTCAAATCCCCGACCCCTAGAAAGACATACGGCCCGGCAACTCCGAGCAGGCTCTGCTAGGCGCTACTTGACGACATCAGCAGCAGCCCGTCATAGGTCTCTGAGGCTGACTTCACCGTTATTTCCCCTCTGAAAGGAAAATCCCAAAATATCAATAACAGCAGCACCACTGGAATGAAACAACCTCAATTGAACGAAATCTCGACAGACCAAGCCATTACACGCGGTATAGAGAATAAAACCTCCTCCTCAGAGTGCCAGGACCAAATTGCCAGAATACTGGCTAAAGACAAGCATCTTTATGAAGCCAGGATGACAATATTTTAAGAGTGTGCTGCAGTGGTTGATAAGACACTTGAGAAAGCTGGAACCAAATTATACTCTCATGCCAAGGAGTTCAGCGCTTTCTTCTCTAAATGTCTGAGCGAGTGGCTGGAAACCCAAGATCTGCCTAAAAAGAAGACCATCCCTGGGGGGATAGGGATGGTAAAGCCCACCATGACCTTTGCCCAAACTGTCTCCTTTAGCCAACGACAGCATCCACAGACAGTCAATATTACCATAAAGAAAATACAGCCTGGCGCCCGTATCACTGCCAACCAACTAAAGAAGAAGCAGGATAATCTCCGGGTCTTTGTCCGCATAGATAATAGCCACCTAGAGCCTTACGGAATAAAGTCTATACTGAACAGAAGACTTAAGCTCCACCCTCAAGAGCTTAGAGAAGTGACCCGGTGCCCCTCTAGATTTACCTTACACCTAAGGGACAAGCCAACTCAGGCTAAGCTCCTAGCCTTCCAAGAAGAAATCACTGATATTCTCAAAGCAGAAAAGATCGAGACCCACACAGTCTGGCATCACTATAAGGTCGATAGATGCCCAAGAAAGGTTATGAGTGCAGAAGGGCTTACAGTCGACATTACCAACGCTGCCGTCGCTGACGAAGTCAAAGCCCAAACATGCGACAGACCTTTGAGGTGCATGATCTCAAGGAACACGGTTGATTCCGATCCAGAGACCATGTGGGTGATCTCTCTGCCCCGTGCAGTGAAGAAACCATTCACGCTTTTTGCTCACTCGATGACCTCGAGGCACATTCAATACGCCCCCAAGGTTCGCCAGTGTGCGAGCTGCTTCAGATACCATAGTAGGAACTACCAATGTGAAAAGCAAATATGCGTACGCTGCGCCAGCGCGGTACACCAGGGGGAGTGCAAAAAACCAATCCCAAAGTGCATCAATTGCAGGAGGCCTCATGCTGCCGACTTCAACAAATGCCCTGCACGCCCTAAGGTCGTGAAAGGTATCATCCATAAGCCCACATGGGAGCAAATCCAGGAAATAAGGCTGGCTGGAGAAAGAGCCAGATCCAGGGCCTTCAACGAAGCAGGCAGAACTCAAGCTGAGTCAATGCCTAGTAACAGCAGCGAAGACACCACAATGCAAGTCGACACGACAAATACAGCTCATACCAGGGGCCCCAATACCATTATTGTTCGTCAATGCTAGGTACACCAAACGAAAAACATCGACACGGACATCTGGTCGTCCATTCCGTGAATGCGGCAGGAGGACAAAGGAGTGCAGGCCCTACGGAGTTGGCCATTAACCTGGCTGACTATAAAGGAGAGCAAGCGGACATCATTTTGATACAAGAGCCCTGGGTCGGCATACCACCTTGCAGGAGGATGGGAGTAAAGACGCACCCAAATTATGATATCTATTCCCCGGTGGATTCCTGGGACAGCGACAGTACACGACCTAGATCTCTCATCTATATGAGAAAACACCTTCAAGCAGACCAACTTCGGCCTTATGCCACAAGAGACATCACTTGGGTCAAGGTACGAGGCATCACGTTCGCTAGTGTCTACAGACCATGCGACAATCCGCAGGAAGTAGACGACATTCTGGAAGTATAGGACCCACCCTTCGACAGTGTCATAGCCGGCGATTTCAATGCTGGCGACACATCTTGGGACTCGAGCAATCCAGGTTATCATAGGGGTGCTACACTTGTGCAGACTATGGCAGATCACGGACTGGATCTGATCTCCGAGCCAGATGTCCCGACACATGACGACGGAAACGTATTGGATCTTGTCTTCTCAGATGTCCCTATGGCCGAAGCTTCGGTCAATGATGCACTCCAGTGCACCTTAGATCACGAGACATTAAAAATAGTCGTTCTAATTCAGGGAGATCTTGACCGGGTCCCCAAAGCCAATCGCTGGATAGTACCGGACGATAAACTACAGGAGCTAGCTGATAATGTCCAGAACAGGATCCACGAGCTCCCCCAGCTGGGTGCATCCCCTGGCCAGGTGGATGTCTTTACGCAGAGCTTGATCGACGTGATCCAAGGCTGCGTCAAGATAGTGGGCAAGAAGCCCCGACAGTATAGATCCACTGCTTGGTGGAACGACGAATGCAAAGCAGCAGTTAAGTCATACAGGGCCTTATCCAAATAGGCCGCAAGCCAAGAAGGGCGGAACTTGGCTCGATGGGACTTTCGCCGCGTGGTCGGAAAGCCAGGAGAGAGTACTGGCAGAATCTGATCGATTCAGCAACCAAACCTAAGGACGTGTACAGAATCGTTTCCTAGCACAAGCTGTCGGCGGGACTGCGTTCCCCTCCGATAATCATAGGAGGCCGAACGTTCGACTCACAAGAGAGCAAGGCGAATGCACTACGTTCAGCCACGCTCGAGCGAAGTACCCCAGACAACGATATCATTGACCCCTGGTCCGCTCAGATCGCACAACCCAAGTCATACGTTCCCCTCGAATACCACGTCGAACTAGAAGAGGCCGAGGGGTGCACTGTGAGGACCAAGAGCAACTCCCCGGGAGTCGACGCCCTCACGGTATGAATTTTGAAAGCTTGCTGGCTAGTGATTGAGGAATACGTCAGAGCGCTTTTCCAGACCTGTCTACAGATTGGACACCACCCTAAACTATTCAAAGTAGCCGAGGTGGTGATGATCCCAAAAACCAGGCAAGAAAGACTACTCTAACCCCAGGGGCTACAGACCAATATCGCTATTATCATGTCTTGGCAAAGGCCTAGAATGACTCATTACAAAAAGAATTGCCTGGTTTGTCATCAAACTCGGAATTCTAGCTCCACAACATTTTGGAGCTCTGCCAAAGCGCTCTGCCGCCGACTTGGTAGCTGCACTCATACACGATATTGAGCAGGCCCTTGACCAAGGCCTTATTGCAACAGTAGTCACAGCAGATGTGACAGGGGCCTTCGACGCTGCCCTAATGGGACGGCTGGTGGTTCGCATGAGAGAACAGGGCTGGCCGGACTTTCTCATAAAATGGGTCCAGTCGTTCATGTCCAAGCGGTCCGCAAGGGTCCGGTTTGAAGGTATCGTGACTGATGTCAAAGCTCTTACTTGTGGGCTACCACAAGGCTCGCCGGCCTCCCCAATCCTTTACATGCTATATACAGAGCCAATCTTTGCCCGGCTTGGTGTGAAAAGGAGACGCTTTGGATACGCAGACGACCTAGCAATCCTCTGCATCAGAAAGAACTTTGAAGAAATAGCCGCAGAGGCGTCTAAAAACCTTCACTCGCTCAATCAATAGGGACACGACAACGCTATTGAATTCGACACCGACAAGATAGAAATCATGCATTTCTTGCAAAAAAAGAACTCAGACAACCCTCCGGTCCGTCACGGCACAGTGTACAAAACAGCAGGGGATTCTATGCGATGGCTGGGTGTCCTGCTGGATAGAAGACTCAACTTCAAAGATCACGTTTCCCACTGGGCCAAGAAGGCTAGTAGGGTAGCAAACCACCTTCGAGGACTATGCAAGACGGTCAAAGGACTTCCAGTCAAGTCAACTAGGAGGGCTGTGATAGCTTGCGTCATCCCTATTCTTACACACGGCCTAAAGGCCTGGTACCCGGGAATCGAAAAGACTAGGAGCTTAGGCATGACATCAGCGTGTCGTATCAAGGGGCTTCTCGGAACGATGAATGCCGTACTACGAACGGCAATCAGGGCTATCTTGCCGGTCTGGAAAACACACCCTAGACATATCCTACACTTTGAATCACAGATTCCTCCAGCAGACACTCGCCAAGCCATCGTGGAAGAAGCCCCCAGTCCGCAAGGACAAAGACGAAGAAACAGAGCTTTTCAAGCAATGGCTACGGAGGAGAGACGTGAACACTGACCTTGTCATCTACTCGGATGGATCGCAGTTGGACGACTAAGGTACAACCCGCACGGGATGGGGTTTCACCTTCAGGAAGGGCGGCACTACATAAGAAGTGTATTGGAAAAAGGGCAGACTTCTCCAAGCAGAAGTGGTAGACGCTGAAGTTCACGGCGCTCTCCAAGGTCTCGCAGCAGCCAGGGCGATTGGGCGCGAGAAACGGCTGTACGTCTGCCTTGACAACACGTCGGTGGTAGATGGACTCAATGGGACTCCACCCGAGACATCACAGAACATTTTTCTACGATTCCAAGAACTTGCTATAGCACACACTCTTGGGGTGACCGTGAAGTGGATCCCTGGACACAGAGATATCGATGGCAACGAAGCTGCTGACGTATTAGCAAAAAAGGGTGCCATGCTAAAAACGGAAGCGACAAGCCTTCCCACAATCTCTTGGGTAAAGAGAGATCCCAAGAGGATGGGTAAGAGAGAATTCGATCAATAGTGAGAAGGTCAATCAGAACCTAGGTATCAAGAAGTATACTCACATGCGGTAACCAAGAGGAACCTCATATCTTTCGAAAGAAGCACTTTACACAGACTTCTAGCAGCCAGGTCTGGACATGGCGACTTTGCTGGATACCACGAACGTTTCGGGCATACAGAATCGAATGACCACTACAGCTGCGATGAAAGGAAAACACCGCAGCATATTTTCTTTTGCGAAAGGCTTAGGAAAAACCGACTGCTGCCCAGGTACTCGCCGAGGGCAGCTTGTTTACAATACTTGGGGGAGAGGAGCGCGGAATGGGCAAGGTTCGTTGAAAAGAGCAAGTTCTTTTCATCAATCTGCCCTTGATAGATAGCTATTTTTCTTTGGAGGACCAGATGGATGACCTTAGAGTCATGCCACCGCAACAGCGGGGATGGGCTCGTGAGCGGATCTGAATGTACTTAGCTTCTGATACCTCCACAACCCTGCGATGCAGAGGCTCTGGGAGGCGTGGTTTGCACTACTGAGGAGCGATCCCCCACGTTAAATACAATCAATCAATCAATCTCTCTCTCTTCCTTTCCTCTCTAGTCTTGATATTCTCGTCAATAGAGTAATAGCTGCTTCCTGCCGGCCATGTCCCAGCTCCTCAGTACGCTCGCCGTGACAACTACTACTCACTAAGATGGAGTGAACAACTCCCTTTTGCTTACTGAGTAAACGTGAGCTAGTCTAGTCACGTGATTCTGGTCTTCAAGATCACGTGACTGGATACCCTGCGTTGTCCCGTATTATGCCCATGTTCTAATTGGCCCTCCTAGTAGGTCACCTTCCCTTCGGGTCTGCCAACGGGCCTGTGGTATTGTTGGTTCGTAACACCCGCATAGTAAGCAAGCCCTATCCGGTCCTTGGTGTACATCATCCCACCAGCATCAGCTTGGAGTCAGCCTGCAAGAAGTCTTCGCAAGCTAAAGCTGGCCACGATGATCTTCCCCTGGCTCAGATACTTGCCTCAGATTGTCTGCGCTCCGCGATCGCAGGCGCGATCCAGCCACACATATTCCCTCACCATAGCTTTCGCGTAAAGCCAGTCGTAGACCTTCATCGTCTTGCTCATGAGGTGGAGGCGCCAGGCAAAGAAGTGCTCCATTTCGGTATTGGCGGAGGCGATGGCTCCGAGCACAGTCGTCCAGAGCAGCAGCTCGTGGTTCTAGTTCTTGGTGCACGTGGATGCTTGAGAACCGACTGGAGCTGGCCTGTTAGGGTCCGCATGGGTCGCGGGTCAGTGGTTGCATAGATAACGCCATAGCTGAAAATCGTGGCTGCTAGCCGGCAGACCTCGTCGCGGCCGGCTGGGAGCTGGAGCAGACGGTGCCGGGTAATGGACGAGAGTCGTGGTATGATTCCGGTGTACCTGATTTTGGGTGGTGTTTTGCAGTAATATTAAAGCACCTAGCAGCACGTGCTTGGATTTACTAGTAACACGTTGAACTCCGGATGGACTGTGTATGCGTCGAAAACATGGATCGTAATCCGCCCTTGCGGTGTGTGACGAGCCGTCTAACCTATAAGGCTAAAGGGTTCTATAGGGTTTATGTTCTGAGGTAAGTTAACACAAAGGACGATAGAGGCTTCTGTCAACTAGAAGACACTCAGATGCTGGGGCTTGGTCTGAACTCGGTTCACTGAATAGTCGAGTCGTCAGGAGATTTCTCCCACCTTAGTGTTGGCTAAGATGCTTAGATTGATCACTGAGGTAGAGACTGTCAATCTGTGCTAGCTAGGAAATGTCCATCCTTATATATCCAATCTCTCCATCACTGATGGGCTGGATATCTGGGATCGCTAGCGACTCCAGCGATCCTGGATATCTTGGATAGCTGGCTATCCCAGCTATCCCCTGGATCACGTGACCTAGACTTCTTTCTGGTCTGTGCGTTACCGTACGTTCTTGTCCTATGATTCTTGGTCGGGCCTGCCAACAGGCCTTATCCCCTGTCCCGTTTGTTGGTTCGTAACACGGTGCTGCTCGATGGTGTCTGGATCCATACTGAAGCCCTCTGTCTTCTTCATGATCTCCTTGAGACAAAATGAGGGAAACCAACAAGGATCCGATCCTACTATGAGAGATGCGTATCCGCCCATAAGGTAGCGCCTTAACAGAATACAGCACGCGCAAGGAACTTCTCGTGAGCAGCAGATCCATAACTCCACGTTCAGTTTCTGTGACTGTCTAAGGCAGGCGGATGGCATGCTTGGCACCGATCAATGAATGCTGTCGGCGAGGATAGAGATATGACCCTGAGAAGCAAGTCCAGGAAATAGCATGGGGAGGATACCAATCTGATATCTGCATGGTAACACATTTAGTTAGCCGCGTGGCTATGGTGCGGGTTATCTATACTAAGTTATGGCCTCATGGACACTGCTGTAGGGTATGCCATCGGAGACTTTCTTATTGACGGCTCGAATACCTTCGACCAGCCTCACCAAAGGACCAGACACAGGAATCAGATCCAGCTTCAAGACCGCACCACATGAAGTCCTCCAATCTTGTTCACCAAGTTAGCGGAATATGTGCACCATTGGCAGACAGACGCGACAAGGGTAGTTATTGGCGAAAGCCGGGATGAGAACAACTTCTATTTTCAATGTCCTATGCTCAAGTAGAATACCCACGCAGGTATGCTCGCAAATCTTTCAGTCTTGTGATTCGTCCTCTCAATAGTTATTTGGGTTTGGGATACACATTATTCTTCCATTCGTCAGCAGTATAGTCCACTTTGTCATTCGAAACATCGTCTCCCTTCTTTTTGCAGTCAACCGAGAAGATGATATCCTTGCCGTTGGCTACCTTGGGCGGGATGACCACCTGCTCAGCTTTGGCTTGTGGATAGCGCGCCAGCAACAGGGCCTTCTCTGGGTCTTGGCCAAAGCCACGAATATATGTCTCGATTTTCGCCGGCATATACCAGAGTACACCTCCGACCGATCCGTATTCGTCGAACATGTCGATCCAGATTTTCGGGAAGGCTTTGAGGTCGTCTTTGTCTGTGTAGACTAAGCAAAGTCTGATCGAAATGGTTAGTCTTGGAAGCTTGAATGGCTGAGATCCTCCCACCTTTGGTCATCACGCATTGATGCGAATGGCTTGTAGCCGTCGCGGATGTTCATAACATAGGCGCCCTCCCCTAGTTGTTCTAAATTGTCAGTGGCGGTTTGGAATACGATTCTGTTGCCTGCGTCTTCGTATTCTTTTGCTATCGACTGTCAGTGCGAGTTAGATGCGCCGCCCAGCGTTCTGTAAAGTTCGCATGGAGTCAACTTGCCGTGCTAACATAGCGATAGCCGACGAAAATGCGGTCCCCTCGTTCGCTCAGTCCTCGCGGATATGCCGTTACTAAGCCAGCAAGGACTGCACTCAGCAGCGCCGTGACCTTGATCACGCGCATTGTCGTTGTCATCTCTCTAGAACTTGGTAGCTAGGTAGTCTTTGCAGCAACGTTGGCACTAGGATTGTGAGGTCTGCTTGAATCAAAATTCCAAGCCGTGCCATGTTGGCCAGGCTCAGCTAGTATTCATAAACCCTTGGGGACAGTTCAGGTGGCGTGTTAACCGAAGGACCATTTCCTTAATTGTGGAATTAGATGACGCTTGCCAAACCGGAGTAGATGATAATAATAGCACCAGGCAGCAGGCTAGGGCGGAGTGCTAAGCTGCGGACTGAAATGGGTTTACCAGCGGTCGAGAAGGGGAGTGTAGTGCTGGAACACTTGGCCGTGGATCCGAAGGACCTACAACTGATCCACATGTAACTATGTTTACCTTCGAGGGACGACTTACCTTGCTAAGTATCGCAACGCTAGATCCCACAAGCCTGCTGTCATGAGGAAGTGGTGCAAAATTGTAGACACTGAATTGCCATTTGGGCGGAAGCCTAGCTGCAGGGGTCTTTACGAAGAATGCGTCGGTCAAGGTTCACCCCCACTTTGATCGTATAGTTATGGACACATTTATATACGTAGGAAGTATCTATATATATCGGACAATGGTTAAATTTAGGCAGAATAGTACCACACAAAGTTCCCACTAAATCCTACGGGATTTCGGTGGACCTCCCGATGACGTCTTCTAGAAAAATTTGGGTCTCGGCAGCGCGCTGTCGTGAGCTCGGAAGCGTCTCTAAGGCTATGGACAACACATCCGGGTCTGTAGGTCGTGCCCAATTTCGTCACCCGAAGACGAAGATAATGGCTACGGCAGTGCCGAAGATAGCGGCGCCGAAAATCGATGCGACGATGATACCAGCGCCAGAGGAGAGATCGTCATAGAACTGTACGACTTATGACACGAGGACGAGTCAGAGTCTCCGTGGCATATCACGGTTCCCTCGCCAGTCTCGTTTACGCGAGGGTGGTCCGGACCGACGGTGTTGGCTGTCATGGCCACTCCAGTGCGGACGATCATCTCATAGCTACGGCGTGCTTATATTCATGAATTAGCGACTTGATGGTCTATTGTAGGCAATAACTTTTATGCTCCATCCCCATGTTGTGACATAAAACGAAAGCTGAGTCACGGGACGTGTTGAGATGGACACAAGTAGTCCGTGTCCCGCGTGTTAGCTAGAAGATAACGGCGGGGGCAAGCAGATGGGACAGCCCCCCAGATGGGACAGTTCCCCCACCAAAACACAACATTTGCACCCACCCACATCTCTATCGGGATCGAAGCTGTAGATATCGTAAATATATCGTCTGAATCTTCTTTTCATAGTGTTTCTTCCAATGTGGAATTTAATAGGTGTCCTACAGCGGGATGTCCCGTGGCGGGGGTCGGAAGTTAGCACGTCCGGCCCTAATCTGAGGGGTAATGAGACCCGTGCCCCCTATCCCCTCTAACCAGGCAGAAGTTCTGCGGTTCTTTTTTTCTTTTTTTTCTGTAAGCATTATAAGCTTTAGTACGTCGAAATGGCGCCTTTATATACCGAAAAAGACCTTATTGAAGCGATAGCCGCTGTGAACAGTGACGATCTGTCCCTCTAGAAGGCTGCCCAGCGCTATAGAATACCAAAAACCACCCTTTCTCACAAAATTAAAGACTCCACAATACCTACAACTGGTACTCAGCATAAAGGACATATTCACGGGCAGAAAATAAGCCCTGCTCAAGAAAAGAAGGTAATTTTATGGATTCTGTACTAAGAAAAGGCCGGCCATGCCCCTACTCACGCCAATATGAGGTACATCATCCAGAAGATTAGGGTTAGGGTTAGGAACGAGCGCGAAGCGCGAGTGAGCAGCGTTGAATTCTGAGAGCAAAGGAGTCCAACTACCGTCGTGACAGTAGTTTCGCCTATGGCTCTTCAGGGACTCTGTATAGCGAAATTCTTTTGATATATATTATCAGAAGAAAGGTACATACATAGAGATAGGAGATATCGCGCTTCGGCTTTTAGAACTTGATTTCTAATACCGCCTTGAATGACTCAGCTCGGATAGTCTAATACCCCGCTGCTTACCAACCCGGAGGGACAACCCCCCGGATTACCAAGCATCGGGCTACTCAACTCCCCCAGTCTGAGAGTCAAAGCTGCATATTCTCTTCAAGTTCGCGGCATAGCAGAGGCAAGAGAGCTTGATAATCCATTCTCATGTTTGTGTATACACAAGATATTCCTAGTTTCACAAGGTATGTCATGGATACACCATGACACATGACTTGTGCTAGTATGTCTCTTTCTTTGTGCTTGTCTTTCTATATCCTATGGATAGGGTTAGGGTGGCTAGGGTTAGGGTCAGGATAGCATAGGGTTAGGGTGAAGGGTTTGAACCTTTTTCTAAACCGATATTTGAACCATGAAACCACCCTTGTTTTTCTTTAAGTAGAAGAACAATAAACAAAGTGTATATATATAGGGAATCTTGCAAGATAATGCTATAGTCTCAGAGAAAAGACGGTGAGAGTACTATTTCCCATAGCGCATTGCGGCGCCATGGTTACAACAGAACAAACCGCCAAGAACGTTCTGATTCTCAGCACACCCAGTTTTCACCTAGGCTGCTGACTCCCTCCCGCAAGCGGGGAGTTCATGGCTCACCTAGGTATTATTCTCTGAGGTTTCTAGCACTTCTAACAGTGTTAAATTATGTAGGTTTATATGGTCATACATATTCCTACCCCGTTGCAGCGAGGTGACCAGGTCATTGATACCTAGAAGTTCACCTCGGGAATATCGTAGCAATATCTCCTTGACGGGCCCTATACGGATATATTCCCATATTGGATTATATTCTGATAGTAGAATAAATTTGGGCTCTGTCCTTTCGGTTTTATCCTCAAGACTTTCGCTGAACCACTGATCCAATTCTCTCACTGGGTATCCACGCCGTAAGAGGTTGTAGTATAATCTGTCTTCTGCATGTAGGCAGTCGGTATCCCGACTACAGATAATACGATATCTCATGCGCTCGGCTTTAACAAAGCCCCGTTTGACGGTCAACGGATGAGCTGATGAGAAGGGAATATATTGATGCTTATTCAAAGCTTTCTCGAATAATTTTGTAATTATTATTCCGTCATGAACAATTATTTCTACATCAAGAAAAGAGACCGAGGTGCGAGAGTACTCCCAGTGTACCGTGAGGTTTGGGAACTTCCACCCTTGGATAAAGGATTTCACTTCGGTTTCTGTACCTTGGAAGACCATGAAGATATCATCAATGTAGCGACCGTAGTACTTGACATGCTTATTGCGATATTTAAATTGGCCTTTTTCATATATAGCACAGAACAGGTTGGCAATAATGGGGGCGCAGGCCACTCCCATTGCCAGTCCTGATCTCTGCTTGTATGTAGCTCCTTGGTACTCGAAGAAGTTGTTGGACAAGACGTATTCCATCATCTTTCTTATCCACCATTTCTTCAGTCTTCTCTGGACCGGAGGAAGGATGTTGTCAATTGCTTGCATCGCGTCCTCCTTTGGTATATTAGTATACATGGCGCTTACATCGCCTGATACCAGCCAGAGATTGTCCAGAGGCCCTTCTATATTCCTGATGCCCGTGATCAGATCCTTTGTGCTGGTAAGCACAGAGGGATAGTTGGAGAGAAGGGGTTGAAGTGCCCAATCTATAACCTTTGCCACCCTTGAGGTGATCCAGCTGTGGCTGGGGATGATGGGGCGTGAATTCCACGGCTGCTTGTGAATCTTGGGAATCACATGAAGCCGGGGTACCACCCTGAAACTACCCTGCAGATACTCTCGTATTTGTGATGGTAGGTTTGTGAGGTTGTAGATGTCTTCTAGTTCTAGATTTAGAATCCTAAAGTCCACAGGATGAAGCTCATAAGCAACACTGTTATTCAGGTGATTCTGCACTTGTTCTCTATACCAGTCTATAGATATGACGCTCAGTCCTAGATTTTTGTCCGTGATCTTTACAAGGTACTGCTTCTCGTTAAGATACTGTTGGATCTCTTGCCAGTTTGGATTAAGAACGTCCTTAGCAAGGGTTAGGGTTAGGGTTAGGGTTAGGGTTAGGGTTAGGGT